GATATTGCGCTATTTCAGTCGTAGCTATTTTTAACATCGGCTTTTCCAAAAGTTGAAACTGACCACACTGGATGTTGGCTTCAGGACATGTCATTATTAACTACGTAAACTTTCGTTAGAAGATATATATTTTCAGTATCAACACGATTTTCAGGTTGTCATTTGACAAAATAGCCCCTTTAACACCTTTCTCATGCATAAAGTCATCATATCCTATGTATCTTACGCATGGCATTTCTGACAACGGTTACTATATATGCAAAATTGAGTCCCCTTGCCCCAAGGATGCTCCAAACCAAATTGGGATAAAACCCCTTAATCCCTACAGTAGAAGCAGGATTTTAAATGTTTTTCCTCTATTTCCCCACTACCCCCAGGGGGGTCACACCCACCCTTCATACAAAATTGAGTCCCCTTTGCCCAAGGATGCTCCAGACTAAATTAGGATAAAATCTCTACGGTAGAAGAAGGATTTTAAAGGTTTTACATCTATTTGCCCTATTGGGCCCCACCCCTCTGCCCCGAGGAGGACCACACCCACCAGCTATACAAAATTGAGTCCCCTTGGCCCAAGGGTACTCCAGACTAAATAAGGATAAAATCCTGTCATTCCTACAGAAGAAGAAGGATTTTGAAGAATTTGCTCTATTTGCCCTTATCATGCCCCGCCCCTCTGCCCCCCACCAGGTGGGCCAGAAGAAGGACTTTAAAGGTTTTACCTCTATTTCCATTATTTGGCCTCGTCCCTCTACCCCCAGGGGGCTACACCCACTGTTTATACAAAATTGAGTCCCCTTGGCCCAAGGATGCTTGAGAATAAATTAGAATAAAATCCTTTTATTCCTACGGTAGAAGAAGGACTTTACAGGTTTTACCTCTATATCCATTATTTGGCCCAGCCCGTCTGCCCCCAGGGGGGCCACACCCACCATTAATACAAAATTGTGTCCCCTTGGCCCAAGAATTCTCCAGACTTATTAAGGATAAAATCCTTTAATTCCTAAGGTAGAAGAAGGATTTTAAAGGTTTTACCTCTATTTTCACTATTTTCCCCCACCCATCTGCCCCCAGGGGGGACACACCCATCATTTATACAAAATTGAGTCCCCTTGGCCTAAGGATGCTCCAGACCAAATTTTGTCAAAATCTATTTTGCCATTCAGGACTAGTAGCGTTTTAAAGGAAAAGTTGACGGACCGACAACGCGGTATGGCATAAGCTCACCATGGTCCTTCGGAAGCACCCCTGCCCCACCCTCATTTTATTCTACCCCGGACTTAATTTTTGTTATTTTCATATTCAGGACATCAAATTGATGTAAATTAAACAAATTTGGTTTAAAAAAGTCAAGTAGGAAAAAAAATTGCTGAAACCCTTCATTTCATCATTATGGTAAAAGTGAAGCTCCCCTGCCCCACCCTTATTTTTTCTACCCCAGACTTAATTTTTGTGATTTTCATATTCAGGACATCAAACTGATGTAAACTAAAACAGATTTGGTTTAAAAAAGTCAAATACAAACAAGAAGCTCAGAGGGCCTGAATTGCTTACCTGGATATTTGAGCAATCATGGGAAAATATTCTCAATAAAAGTACTTTTGTAAATCTTTTCATATATTGAGTCTCCTTGGCTTAAGAATGTTCCAGACTAAATGAAACTTTATACTACTCTATCCCAGCATGCTACTGGTCAAATATCCTCCTGATATTGCGGAAGAAGTTGTTCAAAGATATTTACATATTTGACCCCTAGCCCTGTGACCGTGAGAGTAGGCCAAGGTAATTTATTTGAGGAAAGTTTAAAGCACTTCATGCCAGGTACCTACTGGCCAAATATCATTACTCTGGGTCTCTTTGTTATTTAGAAGAAGATATTTAAAGGTTTTAAACACATTTGACCCTTGTGATTATTAAAGTTGGTCAAGGTCATTTATTTGAGGAAAGTTTGTAGCACTTTATGCCAGGTACCTAGTGGCCAAGTATTTTTACTCTGGGCCTCCTGGTTATTCAGAAGAAGTTGTTTAAAGGTTTTTACATATTTAACCCCTGTGACCTTGAAAGTAGGTCAATGTCATTTATTTGAGGAAATTTTATAGCACTTAATGCCAGGTACCTACTGGACAAATACATGGCCCTAGGTCCTCCAGTTCTTAAGAAGAAGTCATTCAAAGAAAAAATTGATGGACAATGGACAACACGCCATATCAATTGGCACTTTGTGCCAGGTGAGCTAAAAAATATAAAAAAATATTGAAAAATAAATATAAAATGTTCTTTTGTCTATTTAAATAGGTTTTCTCTGCAAAATACAAGTATGATTATCACACACAACCAAGATGAGAGAAATGTGTGATATATTTTGAATACATGCAATAAACTTGTTTTGATGGAGCTTGGGTTTATTTATAGGTAGTGTATGTCTATAATACTGCACAATTCTTCTTAAACATGTACATCTTATGCACATTACAACTAATATGTGTATAACTTGGAAAATAATATGGTTAACATATATATACCCTTATGTCAATTGAATCAACCTCATATGATATTCTATATTATAGTTCAGCCCATCCTCGATACTCTAGGGGTTATGCTCACTTTCACTCTCTGCACCCCTGGGATATGTCTGTGTCATACCAAAATTGAAGGCAAGCAGCTAGTTATTTGTGAGGTTGATACCTGTCTTTTGTCATATTACAAAGGAGCGACACCAGTCAATTTTACCGTTATGTGATTTGAGAGATTCTTTTGAGAAAAAGATCAAACTAGTCTTCTTGTCTCATCCACAAGGTGGTGCTCACTAGTACCGAGCCTTCCATTTTGCTATGACATAATCATGGGGTGCACTAGAGCGAAAGTGAGCATAACCCCTGGAGTATCGAGAAAAAGTTCAACCTTCAAGAAAACAATATTACTACTGTCCTACATTATTCCATGTCATTGTAATAACAAGAGGCCCAGAGGGCCTGAATCGCTCACCTGGATATCTAAGCAATCATGGCAAAATATTCTGCAAATGAGATCCAAGGGAATATGCCAGACCCCAATGCCAATTCTTGTAGTATGTCTGTATTAGATTTTTCATGCCCAGCAATTTAATGTATGATTATGGGGTGGGGATCTCAGCTGTTTCCAAGCTGTGACTCAGAAACTAGATCCCTAGGGTTGTGGCCAGACCCCAGGATCAATTCTAATATCATGACTGCATTCGTCTCTTTTTGTCCAGCATTTGTATTTATAGTCTTGGGGTGGGGAGCTCAACCGTTTTAAAGTTATGACCCAGGGTTTAAGTCTGCAAGGGTGGGGCAGACCCAAAGGCCATCCTGGAAGCATATGTGCATTCATCTCTTTATACTCAGCAATTGCATATATGTATGGTTATAGCCCCACTATTTGTACAATTTTGAATCTCCACTACCGAGGGATGCTCCCAGTCAAATATGGTTGATATCTATCCCTAAGTTCCAGAGAAGAAGAGAAGTAGCTTAAATCAATATAGCACAATTGCCCCCTTTTGGCACTGCCCCTCAGGTCCCTGGGGGGCCGAACCCACGGTTTATATAAAATTGGTTCCCCTTCACCCAAGGATGCTTCAGACCAAATATGTAACAAGTCCTTTCATTCCTACAGAATAAGAAGGATTTTAAAGAATTAACTATGTTACCCATATTTGGCCCCACCACTCAGGCCCCTCGGGGGCCAGACCCACAGTTTATTCAAAATTGGTTCCCCTTTACCCAAGGATGCATCAGACTAAATATGGAACAAATCTATTCGTTCCTACAGAAGAAGAAGGATTTTAAAGAATTTGCTATGTTTCCTCTATTGGGCCCCTACCCTCAGGGGCAAGACACACAGTTAATACAAAATTGGTTCCCCTTTACCCAAGGATGCTTCAGACCAAATATGGAACAAATCCTTTCATTCCTACAGAAAAAGATGGATTTTAAAGAATTTGCAATGTTTCCCCTTTTGGGCCCCGTCGCTCAGGCCCCTATGGGGCCAGACCCACCATTTATACAAAATTGGTTTCCCTTCACCGAAGGATACTGAATACCAAATATGGAACAAATCCTTTCATTCCTACAGAAGAAGGATTTTAAAGAATATACTATGTGTTCCCTATTGGGCCCCGTCCCTCAGGGGCCAGACCCACGGTTTATAAAAAATCACTTCCCCTTCCCCCAAGGATACTTCAGACCAAATATGGAACAAATCCTTTCATTCCTACAGAAGAAGAAGGATTTTAAAGAATTTACTATGTGTTCCCTATTGGGCCCCTTCCCTCAGGCCCCTAAGGGGCCAGACCCCTTGTTTATACAAAATTAGTTCCCCTTCACCGAAGGATGCTGCAGACCAAATATGAAACGAATCCTTTTATTCCTACAGAAGAAGAAGGATTTTAAAGAATTTACTATGTGTTCCCTATTGGGCCCCGTCCCTCAGGGGCCAGACCCACGGTTTATAAAAAATCACTTCCCCTTCCCCCAAGGATACTTCAGACCAAATATGGAACAAATCCTTTCATTCCTACAAAAGAAGAAGTATTTTAAAGAATTTACTATGTGTTCCCTATTGGGCCCCGCCCCTCAGGCCCCTCAGGTGCCAGACCCCCGGTTTATACAAAATTGGTTCCCCTTCTCCCAAGGATGCTTCAGACCAAATATGGAACAAATCCTTTCATTCCTGCAAAAGAAGAAGGATTTTAAAGAATTTGCTATATTTCCCCTATTGTGCCCCGCCCCATTAGCCCCCAGGAGGGCCAGACCCACCATTTATATAAAATTTGTTCCCCTTTCCCTAAGGATGATTCTGACCAAATTTGGTCAAAATCTGCTCAGTCGTTTATGACTAGTAGCCGGACGACGTACGCCGCGCCATGGCAGGTGAGCTAATAATAAAAGAAAACATTAATTGTGTATTCAATCTTCCTTATTCAAATGCAAGAAGAGGAAAAAAATTGCTTTTAAACAACAAAAGACAATAAAGGTAACAGATTAATTTTGATTTTTATTACAAACAAATTTATGTGATAAAGATGACAGCACTTTAATGTACAGAATGGTATCCATTTATTGATAAAATCTTCTATCTTATGTTAGAGCACTTTGACATAGCATCACACTGATGTGTCCTCCACACGAAACACTTGTTCTTACAATGCTCCACTTCACACTTTCTTCTATGATGATCGCCAACCATTGATCATGCTCCGTTTTCACACACTGCTGATATTAGAGATTGATGGCTCGGAGCTCGGTTCATTGAAGTATGTCTACCTGACCTCAGTCACTGATATACAGGTAAGATCGAGCAAGCATGGTTTCTCACAAAAAGTGATGAATGAACTTTGTCCCATATTGAGGTTTGGTCTATGCTAAATTTCCGCAGGTTGTGCATGGTTTTAACATTGGCAGTTCCTGGACACCGTCTTTGTTAACAAGTCGCACTTTAAATGCTCGCTGGCTTATGATTAATCTCTTTTTTATCTGTGGACGTAAATCATTGAAAATGTTATTCATAAATTTCATAAACATACTAGCACTTTTCCTGATTTGGATTGGACAAAATCCTGTCATTCCTAAAGTAAACGGAGGGTTTCATAGAATTTGCTATGTTTCCCCTATAGGGCCCCGCCCCTCTGCCCCATGGGCATTCATTCCAACGGAAGAAGGATATTAAAGCTATTCCTCTATATCCCTTGTTGGGCCCTGCCTCTCTGCCCCCAGGGGGGTCATACCCACCATTCATACAAAATTAGTTCCCCTTCACCCAAGGGTGCTTCATATTAAATTTGGACAAAATCTTGTCATTCTTACAGAAAAAGAAGGATTTTGAAGAAAATGCTATGTTACCCCTATTGGGCACAGCTCCTCTACCCCCAGAGGGGCCACACTCACTGTTTATACAAAATTGAGTGTCCTTGGCCCAAGGTTACTCCCGACTAAATTAGAATAAAATCCCTTTATCTCTACGTGAGTAGAAGGGTTTTAAAGGTTTAACCACTATTTCTCCTATTGGGCCCAGCCCCTCTGCCCCAGGGTGCCCACACCCACCATTTATACTTATTGAGTCAATCATGCTCCAGACTAAATTAGAACAAGAGGCCCAGAGGGCCTGTATTGCTCACCTGAATATGTTTAAAATATTTGGTATGAAGTAAAGATATAGCACTCCATATGGTAGGTGCTGTAAGTACATATGAAATTTCAGAAAGATCCATCCAGTAGTTGAGATATAGCGAGAACAAACTTCAAACAGAGCCCCACCCCTATGCCCCTAGGGAGGCCATACCAACCAATTATACAAAATTAGGTCCCCATGGTCTAAGGATGCTACAGATTAAATAAGGATAAAATCACTTTATCCCTACGATAGAAGAAGGATTTTGAAGGTTTTACCTCTATTTCTCCTATTGGGCCCTGCCTCTCAGGCCCCTGGTGGGGCCTCATCCACCATTTAAACAAACTTAGTTCCCATTCACCCAAGAATACTTCAGACCAAATATGGACCAAATCCTTTCATTCCTACAGAATAAGAAGGATTTTTAAGAAAAATTTGCTATGTTTCCCCTATTGGGCCCCACCCCTCAGGCCCCTCGGGGGCCAGACCCACGGTTTATACAAAATCACTTCCCCTTCTCCCAAGGATGCTTCAGACCAAATATGGAACAAATCCTTTCATTCCTACAGAAGAAGGATTTTAAAGAATTTGCTATATTTCCCCTATTGGGCCCCGACCCTCAGCCCCCAGAGAGGCCACACCCACCATTTTTACAAAGTTTAGTCCCCTTCGCCTAAGGATGCTCCACCGACCAAATTTCCTGGTAGTCAAAATCTACTTGGCCATTCAGGACTAATAGAGTTATAAAGGAGTCCCCTTGGCCCAAGGATGCTTCAGTCTAAATTAGAATAAAATCCTAAAATCCCTACGGTAGAAGAAGGATTTTAAAGCTTTTACCTCTATTTCCCCTTTTGGACCCGCCCCTCTGCCCCCAGGAGGGCCACACCCACCATTTATACAAAATTGAGTCCCCTTGGCCCAAGGATGCTCCAGACTAAAAGAATACAAGAGATCCAAGAGGGATCTTGGCGCCCACCATTGTACCAGTTCTTTGTCAGTTCGATCTTTTCTCTTCTTTTCTCTTATCTGTCTGATCCAGTCATATTAACAGTAAATGCACCTTTAGGTAATTTTTGATCTAAACTTAATACTGATGTGTATGGAAGACAGCCTTCAAAGTGAGTTTGACAATTCACATATTTACTAGTACAGTACTTAATGTGAAAGAAATAGAATCGATCATTACATTGTTTAGTTCTTTTAGTTTAGTTTAGATTCAGAGCAAATTTGGTAAAAATCGTCGGTTTAAGAGGAGATGTGTTTTAAAGCAAATTTTGCTAAGTTCCCCTTCAGGGCCCCACCCCCCTGGCCACAGGGGTCGAACCGACCTCATTTATTTAAGAAATGATTGCACTCCCTTACTGATGCTTAAGAGTGAATTTGGTTGAAATCCTCTCTGGTGTTTAGGAGGAGATGCATTTTAAAGCAAATTTCGCTAAGTTCCCCTTGAGGGCCCCGCCCCCCTGGCCTCAGGGGTCGAACCAACCTCTTTTATTAAAGAAATTATTGCCATTCCTTTCTGATGCTTCAGACTAAATTTGGTTGAAATCCTCTCTGGCCTTAAGCAGGAGATGCATTTTAATGCAAATTTCGCTAAGTTCCCCTTCAGGGCCCCCGCCACCCTGGCCTCAGGGGTCGTACCAACCTCATTTATTTAAGAAATGATTGTCTTCCCCTAATGATGCTTCAGACTAAATTTTGTTGAAATCCTCTTTGGCGTTTAGGAGGAGATAGGTTTTAAAGAAAAAGTTGACTACGGACAATGACGGACGCTGCGCCAAGGCATAAGCTCACTATGGTCCTTCAAACCAAGTGAGCTAACAATAAAGGATAGTGGGGAACCTACATATAGAATTTGAGAAAGAATCCTCCAGTACTACCTGGAAAATAGCACTAACAAACTAACTGTCAAAATCAAAGATTTGTATATCCGATCAGTTTCATAAGGAAATATGCATAAATTCATAACAAGGGGAACCTACATAAAAAATTTAAGAAAGATCTCTCCAGTATTTCCTGAGTAATAGCCATAACAAAACTTCACTGTCGAAATCCAACATGGCTGCCTGTCTGCCATTTTGTTTATCTGATCAGTCTCAAAAGTTAATATACACGAGTTAGGACCTAGGGGAACCTTCATATAAGATGTGAGAAAGATCTCTGCACTACTTCCTGAGAAATAGCGATAAAAATCCAAGATGGCTACCTGTCAGCCATGTTGTTTATCCAATCAATCTCAAAAGTTGCCCTAAGGAACTAGGGACCAAGGGGAACATACATATACAATTTGCGAAAGATCCCTCAGGCACTTCCAGCGAAATAGTGATAACAAACCTTCACTATGAAAATTCAAGATGGCTGCCTGACGGACCACGAACGCAGGGTGATTTGAATAGCCCATCATCAGATGATGTTGGGCTAAAAATCCCTTTAGCCCTACAGAAGAAGAACGATTTTAAAGGTTTTACCTCTATTTCTCCTATTGGGCCCTGCCCCTCTGCCTCCAGGAGGGCCACACCCACCATTTATACAAAATGTAGTGCCCTTGGCCCAAAGATGCTCCAGACCCACCATTTATACAAAATTGATTTCCCTTCCCAAAAGGATGCTACTGTTCAAATTTGGTCAAAATACCTTCATCCTAATGGAACAATAAGGATATTAAAGCTATTCCTCTATATCCATTATTGGGCCCCCATCTCTGCCCCCAGTGGGTCAGGCTCACCATTTATAGAATATTGGTTCCCCTTCACCGAACGATGCTTCATACCAAACTTGGACAAAATCCTGTCATTCGTTTCCACTATTGGGCCCCGCCCCTCTGTTCCCTGGGGGGCCACACTTACTGCTTATACAAAATTGAGTCCCTTTGGCCCAAGGATGCTTCCGACTAAATTAGGATAAATTCCCCTAATCCCTACAGTAGAAGACGGATTTTAAAGGTTTTACCTCTGTTTCCCCTATTTGGCCCCAACCCTCTGCCCCAAGGGGGGCCACACCCACCGTTTATACAAAATTGAGTCACCTTGGTCCAAAGATGCTCCAGACTAAATTAGGATAAAATCCCTTAATCCCTACTGTAGGAGAATGATTTTAAAGGTTTTACCTCTATTTCCCCTATTTGGCCCCAACCCTCTGCCCCGAGGGAGGCCACACCCACCCTTTATACAAAATTGAGTCACCTTGGCCCAAGGATGCTCCTGACTAAATTCAGATCAAATATTTTAATCCCTACGGTAGAAGAAGGATTTTAAAGGTTTTATCTTTATTTCCCCTATTGGGCCCTGCCTTTCTGTCCCAAGGAGGGCCACAACAACAATTTATACAAAATTGTGTCCCCTTGACACATGGATGCTCCAGACTATATAAGGATAAAACCCCTTAATCCCTTCCAAATATGATGCTCCTGGTCAAATTTGGTCAAAATACCTTCATCCCAACGGAAGAAGAAGGAATTAAAGCTATTCCTCCATATCCCTTATTTGGCCCCGCCTCTCTGCCTCTAGGGGGGTCAGACCCACCATTCATACCAAATTTGGACAAAATCCTGTCATTCCTACAGTGGGGCCACACCCACCATTTATACAAAATTGAGTCCCCTTGGCCCAAAGATGCTCCAGACTAAATTAGGATAAAATTCCTTAATCCCTATGGTAGAAGAAGGATTTTTTAAGGTTAACCTCTATTTCCCTATTGGGACCCGCCCCTCTGGTCCCAGGAGACCACACCCATTGTTTATACAAAATTGAGTCCTCTCGGCCTAAGGATGCTCCAGACCAAGTTTAGTCAAAATCTACTTGGCCGTTCAGGACTAGTAGCGTTTTATAGGGAAAGGTGAGCTTAAAACAAGAGGCCCAGAGGGCCCGTATCCCTCACCTGGAAATGATTGCAAAATTGAAGTTGAAATAGAAAGATGTTGCTGTACATGTATTACATGGTTAGTCAAGGTTTATATTTATATGCAATTTTGGACAAAATCCTGTCATTCCTACAGAAAAAGGAGGAATTTGAAATTTTGCTATGTTTCCAATATTGGGCCCGGCCCCTCTGCCCCAGGGTGGTCATACCCACGGTTATATGGACATAATCCTGTCATTCCTACGGACGAAGGAAGATTTTAAAGCTATTTTTCTATTTTCCCTATTTGGCCCTGCCCCTCTGCCTCAGGGGGTTAAAACCCACAGTTTATACAAAATTGGTCCTCCTTCACCTAGGGAAGCTTTGTCCCAAATTTGGATAGAATCCCTTCATTCCTACAGAAGAAGAATTTTAAAGAATTTGCCAAATTACCCCTATTGGGCCCAACCCCTCAGGCCCAAGGGGGGGGAGGGGGGATTTCCCTTCCCAATAGGATGCTACTGTTCAAATTTGGTCAAAATACCTTCATCCTAATGGAACAATAAGGATATCAAAGCTATTACTCTATATCCGTTATTGCGTTATTGGGCCCCCATCTCTGCCCCCAGTGGGTCAGGCTCACTGTTTATAGAATATTGGTTCACCTTCACCGAATGATGCTTCATACCAAACTTGGACAAAATCCTGTCATTCCTACAACAGAAGAAGGATTTTGATGAATTTGCTATGTTTCCACTATTGGGCCCCGTCCCTCTGTTCCCAAGGGGGGCCACACTCACTGTTTATACACAATTGAGTCCCCTTGGCCCAAGGATGCTTCCGACTAAATTAGGATAAATTCCCTTAATCCCTACAGTAGAAGACGGATTTTAAAGGTTTTACCTCTATTTCTCCTATTTGGCCCCAACCCTCTGCCCCCAGGGGGCCACACCCACCGTTTATACAAAATTGAGTCCCCTTGGCCTAAAGATGCTCCAGACTAAATTAGGATAAAATCCCTTAATCCCTATCGAAGGAAAATGATTTTAAAGGTTTTACCTCTATTTCCCCTATTTGGCCCCAACCCTCTGCCCCGAGGGAGGCCACACCCACCCTTTATACAAAATTGAGTCGCCTTGGCCCATGGATGCTCCCGACTAAATTAGAATCAAATCTTTTAATCCCTACGGTAGAAGAAGGATTTTTAAGGTTTTATCTCTATTTCCCCTATTGGGCCCTGCCTCTCTGCCCCAAGGAGGGCCACACCAACAATTTATACAAAATTGTGTCCCCTTGGCACAAGGATGCTCCAGACTATATAAGGATAATATCCCTTAATCCCTTCCAAATATGATGCTCCTGGTCAAATTTGGTCAAAATACCTTCATCCCAACGGAAGAAGAAGGAAATTAAAGGTATTCCTCTATATCCCTTATTGGGCCCTGCCTCTGCCTCTAGTTGGTCAGACCCACCATTTATACAAAATTGCTTTTCCTTCACCCAAGGATGCTTCATATCAAATTTGGACAAAATCCTGTCATTCCTACAGTGGGGCCACACCCACCCTTTATACAAAATTGAGTCCCCTTGGCCCAAGGAAGCTCCAGACTAAATTTGGATAAAAACCTTTAATCCCTACGGTACAATTTCTCTGCCCCGAGGAGGGCCACACCCACGATTTATACAAAATTGAGTCCCCTTTGCCTAAGGATGCTCCAGACCAAATTTAGTCAAAATATACTTGGCCGTTCAGGATCAGTAGTGTTTTAAAGGAAAAGTTGACGGACACTATTGGCCCTCGCTATTCTGCCCCTGGGGGGTGCATATCCGCCATTTATAAATATTAAATTCCCTTTGCCCAAAGATGATCTAGAACAAGTTTAGTTAAAATCCCTTCATCGGTACAAAAGGAGAAGGATCTTTAATATTTTCCTCTATTTCCCCTAATGGGCCTAACCCATCTGCCACAAAGAAGGGGTCCCAAACACCTCATTTTATACAAAATTGATTTTTTTGTCCCTAAGCATGCGTCAGGCTGCATTTGGTTTTAAATCCCTTCACTTATATAGAATTAGAAAAAAAATCCTCTATTTCCCCTATTGGGCCCCGTCCCTCTGCCCCGAGAGGGGCCACACCCTCCGTTTATACAAACTTGAGGCTCCATTGTCCAAAGATGCTCTAGAACAAATTTGGTCAAAATCCTTCTATTGGTTAAGAAGAAGAAGATTTTTAAAGATTTACCTTTTTGGCCCTGCCCCTCTGCCCCGAGGGGGGCCATACCCTCTGTTTATACAAAACTAACAACCTGTTGGCCAATGATGCTCTAAACCAGATTTGGTTAAAATCCCTTCATCTGTCCCAAAGGAGGGGGTCCACACACCTCAGTTTATACAAAATTGATTCTTTTGTCCCGGAGCATGATTCAGACTGCATTTGGTTTATATCCCTTCACTTGTATAGTAGGAGAAAAAAAATCCTCTATTTCCCCTATTGGGCCCCACCCCTCTGCCCCCAAAACAAATTTGGTCAAAATCCTTCGATTGGTGGAGAAGAAGAAGATTTTTAAAAATTACCAATTTTCCCCCTATTTGGCCTCACCCCTCTGCCCCCAGGGGGGAATTAGTTTGACCAAAATCCATGAAAGAATGAATTGCTAAGTGTTTAAATTGAATCAGTTAATGATTTTCTATATATAGCCAGTGACCTTGGCCTTGACCTTGGAACCCTGAAACACAAGGATGTCAGAGGTATACCCATATTTGACCTTTGTATAAAGTTTTACCAAAATCTGTGAAAGAATGAATTTGCAAAATGTTTAAATTGAATCAGTTGATGATTTTCTATATAAGCAACAGTGACCTTGGCCTTGACCTTGGGACCCTGAAACACAAGGATGTCAGAGGTAAACCCATATTTGACCTTTGTATATAGTTTGACCAAAATCCGTGAAAGAATGAAGTTCAAAATGTTTAATATTAATCAGTTGATGATTTTCAATATATAGCAACAGCGACCTTGGCCTTGACCTTGGAACCCTGAAACACAACAATGTCCGAAGCATACTCATACTTGACCTTTGCATAAAGATTGACCGAAATCAATGAAAGAATGAAGTTGCTAAATGTTTAAATTGAATCAGTTGATGATTTTCTATATATAGCAAGTGTTACCTTTACCTTGACCTTGGATTACTGGCACACACTGCTGACCTTGGCCTTGACCTTGGAACCCTGAAACACAACAATGTCCGAAGTATACTCATACTTGACCTTTGCATAACGTTTGACCAAAAATCCATGAACGAATGAAGTTGCTAAGTGTTTAAATTGAATCAGTTGATGATTTTCTATATATAGCAACAGTGACCTTGGCCTTGACCTTGAAACCCTGAAACACAAGTATGTCAGAGATATACCTATGTTTGACCTTTATATAAAGTTTGACCAAAATACGTAAAAGAATAGAGTTGCAAAATGTTTAAATTGAATCAGTTGATGATTTTCTATATTGAGCAAGTGTGATCTTGGCCTTGACCGTGGATCCCTGAAACACAACAATGTCCGAAGTATACTCATACTTGACCTTTGCATAAAGTTTTATCAAAATCCATGAAAGAATGAAGTTGCTAAGTGTTTAAATTGAATCAGTTGATGATTTTCTACATATAGCAACAGTGACTTTGGCCTTGACCTTGGAACCCTGAAACACAAGGATGTCAGAGGAATACCCATATTTGACCTTTGTATATAGTTTGACCAAAATCCGTGAAAGAATGAAGTTGCAAAATGTTTAAATTGAATCAGTTGATGATTTTTCTATATATAGTAACAGTGACCTTGGCCTTGACCTTGGAACTCTGAAACACAACAATGTCAGAAGTATACTCATACTTGACCTTTGCATAAAGTTTGACTGAAATCAATGAGAGAATCAGTTGATGATTTTCTACATATAGCAAGTGTTACCTTGACCTTGACCTCAGATTCCTGGCACACAACTATGTCTGAATTATACTGATACTTGACCTTTGCAAAAAGTTTGACCAAAATCCATGAAAGAATGAAGTTGCTAAGTGTTTAAATTGAATCAGTTGATGATTTTCTATATATAGCAACAGTGACCTTGGCCTTGAAACCCTGAAACACTAGGATGTCAGAGGTATACCCATATTTGACCTTTGTATAAACTTTTACCAAAATCTGTGAAAGAATGAAATTGCAAAATGTTTAAATTGAATCAGTTGATGATTTTCTATATATAGCAACAGTGACAATGGCCTTGACCTTGGAACCCTGAAACACAAAGATGTCCGAAGTATACTCATATTTGACCTTTGTATAAAGTTTGACCGAAATCTGTCAAAGAATGAAGTTGCTAAGTGTTTACATTGAATCGGGAAAGTTTCAAAAAAAGTTTTTAATGAACAGAAACTTTGAATTTCTATCTTAAAAAAAAGCAATTCTGCTTTTAAATGTAGGTTTCTGTAAAGAAGTTCCATTTTTCATTGGCTAGTTTGATGTTATTTAGTGACACTAACATGAAGACTTACCTTTGGTGGCTGGTCCTGAGATTTAGGGTTATTGTGTTCATCTTTCCTTGGAACCCAGCGATTCTAAACAAGATTGCAATCAGTATTACAAACTTAAGGAAGGAAAGTGTCCCTACCAGTCAGTAATTGAATTTAAGGATCCCTTTATCTCTGCCATAAACTGTATTATACATTGTGCTTACATTGTCATTAAACTACGATAGAAAGAAGCAATCATGATGATGTTTTTATGATGACACGACAAAGCGCTCAAAAAATAAATTCCAATGGGGGTATGTTTCTCATGACGAAGTATTCACATGGTAAACATTCAACCTACTTTTATTTGTCAAAAATGTCAACTTAGCGCTTTGATGTGTCATCATAAAAACATCATATCAGTGACACAGGATTGATTGTACCGTGTTGTTGACAGGTTTGTTATAAGTGTCAAGTACATAATGTGATAGCTTCTCCCTACCATAGTTTAATGATGATGTTAAAAGCATAATGGATATTAAATACTCAAAGTGATAATTAAACAATTATGCACGTTATTTCTGTAGTTTAAATGTTTTTGTTGTAAGCAAATTTTGATGAGCAAGACTTGGAACATTTTCTGTAGTCCATTTCATGCCAGTCCCTAATGGAGCCCATGCTGTTTTTCCGAACAGTGTAAGGTTCTTTCTAACTATTTTGATGTTTCAAATCAAAGATTATAAATCTGGAAAAATCAACTGTAAAATAATTCTGATGCCTTTTTTGCAACTTACCATTCTTAATTCAATCACGTCCATTAATAAGAATCTCTCTTTGGGAGATCTCTTCTTATCTCTGGCGATCTTATTCATTACTTGAAAGTACTGCTCCATCCGTGGCTGTAAACAATAGCATCATGTTGACTTTGAATATGATTTATACAAGCTGAACATTCACAAAGATATTTTTTCAACATTATATTGTGCCATTTTAGTAAAACATCGGTAAAACTATGAATTTCCAATGAAATGTTTTTGTAGACACATGTCTGAAATGATAAAACATATAGAAAGGACTACATGTACGTATATATAGTTTGGGTCGTTTTTGGCCGCCAAATCCATCAAAATTAAAAATCTTGAATAAAACTTTCTTTAACTTTGAATACTTCCCCGGTCCTTTTATGTAAACATTTATTTGTGTTTTCAATAATGGCTACCATTGTAACCAGTTAATTTGCATAAATCAATGAAATTTGAATATTTAGTCAATTTTGACAAGTTTTCCCCTAGTGTTTCTCTTAGCTACCATAGAGGGCACTTTTGAACAAACTTTATATTTCTCCTATCTAATACAGGTGCCTACCAATTATTCTTTGATATTAAGTTTGTTCAAGCATGCGCTCTATAGTTTCCAGGAGAAAAACTATGCAAAATATGACAATATTCACTGAATATTCAAATTTATCTAATGTATGCAAATTTAAACTTGTTACCATGGTAACAATAATTAAAAATACAAATAAATATTTTCATGATAGTATCTGGTAATTGGAAAGTATTCAAAATCAGTCGTCTGAAAGTTCATTTAAAGCTTTTGAATTTTGATGCATTTGGGGGACAAAACATGCCCAAACCATACATCCTCTGGAAATTTATTCATGAAAAAATCATAGTTTTACCAAGGTTCTACTAAGGTTTGCTAATGTCCTGAATTTATAGACAGGGTCAGACTAAATAATTATACGTAAGAAAGATTATTCATCATTACAAGCTAGCTCATGTTCAACATTCATTATTTCCATACGCTCATTATCTATGAAAAATAGTTTCTGTTAATTTCAGAACATAGACAAGACAATGTCAATAAATTTGTTTATTACAATTTTACAGGTTATTTATAAGATGTGAGTTTTTATTACATTTCCATGCATATAAGATAGAGCTGTCCAGGGTAAGAAAGGGGTGTAAGAAAGGTGAGGTCAACATTTGGCCCTCGCTTCGATTTCTTTTGTTTTTTTCCCCCATATGTAGATACAAAAAAAATGAACAATAACTGAATAAATGATTATTCATTATTACTACACATAACCATAGTGAACCTCTTTACATAACACCAGGTTGAGTGACAAAATGACAGATAAATGTCACAGGCGAATGTTATTTTGAAAATTAATTATGATAACTTGTACAGTGTATAAAATTACTGTTATTTTGATACTAAACATGGCATATTGGTATACATGCAGGCTATTACCCAGCCACCTGTCTGCCTGTCTTTTGGAAGGGCAGTTTCTTAAAAAGGCCTATTTAGACGGGCAACTTCTCACTATATATCCTTACTATTGTACTTAATTTTGGACAGGCAGTTTTGTAAAAATGGACTAAATATCAGCTTTTTGGATAGGGTGGTTTGAAATCCTGGCTAAAAGCCTGTATACATGAAATAAGCGTAGTGATACTTTTAATTAGAAAAACATGCAAAATTTTCACAAAATTAAAAATAAAACCAACACTGTCAATTTGCCTATACATACTGTAGTTTCAATGGAAGTTTATATTTTATACTTCTTTAAAAACTTTCTATATGTATATATTCTGTCTACAGAATCATTTTTATGTAATATCAAAACCAATAAAGTACTTTTTTAGCATGCCAAACATGATCAATGCCTAATTTCACATAATCATGGAGATTTTACTATCAATGTTTATGATGGCAAATACTGATACATTTTCTGTTTTTGTATCATACTAAAACACTTTATTATATTATGCATTTTTTAAAGTTATGTCCAGCAGTAATAACTCATTAAATGGTATTCTGCCAAAGTAATCTTTCCTCTGGAGAACTACTTAGGTTGAGACTGTGTTAAATACAAAGATATGCATATAACTAAAGGCAATAAAATGATCTTAATAGTAAAAGTAATATACACTTTATTATTATTTCAGTTTGCCTATTACCCATTTATTAAACAAAATATGAAAGAACATTACATTATTTTATATCTTTAACTCAAAACAGATAGGGCAAGGAAATATATCCTTGTCTGACTCCCCAAACAAAAATCTTAATTTAGCATATTTGATTTTTGTGACTTTGAACGTAGGTCGAGGTCACCAATGCCCAAGCACCATTGGTAATGAAGAAACACAAGTTAAAGGAAAAGTGGAAAGAAAGAAATGTTTTTCGTTTTTTAAATCTAAAGTGTCATGTGACAAATTTACTGGTTGTCAATTTGTTTTAAATTCCCGATGTTGAAAGATATTACTAATAGCCAACTTTTAAGCAAGTATGAAGCCAACTTTTAAGCAGGTATGAAAAATAGACTCGTTTTAGAACTACACTGTACAATGTTTGTATTACTGCACCTTTAACACTCACACAGGTGTTAGTCAATGAGGTCCCATTTGTCATAAAATGAATTCTGAAACTAACTGTTCTTGATTTAAGATTCCTATACCTATACTTTTTTGTATTTATCATGTTTTGAAATTCCAAGCGGGGGACGACGCTAATGTTAAATCTTTATAGGCGTTGACCCTATCTTTCTATCTTACACCCTACTTCATGTGACGTGATGTCAGAATTGCTCAACAATGATGTGGCATCACGAACTTGGAAAACTATCAACAATGTATTTATCGTACACATTAGAAAGATGAGATTAATTTTCTGCGCAAAGTTTGTTTGTAAATATGGGGTATGCTTAATCTCGCTGACAGATTCGATCATTTTTGTCAAAAACGCTCTGGGGAAAATTGATATTTTCAAAATGGTGGCCAATCAAACCGCATTTTCATTGTTTCTGAGCTTATTTTGTTAGTTGGAATGAGAGAAAATACTCTTTCATGCCCAATGGTGTGGAATAGGGAAATTCCCTATTTCCCTATGTAGGTTAGGGAAATTCCACCCTTCAAATTTGAAAACCCCTCGGGTGGAATTTCCCTATCTTACACCCCTGGACATGAAAAAGTTTTCCTGCTGAATATTTAAACATTTTTCACAGAATATATCGATATTTTCACTTGTTCTTCACACTTGATAAAAAATATCTATATTCTGCTGTACTCGTAAAATAGTCCAGGTATATGGTATTCAACAGTTGGAAGTCATTAAATATCCTTATGTATTTTTGGTACTTCCAGTTGATGTTTATTTAAGAAATGTGTTTTTTACCTTGGCTTTATCCGTGTCCAATTCTTTTCCGATGGTAGTTAAAAGGACACAAAGGTTTTCTAGGCTTACTGAATCTTTAACTTTGAGCATTTTAAGCACACAATAATGCATAATGTTCTCAGTTAACATTTTCAATTTAAATAATTCCCCAATGAACCTGAAATAAGACACAGAACACATGGTTAATTGCAAAACATTTATTTTTTAATATCACATGTCATTTGTCAGAGGAAAATGTGATATAAAGTGAGATGAAATATTAACAGATATGACATTAACAGGAACTCTAGTTTCTATAAAAATACTCCAGAAAATACACACAATGCCAGGAGATTTCTTGAACAGCTAGGTACTTTTTTTTTTACTATTTTATACAAAGCCAATGTATTAAAAGGCACCTGAAGGGCATTGAGCAAAACAAACTACCATTGTTTTCATAGATTTAAGTCTGTGATTTGCTGGGCAAGTGGCATTATAAACATGACATTAAGAGGAGTTGATATAAAACAAGCTTTATATCATAGCACAGATTTAAGATTTTAGCTAATCCAACCTTTGATTATGAAATTTCAACTGTTATAACCTGTTTATAGTTATATGCATATCTGTTAGAATGTGAGTACATGTAATTTGGAAAGTTGTTAAATATAGCATTCATATTAAATAGCATTGTGACAAACATTGCAATACAGCAATATTTCATTTCTGTATTTCGATATTATATAAAGTATATTATATGTCTGTGTATTGTGATATACTGGCTTTCAGATATTTTATGACAGCCCTTCATGAAACATACTCTGAAACCCTATAGCATACAACTAAAACACTGACAGGTCAGTAAGGGCCCCGTCTTGTGGCAATATATCCCACATAATCATCAAGAAGCAAACTGCCCATATAGTTGAGCTTGACGTTTGACATTTGGACTTCAAAAAGAATCGCAAGGAAGCAAAATATACATTTTACATGTATTATGATGTGAGTCTTGTTTCCTTCCACCTCCATATTTGCTGGGCTAACAGAAATGTAAATACCGGTGCAATACTCAATTGTTAGCTTTGATTTGTTTTATTTCACCTTATATACCTCCTCCATCAAGAGCCAGGGTCAAAGTCAGAGATCCACTTTGTCTTTGACCTTTGTACCCAAATGACCTTGACCATTAACCCAGTGACCCTGATCTTTGGTCAGTTGACTTATTATTCAATTCCGACCAACTTTGCTTCTTAATATCATAACAAAATGTTAATCAGTAAAAAATACAAAACTTGACCTTGACCCTTTGGACCCCGTAACCTGGACCTAAGGTCAGTTGACTCTGTGTTAAGTTCTGAACAACATTGCTTCATGATGTCATAACAAAATGTTCATCAGGGAAAAGGTACAAAATTTAACCTTGACCTTTGACCCAATGACCTTGACCTTTGGTCAGTTGACTCCTTGTTTAATTCTCAACAACTTTGCTTCATCATGTCATAACAAAATGTTCATCAGTGAAAAGATGCAAAATTTGACCTTGACCTTTGAATCTAATGACCTTGACCTTTGACCTCGACTTTTTACCTCAATGTGTATTTTTGTAAACTGAACATCCTGACCAAGTTTCATGTACATCGGTCAATAAATAATAAAGTTATCAGCCAGGAACAAAATTTGTGGACGGACAGACAGACAGACAAAGTGATTACTATAGGGCACCCGTATCTCCGATACGGGGCCCTAATAAGAGGCCAAATGGACCTGCATCGATTGTTCACCTGGTATTAATCTCTCACTTGTAACCTTAAGGTGGAATAAAATCTATGAGTGTAAGTCATTCAAAAGAACATGTTAAAATATTTAAACATATTTGATCTCTGTGACCTTGAAAGAACTGTATAGCTCTTCGCATCTCAGCATGTAATTTGCCAAATATCACCACCCTAGATCATTTGTTTATTGAGATAAAGGTTTATACACTTTTGGCCATATGTGACCTTGAAATTAAGGTGGGTCAAGATCATCCACATGAACAAACTTGAGAGCTTAGCATCTGAACAAGCTACTGGCAAAATATCACCAACCTATGCTTTTTGGTCGTTCAGAAGAAGTTGTCAGAAAGTTTTCAACACATTTGATCCCGATCATCTGGAATTCATAAGAGCAATCTTCAAAATTTCTTATCTAAGCATGTTACTGTCCGAATATCATCACCCTGGGCCTTTTGATTATTCAGAAGAAGTTGTTTAAAGGTTTTGAACATATTTGATCCCTGTGACCTTGAATACAAATCAACGTCATTTATTTAAACGATGTTGGTAGCCCTTCATCCAAGCATTTTACTGGTCAAATAAGATGATCCTGGACCTTCACATTATTCAGAAGAAGTTGTTAAAAGGTTTAAAAAATATTTGACCCATGTGACCTTGACTATAGGTCAAGGTAATTCATTTGAACAACTTGGTAACCCTTTATCCCAGCATGTTACTGGCCAAATATCATCACCCTAGGCCTTCTGATTATTCAGAAGAAGTTGTTTAAAGGGTTTGAACATATTTGATATCTGTGACCTTGAATACAAATCAACGTCATTCATTATATCAAAGTTGGTAGCCCTTCATCCAAGCATGTTACTGGTCAAATATCATCAGTCTGGGCCTTTTGGTTATTCAGAAGAAGTTGTTTATAGATTTATACACTGGGTAGAGGTCATTCATCCCAGCATGCTATTGGCCAAATATTATCATCCTAGGCCTTCTGGTCACTGAGAAGAAGTCGTTTAAAGTAAAAAGTTGACGCCGGAAGACAAACGACGGACGCACGACGGACGCCGCACCACAGCATAAGCTCACTTAAGCTTGCCCTTATCTTCACTGGAATGTTGGTATATTTGATATTTTGTTAAAAGTGATTGTACTTGTGAAAATTGTTCATCCTCTTGTTTATATACAACTAAAACATGATAAACAGTTTATCTGTTTATTACACATGTTAGCGAAAAACATGAATAAGATACACGAAGAAGTACATGTATACATTATTAACATTTGGCATATCAGGGGCTACTCACTCTACTTGCTTAACATACCCTTAATACAACTTAAACTTAAAATTTAACATCAAGACTCCAAACAGACACCTAGAGAAGAGGCTTGACTCTGCCGAACTCCAGAGAAGCAACTTGACTCTTAAGTGTTTATGGAGAAGATGAGAAATAGAATACTCTAACCTAGAGAATAAGCTTGACTCTACTGAAACTGCAGAGAAGCAACTTGACTCTTAAGTATTTATGGAGAAGATGAGAAATAGAATACTCTTACCTAGAGAAGAAGCTTGACTCTACTGAAACTGCAGAGAAGCGACTTGACTCTAAGACTTGAAATCGAATAGACCTAGAGAAGAAGCTTGACTCTACTGAGCTGCAGAGAAGCGACTTGACTCTAAGTATTCCTGGAGATGATGAAACATAATATATAGAAGCTACTGACATAGTAAATGAATAGTATTTCAATTAATAAAGTATTGGGGGTAAAATTTAACGAAGTAAGTAATACAAATGAATATTGATTACTAATGAGTTGGAGCCCCCAATATGGGGTACATGGACCCACAGTTTTGTGAGCTCCTAAAGGAATACAGAGGTTGAAGAACACTGACAAAAACCACTGCATGGTGGCTGTCGCATCGACAAATGCTGGTTCTATGACTTGGAAATAATCTAAGAGATGTAAAATGTTAGCAATACTGTAGTTGGTTCTGGCAATCCAACAAACTGCTAACTTGGGGCTTGAACAGCTACCAAAAACTAGTCGTGTGAAAAAATAGAATTTATTTGCCCAACGAATACCATGATATGGCCACAGCTCTGGTTTGATCGGCAGTAGCTTAAAAGTGTCTGTAATGTCGGTTTTCTTTAACCAAGCATATTTACCCGCGGATTTGATAAGACGAACAGCATCATCAATAGTAACATAATGTAAAGAACAGGTAGTTTTATCGATCAGGCTATTGAGGCTAGGGTTATTCGCATCTTCGTTTGGCGCAGACAAATCAACATTAAGACGTTTCTTTTTTGAGTATTTGTGCTCTGCTAGTCCAATTGGGTTGATGCGGTATTCTGGGTAAGGTACAGAGCCAAAAGAACCGATTAGATAGCCATTATTTAGCTCTTTTTCGACAAGATCTGTCACACATCCCAGATCTTCTGTAGCTGACTTCAGATTCCTGTATATGATGGAGTTGACAGGTAATGACTGAAATCCAGTATCAAATCCGAAAGTTAATCCGTCGAGCAAATGATTTACAAAAGTTCTATCCAGATGATATCGAAGTTCAAATTCTAAGGCTGAGATGTTAATTGGTGTAGTGGCTACTGAGGAGCGAGTCAAGACTACTTTCTCTTTGCTGGAGGCTTCGGGCCATCTAAAGGGCAAGCAGACTTTGGGTGGCCTCCCTTACAGATCAGGCAAACATGGTAGAAATAACACACAGGCCTGCTGCAACCATTCTGTCCATTGAAATTGGTGTCAGACAGAAGCTGGTGGTGTGAAGGTACTGTTGCACACTTGGCAAGAAACTGGTCGTTGATTGGCAAATATGTTACAAAAGAAGGTATTGTCCCGAACAGACAAATCAATTGGGGTGTTGTTAAATCGAAGTTTGGCCGCTGCTCTCAAAGAAAATTGTCTGTGGTAATCACAAAATCCCACTGAGTATCATGTGCCCATTTCAACAATGTCCCTTTCGTACAAGCTCTATACGCCGAGAAGGGTGAGCAGTACACATAACGTGTTTATACACTCCGAAGGCCAAAATAAATTCACTCAGAGTTAAAGTCCTACTGAGCCTAGCGCCTGGTTTGTCAGAATTGTAACAACTTGGGTCACTCTGGTCGGTAAAGTAGGGAATAAGCAGAGCGGCCAAGTTGACATCCCTTCCTGAAATGATTAGCTGTTGTAATGAAGGGAAACCCGTTTCTACTAGCGGTAGTGATTCTGCTGAAAAGCCATATCTTGTTCTTTTAAGAAAACTCTCACCTTGTGATGCGTTTGTTTCTAGACTCCTGTATGCGGTCTCTACAGTGTACTCTGCTTGAGGTGGATTAAGGATCCCCGATTCCATGGCAAGTTGATTTTCGCTGCTGCAGGAGAAACTTGTCGCCTCGAAGAATTTGTCACGGAACTCAGCGTTGTGGCGTCAACAGCAACGGAATCACTTATTCGTCTTTCCAGTCTGACATAACTGTCCTGTAGTGTAGAAACACTCTCCAACAAACTAGTGACGATGTCGACCAACGTTGGCGTATGCAAACCATCCTCACGATTCAGAGTAACCTGGTCGCCATCTTCTTCTTCTTTAGTTATTCCCTCCGTTAATCTCTGGTATATATATACAGTATGTTTCCTACATTATTATTGCTGACCTATGTTCAATTATTACAGTTAGAGAGTATGCTACGGTCCAGTGATCGCAAGAACATTCATGCCTATGTACAGGTATATGCCACCACCTCAATAGCTATACACTTGTAAGCCGACATATAATATATATACACTTTCGGGAATGGGGAGAGAATTAGACAGTGTTGATTATATCAGTCAGCATGAAACAACGGCAACCGTGTAGTGTAGAGGCCTAAGCACATTGTCTATGCGCACAATTATAGCAACTTCACTTAGAGCAGTTGGTGCATAATCAGACATAGTAGGTCAGCTGTCCTGTGCTGCCAGTAGACTAGATCTTGCCAGATGAAGGTCATATAGCAAACTCCTACTAATTTTCTCAAAGGTAAGTCTCTGGTGTGAGTTCAGTTGTAGGTCATGGGCTGTGCTAGTAGATGTACATGTGTAGTCCATTATACACTGGAGCAGGATAGGATCACTGTGGGGGATCTTAGCTGCACCAATACTACCTGACCTATATGTGGAATTTATGATTAGCTTAATCTTAGGGATATATTTTATGTGCTTATGTTGGAGAATTGTACAGTGGAGAATAAAATGTTCTCTAGTTTCAGCTTCCTGTTTGCACGGAATTGTGGGATCGCGCACCTCTTGACCTCACATCTCTCAATTTTTTCATCAAAACCGCTTCTCGTTGGCCCTGAACGGTACCGTCGATCTTGTCAATTCTTCTCGCAAACGAGCTATTGTCCAATTTTCCAGCATTTCCGGATCGTACGGAACAACTCTAGTATTTCGCTTGCTATAATGTATAGGAAGTGCATCACGTCCTTAAACATGAAGTTGTAAGGTGGTATTATACCTAAAACAGTATACGCTTAGTAGGCTGCCTTACTCCCAGTGTGTAGCGTAGCCACATGCCACCTCAAGTCCAACAATCACGCAAAAGTAAACAAACGTTTCTCCTCGTACTGATCCACGTTTACAACGTAACAAACTGGCGAAAGTTAAATCCTACGGCGATGACTGTCACTGAGTAATCGTGGTGTAGTTCAAGTTAAATCCATTAGTGTAGTAAACACTTGAAAAGTCGAGAAAAGATGCATAAAATAAACGATGATAATCCGCCAAAAACAAAGAATGAATAGGATGCTGTCAATACTAATACCCCTCTAGGGGATAATGCTGATTGATCAAAATCTACCCCACTCATTAGCATAAATATATCAACAACTTGCATAGAGATGCATATGACGTACTAGCTACGATATCAAGATTGACACAACACAGGAAATAGACCTTCCAAAGCACATATATATATTCTTGTAATAAGCAACAAAGAAAAGATACAAAATGTACATGAACATTTAAGTGCATTTTTTAAACATAACAAATTCATGACTAAACAAAACATACACTATAAACAAGCCATGCATGTAGAGGTACATATACATGTAGTCGTATACAAACTATAATTTAACATTTAACATGTCAAATTATCATTGTAAGCAGAATACCATACCTACAATTTCCTAAAGATCGTTTCCTGACTTGACGTTCTTTATATTCTAAATCAGCCATCAGCTTTTCTTTGTCTTCCACCTGCAACTGAACAAGTGTCAATGCATTACTGTGGGGGAAATGTTTGCGGTATTGCAATTTTCACGCCTTTCACAGAAAGATTTAACCACAACTTCAACAATGCAAAGAGAATTTCCAGTTTCAAGAATTATTGTAAGATCTAGTTTGAGAATAAGATCATGCACTGACTAGTACTTTCTGAGAAATAGCCCTGATAAACGATATGTAACTCTCAAAACTCAACATGACTGCCTGTCAGCCATCTTGGTTTACCTATCAGTCCAAACAATTTATATGCATAACTAGGAACTATGGGAAACCAACATGTGAAATTTGAAAAAGATTTTTCCTATACTTTGTGAGAAATAGCAACAACAAATTTTGACTTTCAAAATTCAAAATGTCCACCTGTCAGCCATCTTGGGTTTTCCGATTGGTCCCAAGATTGGATATGCACAACTAGGAACCATTGGTAACTTTTGTTTGATATTTGTGAAAGAACCCTTAAGTACTTTCTGAGAAAAAGCTCTAAAAGTAACTGTTTAAGGACATGCAGGCGTTATGACAGACGGATTGACAGATTGATGGATGACGGAACAAGAGAAATTTGAATAGCCAACAATCTCATCATGGTGGCTAAAAAAGTTCCCTGTAGAAAATAAAATGACAACATAAGGCCATCTTGGTGAGTAATTGATCATTACAATCTTTTCTGTGTCCCAGTGGATTTTTTAGGCAAAGAGTTGATTGAAGCTCAGCCATCCTCAACCAAATTTACTGATTTATTTGTCAAACTGTCAAAACACAGGGCCAGATTTAACACTTCCTTTGATTTCAAGAGCTTACTAACATCAAGCATCTATTTGACCGAGTCAGGTTAATATATATATTTTGGAATGAGCTCAACAAAACAAACAGACAAAAAAGATTATCAACATTGGACAAAAATCGAAGTTTCTGGTGAAATATCTGAAATGCTTTCCCTCAAAAGCAGAAGAAAATCATGTCAGATTAATACATGTACACAAAGATATATTCAAGTCTTTATCCATTATATAGTATGGATCAGATTGGCAGATATTTCTCTACGAAATCATCTTATTGTGGAACAAAATAATGATAACAAACCTTGGCCTCCTTGATTTCTTTCTGCCTTCTTTCCATTTCCTTTTTGGTGTCTTCGTCTTTCTCAAACGCCTTCTGACATTTGGTTAAGAGAATTACACGGAAATTGACAAATTCACCTGGCTTTGTTTTGCTGGGTACTTTGATCTACAGGTATCAAAAAATATTTCTTATAATAATTGAATGAAGACTTATTTAATACTTGTGTTAATAATTATTTACATTATGTTTGTGTTAATAAGAAAGTACAAGTGATTTTAGTGTGCAGATATAGTTAGCATTTGAGTTACTTCCCTTTGTCTGGCAGACTTTCGACTATAGAGTTATCTCCTCTTATTGGTGTCTTATGGGAGAGGAATAAAACCAGATATTGAACCTTATATTACTTGCGTTTGTCTTCTATTTGATAAATAGTACATAAAACACATTAACACCATCTGAATGTTATAAAAGTTGCTTATTTTCATATTTCCTTTCCTTATTTCAATTCCTTTTTCCTCTGAAATCAAGTTGAATTGTACATGTCTGTTTTCTGTTTATAACCCAAAATATCAATTTGCTCTCATTGACCTTGATATTATGATGTCACAATCAGATGGCTTACGTTATCACATCATAATGGGTTTTTAAGTTGGTAAACTAAGGCAACATCATAAACATAATAACAACTGCACAAGCCTTCCTTTAATGTTTTTTTTCTTTTTTTTTCTTCCTTAAATGTCTTTAAAAGTCAGGTATACCATTCTTTTTCTAGTTTTCTCAAATGACCTTTGTGTTTATATCATCTAGAAATTGTGCATTCATCTTGTCTACATCATTTTTTTTACCCATGTTTAGGGTAAGAGGGCCTGTATCGCTCACCTGGATAGCAAGCAACCATGGGAAAATATTCTCATTAAATATGACACTGCAACTATTTCCAAATATTGTCTCTGTCTCTAAGCAACACCTGTCCCTCATATTCCGTCCCTAATTGCTGCCCCGCTGAAGCGTTGAAAAGAGGTTGAACTACCTAAATGATGGCTACAGAAAAAGGGACGCAGTGTTACAACAAAGTGAGTGTCCCAGATTGATGTACTAGAGGATATATGGGTGCCAATAAGAAATGACATTTCTGTTTTTGTGAACTACATGCTCATTTCATACATACCATTGCAAGATATCTGCACATGCTTGCGTAAGCTACTACAAATCTTGGGTCACCAACAGCCTAAAAGTACAAAATACAAATTACAACTAATTTGAACCTTGCCCCAGGAACGTAAAAGTTATTCCACAAGCCTGCCTGAGGCTCTTGAATCAGAATGGTTCTTTAAATTCAAGGTACACGGTTGGTATACCATACTTTTTTCTGCTTTTTCCATATATGGCTTTATTCATGTAAACGTTATCTAGAAATATTGCTATATTTGGTGTTGCATTTGCATTGCCCATGTCATATGTTTTACCGAAATTTCAGAGGTGGAAGAAAATGAGTCAATCATTTTTGGAGGGTGGTTGGCTAGTGACTGCAGATGGTCAGATGCCATAACTACTTGGCCACCCTGGCACCTGGACTACATATATAGGTGATGGGGTCTAAAATAACTACCAATACATATACAGTCAAGAATCCATGTCCTACTGCAGGCAAAACTCTAGAGCTTTCCAATATAGTTTTCCGTACATACTACTGTTGACCAGGTAGCTAAGTTGGTTAGAGTGACAGTATAATGATCTGAGGTGCAGGGTTCGAATCCTTGTCTAGTCCCATAGCATTTTTCACTCTGATCTTTAATATTTAATATTTTTTCATGAAAGGTCTGAACGCTACAGTTTTCTTTTCAGAAATGATTTACTGAATGCATAATCATGCCAAAAAAAGGGTTTCTTATGTATGGTGACAGTTTTCTGGCAGTGGTACAGGGATCTTCAAAAGACCACCAATGGAAGTCCAAACAGTGATTTCTTAACTCATTCACCCCTGAAATTACAGAATGAACTATTCAAACCTTTGAATTGGAAGAGTTCAAATGTGTCTTCAATGTAGAACAAAATTGTACTCTTAAATGGAGATGTAAGTTTGAGCAGGTTCAACTGTATTTATAAGGGTCCCTAGAAAACAAATGTTGTGGGGGTGAAGTGGTTGTGGGGGTTGGGGGCACCATAAAGACCTCTCTGCTCCCCTCAAATACTTATATTTGGAATTGCACTCAGGAAGTAATAACAGCTATTCATGAAATATTACCAAAACGTAAACTTGGTTTACGACTCCAAACAGCCTCTCCTCTGTGTCAATCTCCAGCTCACTCATCTGTTTAACCAGAGTTTGAAAATTTTGTCGAGACAACTTGTTCAAGATACCACGTACCTTTTTATACAAGACCTACAACAACAAGATGTGGATTAAGCTTATTTCTCACCACTCCATGTGGGTAACCCTTCATTTATACAACTATTAGTACATTTCTTCTAAGGGAGGATCCTTGTCTGCATTGCTTTAGCTCTGCAGGATTATAGGTTTTTTTTTAAATGAAAATTAAATTATGGATGTTGGAGGAACTAAAATAAATCTTTCAATTGTAAGCAGCTTAACAAAATCTTGTTAATCCTTTATGAATTACTTCTGTTTTCTTCTCTTCTGGATCATGTATCTTTTCTATGCTCTTCCTTGGTTTCCATGCGTCATCTGCCTTGTATAGTTTGTCGTTCTGTCCAGTGGTGTGTTTAATAATCGTATCACAAGGTCCACCTGTCTTGTGTCCACCCTTGGTCATCCTGCCCCCACCATCATGTTCAGTACCACCATCCTGCATTACAAAAAAAACATCACCCAATTCTATGTCACTGAATCATAGTCCAAAAAAAAGTTGGCACAAAAAATGTCCTGCATCAAGATAAGTTCATAACTGTCATATAACTATAATAGCATTATTGTGATATCACATTGCAGAGGGAAAATATGGGCTAGGGGATGGATTATTAGTATACTTTTCTTCAAAATTTCATATTTCTTGAATATATCCTTAGGGTGTTACATATTACAGGTAAAAACCACCAAATTGCCATTAGATGATTTTTCCTTGATGCCTTAAATTTGAATCACTTTTTGCCCATTAATGAACACCTGAAGGGCTGGGACAGCCCCCCCTCCCTCTATTGTTTTTCAATTCTCAATCAATGTCACATAGGGATACTCTCTGCTTAATATATTTGGTTGCAATCAGTCAAATGATGCTTGAGAAAAGCTGATAGAAGGTGTGGCTATAGACTTGTGCTTTGCTGTCTGTAGCTGACCGTGGGATTGAGCCATTAAATGGACCATGCTGTGTTTATCTTTTTCAAGTTGATAGCAGAAAACCACATCAACAGACTTATGAATCTGTTCGATAGTTCCTTTGACTTTTGGTTCCTCAGCTGGCGTGAAGGAGATGACATCTTTGTTCTTTACTTCTATGTGCTTAAACTTGCTATCAATACCAATTTGCATAGCCTAATCTTATCACTTCTTTCATTGCAAGATACCTGAAACATGCCGTCTCTGTAATTTAGAGCTTGTTGATACATTAAAGAGCCAGAAAGTCTTCCTCTGACATAACAACACTGATATCTGGTACATGTTCAAAGTCTTCCTGTGGAGAGCTGAAATAATCTCTAGTGTCATCAACTCTGAAGTATCAACTTTGTTCAGGTCACTGTCCTTCTACATATCTAAATGCTTTTGTATTTGTGTCTTCTACTAGGTAAAGTATTAAAACATAGTCAGATTCAAAATATTCTTCTTTCCTATGCCCCTTTTTGCCCTTTTTAGTTCTAGCATACACACAACAAACGAGAGAAAGACTCATTGTAATTCCATGGGACAACATTGCACCACAAAGGGTATATTTATCACACATTTCCAAAGGTAAAATAAAATGCATCTCAACAAGAATACATAAGCACTGTAAAACAGAAAATTATTACTGCTTTTGCATTTACTACATATGCATCAAACCTTGACACAAAATGTAATATGTTTGCAGCACAAAAGCCAATGACTGCAGTACCATAGCCAATGATTGTGGCATCAGCACCATAGCCAATGATTGTGGCATCACCACCATTGCCAACTGTTGCAGCACCATAGCCAATTATTGCAGTGCCAATGCCAATTTTCCATACTGTGAATAGTTTGACAATTGAATTCAAAATGCATATATTTCAACTTTTTATACTTTTTAATGACTTGTATGTTTGGAGTATTACTTTGTCACAGCTGCTAACTAAGGTCATGTGACAGTGACATGGCTAATGGAGGGCTGTTATTGTTTTAAGAAACCATTACACTGATATGTTAACTTTGACTTAGATAGTTGACCTTGAGGACCTAATAACAGTGCACTGCACATCGTCTTTGGATGATGCAGATATACTGCACGTTTCATATAAAGAAGAACCGGAAAAAGTGGAAGAAGAACCAGTACCAAAACAATGTGTCAACGTTCAAGGTCGAGTAAGGTCCAAACATTTTAGATATCTTGATGAAACTTGCTGTATACATGCATCACCTACAGACAATGTGTTGCTAAAGATCTCAAGAGAGAGCAGCATACTAGTTTTACAAAATCCCGAAGACATCTGGAAGGAGCTCCCCATTGTGTGGAAAAGTGTTGCGAACAATCACACCTAACAATTAAGCATCTTGTAGCCTGCAAGGGGGACAGACATAGAAATCTCAAACTAGTAAACATTTCTGCAGTAAATATAAATGTTACCTGATTCATTGTCATCTAAATAAACAAACCTTCGCTGAAGAGTCTTTTGTTGATCCCGCGACATCTGGGGATGTCACGACAACTTGAGCTTTTAAATCCTGCATCACCAATAAAAAAAATCAGTCACAAGTTTTCAAACAATCTCAGGTATCGCAATTAATACATATGAATAGGATGTTAATTATGAATTGTAAGTATACACTATATTTATAACTGCAGCAGAATATAAAAGAAATGTTCAAATGTATGGTTCAAAAGAGCAATAATAAGTATTTTTCTATTTAGAAAAGTGTTGACCATGCCCATCTCACCTGGAACATAAACTTGTTCAATTATCATACTTTGAATAAAAGTTGTTCAAATTGTTAAAGATATATCTCTTAGATAAATAAAGTCACTACAATTGATGACAAAGTTTTCAACATGAGATCCGAAAAGGATTTTAGCGTCCACCTAAAAAATGTCACATGACTGAACTACAGAAGAAGATTCATTTTGCATATGGCATCCGGAGACTTGTCTTAATAATGTTGTTATAATTAAGTATTTTACTGGGGAAAAAATGTGGAGTTTGATTTCCAACACCTTGAACTTAACCAGCATCATTAAAGGACACTTGGGGAAACTGGTAAATTTCTTCAATATTGTTTTATAATATTGTTATACAATGTTTGCTGTTAAAAAGATATCAAATGACCTTTATCACCTTGACTTTTGCGTCTTGACCATGGCACCTTCACTACTGATGCACTAATGGGTCATTTGTCTGGTGACATGAATATTTGCTTATAAGAACAAAACTTCCACAGGAGTTGGTGTGTCACCTTCAGTCAGAGTGAAGTTTTGAGGTTGATCGTCCTAAGGAAACTGGACTTATCGCACAGATACAGTTTTTCTTTTAATAGTAAAGGGGGACATTGATCTTTAACCTTCAGACCTGAAAATCAATCTCAAGCAAGCACTATTGGTAAAAAAACACTGTATGAAGTCTGAGCTTGATCAAATTTAAGATACTCAAGTTATCACATGGGAACAGATTTTCTATTTATAGTAACGGAGACTTCGACCTTCGGACCTGAAAAGCAAACCGAAGTAAGCACCATTGGTAAGAAAGCACCGAATGAATCCTGAGTTTGATCGACCAAAAGAAACTCAAGTTATCACATGGGAACAGATTTTTAACAAGGGGAACATACATATATAAGAAATCCCAGAGGGATCTTGGTGCCCACTTTTGTGCCATCTTCATTTGTTCTGTGTCAGTTTAATCTTTTCTCTTCTTTTCTCTTATCTGTTTGACCAAGTCATGTATACAGTAAATGCACCTTGAGGTAACTTTTGATCTAAACTTCATACTGCTGTGTATAAAAGACAACCTTCAAAGTGAGTTTGTCATTTCACATATTTACTAGTTCAGTACTTAATGATTAAGAAATAGAACTGATCATTGCAATATGAGAAAGATCTGTCAAGTTCTTCCTGCAGCGATCTTTTTTTAGGATCACTCTAAAAATAAAACATGCACAGCTAAGGACCAAGGGAACATACATATAAAAGTTAAGAAATCTATCCAGTTCTTCTGAGAAATAGCAATAACAAATATACTGTCAAAGTCCAAGATGGCTGTCTGTCGGCCATTTTGCTTCTCTGATCAGTCTCAAAATAAAACATACACAACTATAGACCAAGGGAAGTTACATATCATAATTGAGAAAAACCCTCCAGTAATTTCTGAGAAATAGTGCTAAAAAATGTTAACTCTAAAAATTCAAAATGGCACAAATAGCCACATCTTGGTTTACCTATCAGTCCCAAAATTTGATATGCACAACAAGGGATCATGCAGAACCTTTATGCTATATATGAGAAAGATCCATCTAGTAATTTCTGAAATAGTGCTAACTAACTTTTACTCAATAAATTCAAGATGGCGCCTATCTGCCATCTTGGTTTTCCGATCAGTCACAAAACTTGATATGCAAGAATGTCCAAGCAATTTCCTTGAATAAATCGAGTATGCTTGAGCTTTCTTCCTAAAGACATAACTGTTATAATTTAAATTTCAACTCCTTTTTAGTTTTTAAATATCAGTGTACTTACCCGTGCCTTAGCCAGAAAATTGCTCAGAATATTTCGAACCACCTCCTCCCAGGAAATGACAAGCCTATTGCTGTCCACCACATCCTCTGTTAACAGGCACTCCAGCTTCAGGTGCCCAGGAATGTCTCCTGGCCAATGTAGTTTTGTGTGATGGTCATTTAACTGTTTTTCCAGTTTTGTCATGTCAGATGACATGAGGTGCTGGACTTTATTTTGGTCAGCATCTTTAATAACCAAGGGGCAAGGAACCTTAAAGGTCGGTCCTGTGTGGCTGACCCTGTGGCCCAGCATTTCATGGTAAGTCTGCACAGTGAGCGTTTTCCCATCCAATTTGTGTGTTCTCTGGCAGACTCTGTCTATCACTGTAAGGAAAAGATGCATGGATATTGATTTTGTTTGGCAAACACTCACGCAAAACACACCACAACAGAAATGTTCCTTTTCTATGGTATACAACTCAGCTTAGAATCCTTACTTTTGTTACAATCCTTTGAATCTTTGCAGTAAGGTGTAAGTCACTATCAATAGCTAGCAGCAAAACGGTTTAGCAATGCAAACTAAAGGAACTTTTGGCGAGCTCACAAGATATACTCCTCGCTTGTGCTTAAATTTTAAGGGCCATAACTTTAAGAAATGAGATCCCAGAGGGATCTTGGCGCCCACAATTGTACCCTCTTAATTACTTTTATGTCAAATCGGTCTTTTCTGTTCTTTACTCATATCTGTTTGATCAGTTTGCCTGGGAACCATCTTGTTCTTCTGATCAGTCCCAAAACTTAACATGCACAACTACGGACCAAGAGAACCTTTATGTACATATCAAATTTGAAAAAGATCCGTCCAGTCCTTTCTGAGAAATAACGATAACAAACTTAAACTGTAACAAGATAGTTGCCTTGGTTTTCAGATCAGTCCAAAACTTTGATATGCATATCTAAGGACCAAGAGGAACCTTCATATAATAATTGAGAAAGACCCCTCCTGTACATTCTGAGACATAGTGCTCACAAACTTTAACTCTCCTATTCAAGAAGGCTGCCTGTGGGCCTCTTTGTTTTACAAGGGACCATGCATGGGGAACCCTCAGCTGAACTTTGAGATAGATATCTCTAGTATTTTCTGAAAAGTAGCACTTACAAGCTTTAACTCTCATATTCAAGATGGCTGCCCGTCAACCAATTTTCCACTTTGGCCAGCCCCTGGGATAGGTCAGGATATTTTGTTTTCTGATACTATTTGATTTCAATTTCATTATAACTATTCCAAGCAAATTTGAATAAAATGGACAAGATATAGTAAGAACTGTTATTCCCTATATAAACTAAGGAGAACAGATGACCAAAGGGTAATTTAACTAACAGGTTATATAATGCACCTAAGGGCATTTCCATCACAAATAGAAATTTGAATCTTGTACCATCCGAGTACAGATTTTTTTTTAAAATATCAGCCATTTTCCCCTTTTTGGCCCAACCCCTCCAGACCCTGGGGCAAGGACGATCTTATTTTTTCATACCGATAATGTACCGAAGAACCTTTTTATCCATGAAGAGTATTTGTTTGTAACACGTATGAGTCTGATGAAGAAGACTTTTAAAATATTGGTTTATTTTCCCTTTGGGACCCCGCCCTGGCCACTAGGTTTGGGGCAGGAATCCCAATTTTACAATTTGATACCATCTTCCTCCAAGGATTATTCTCATCAACAAAGAATAATTTCCAATTGAAAATTGACAAAATATACCCAAAAGTGTTATTTCCCTATATAAGCTATAGTAAACTTTACCCCCTACCCAAGGGAGAACGGATAGCCCAGGGGTACTGAAATTTACAATTTACATAAAGTCCCTGATGATCTTTCGATCCATGCAGAGAAATTGACTGAAGTACCTCTAAGTCTGGAGAAGAAGATTTTTGAAATATTGAATAATTTTCCCTTTGGGACCCCACCCTTGCCCCTTAGGTACCGTAGGAATCCTAATTTTACACTTTTGTAGCCACAGACATCTACCAAGGATAATTCTGGCCAAGTTTAAAAAGATTTGATCTTCTGGTTCTTGAGAAGAAGTCAAAAATGTAAAAAGTTTACACAAGACAGAAGACGGCAGATGGAAAGCGAACAGAATAGGTCACTCGAGCAAAGCTCAGGTGACCTAAAAACTGGTTCAGACAGGAGTTATGTTTAGATAACCAAAATTCAAAAGGCTGCTTGGCAGCCATCTTGTTTTTTCTATTAGTCTCAAAATGAAACATGCATAATGACAAAACAAACTCCTAGCTTTAGCAAGTTGCAATGAGGAAATCAAACCACAGAACAAGGTATTAATGAAACCAACATAATCTTTCAATTTTACATAAAATGTGATAAATTTGATAAAGTGTAAGACTCCTTTCTACATCATATTCTTACATGAATATGAGAAACAGTGGGTTCCATAGAGGAAACAAAGTGATTATCATGTTGCATGTCAATATACTACAAGAAGTCAGTGTTTATCTCTTGCAGGTTACAAAAGAAAAACCTGGCCTAGATGGTTTCATTTCTCTACTTTGTTGACCCAGGCGCTGATAGGGAGTTTTCTATTTAGAGGGGTTTAAGAGTACACATGTTCAAACAAAAGTGTCCTATCAAATCTGACCCATATTTGGGTACTCCGGCTCTCACTTATAGCCCTAAATAAAACAGGCATAACAAAGATTTGTTTGAGGTATCAAAAGTAAATTACAGGTATTATAAAGGATAGGACACTCCGACAAGAAAAAAAGTAGGGGATGCTTACTAGGCCAAATATAATACATTTGATCTACATTGTGTTTAGTAATGTTACCTTCAGGATCTTTAAAGATGGCGAGAAAGTATCCGTCAGATATCTCCTTGACCTCAGTGACATCACTATCACCGCTTCTGCGGCTATTCTCAAAATAAAATTTCAAGGTGTTCAGACTTGTACGTTTTCCGACCCCACTGACAAGGACACTCTGAGATACTGGAACCCTCTTTGCCTCCAGCAGACAGTTTTCTAGTGGTGAATTCTGACAGGCATTCTTCAATTTTTCAAAATCTAAAAAGAATTTAGTCGGAATTATTTCAGTCTATTAAAACATAAAAGAAGGAAAAGAAAAAGGCATGTACCGTCGTCTATTTTGATTTTTTATCTGAAAATTATGTTTGGATAGATCTATATCTTAAAGGAAAGCTTCTTATAACAAGGTAATCAACTTATAAACAAGAGGCATGTATCAGTCACCTTGTATTGTATATAAGTCCCCAGGGGCATGACGGGACCACAGATCCAGTCCTGGTAGCATAACTGTCATTCCCAGCAATTTTAGCAATGCTTGTATAGTGGGGTTCTTAAAGCTGTGACTCACAGACTCAGTCGCTAGGAGAGGGGACATACCCCAGGGTCAAATTTGATAGCACAATTATGATCCTATCTTGTACAAATATTGAAGGGGTTGAAATATCAACTGGTTCAAAGCTATTACACAGGGAATTATCACTATGGCCAAATAACCATTTTTGATCCTGTGCCTCATCACCCCACCATCCCCATCACCCCCTTGAGGATTCAGCCTAGGAACAATTATCACCTGACAATGCTTGCAACCAAGAATGGTTGATAGCATTTTTTTCAGTCTCAAGAAAAAAGAGCTTTACTGTTGAAGTTGAAAGCAATATGTCAAAATTACTCTTGCCATCTTACGACCCCTAGTTGATCAGCCAATTTATTTGAATTTGCTTCAAACCAAATTTGGTTGAGATCCATATCATATTGTTCCAGAAGAGAAGTCTGAAGTTTAAGTATTATGCCAAATTACCCAAATTAATCAGTCCTTCCATTTGTAAAAGGGTGAATGCACACTACCTCAGAATGTTTTTCAACCAAATATGGTTAATACCCATCTTATAGCTCCTGCAGAGAAGTCCCTTGAAGCAATNACCACCACCACCACCACCACCACCACCACCACACAATGGTAAAAATATATGTATGATACGTTCAGTTAAATTTAATAATTTGGCGTAATGCCATTCAGCAGTTCATCAGAAGAAGTTTAAGATTAAAGAAATTGTTGATGAGAGGGTGACAGAAGCTTCATAATATGACATCTCAACTCGTCGATAGACAGTTAGAGTCTCTTTGAACATCTGACCAATCCTTTTGTTCCAGGAGAGTATTTCATTGAATTATTTAACATAATATCTTGCTAATGTATTAAACATGATCACATTACCTGCAGAACCATCAAATGTAACCAAGACTGCACCCTCCTCTTCTCCATATAAAAATTCTATTGGAAACACATTGACCTTTGATTTCAGAAAATTCTCGAGCATTTTTTGTGTTGTGTTTGAATTCATATTCCTGAAGAAAACCTTCTCCTGGTAAAATAAAGGATCAGGTACAGGTTCCAGGGCCTCAAACAATCTCACAGTCAAGGAGGACTTGTCCAAGGTGTGCTGTCTCCCAAGAACAAGTTGTGCATCTGAAATAGACAAGACATGTTATTGAAGCAAAAGACACCCATTCCAAATGCCTTGCCTTGGCAAACAGTGGCCATAAATTACAAATCGAGTGCTCTAAAGCCCAATATTTAATTTTCTTGTTATTAAGCATTATAAGACTTCATCTCTACACAGAATGCAGTTTAATACTTAATTTTATTTAGTGAAGTGACCATGGCCATAAGGCCCTAGAGCGAATGTGTGTTTGGCCCTTACATGTCAGTAACATAATTGTGAAGTTTAGAAGGAGAAGGTGAAAAATACACCAAAATTGGACCTGTATAAGAATGCATATTTAAGTACATTGACCTTTGAACCAAAAAACGTGGTAAAGGTGTATCTACCTTTGCTTGGTAAAGTGGTTTACAAGTGAAGGAAAAAAAGACACCTGAGACGAAAATGCCTACAGACAGAATAACGGATGGTTATTTAGTATGAGTCCCATGACTCACCTTAAGTTTATCAGTAAAAATAGCTTATTCGTAATATTTCATTTTTGAACATAAAAAAGCATACGTTTTTGTTTTGATTTTAAATGGCAGGAGTAAGGGTGAAGCCTGCTGTATAGATTACTTGTCCACAGATATATTACCTTCCTCATTTTCATATGTAATGAAGATGACGCCGTCTTTCTCTCTTTTTGATGCATCAAAGTTTTCAATGTCAACTGGACGACCCACTGCTCTTTTACTTTCAAAGTAGAGTTCTACAGTGTCGTTTGATGTTAGTTTGTCCATCCCTCGTACTTCTATAGTACAGCCACTTGTTGTCTTCTCTGAGTTATCTCCCTCTAGGAAGTTAATAAGAGTGGTCAGCATTAAGAAATGACATTTTTTGTGTTCAAAGTCAATCGGAACAGTATTTTAATTTTAGGAAATAAAAATATATCTCAAATTTGAAACACGAGTGTGTCATAGTTGTGAGAATTATAGAAATGTAAAAGTACACCAAAAATTTGACCCCTCATCATTGCCCTGATGGTATCAAAGTCATACCATTGAGTGAGAGTTATGAGAAAACTATTCAAAACTGTAACTGTAAAACAAGCAGTACTTGAATGAAAAGTTTGAATTGGTTGTTATTAGGTGGCTTTTTATATCTATACATTTTTTGCACATTTATTTGATGTAAGGGATCTGTGTTCCAAGTATCAATTAAACCAGTGGAAAATGTAAGAAGGTGGAGTTGGAACAGTTTTAAATGAAGGGACATAACTCCATACAAAAGTGATGTAACTTTAAGTTCTATATTTTATTGACATTTCTCCAATACTAGTGTTATATGAAACCAGTATCACTGGAATTGAAACAGTACTGTAGGAGAAGTGCCAACTATGTTTTTAAACAAAGGGACATAACTTCACAAATAAGGGAAGCAACTCCAATTCACAATATTTAATAAACACCACCTCAATGTAAGGGTTGTGTGTACAAAGTATCATTCAAATCTGTGCAGTACTTTTGAAGGGGGAATGATTAACTCAACAAGTAAGGAAGGTAATTCCAAGTTGTAAACTCCATTCACATCCCCGTGATGTAAGAGTTCTGTGTATCATATACAAATGTATCATTCGAATAAGTGCTTTGGGAAGAGTAGCCAAAACATTTTTTTAAACAAAGAGACATTACTCCATAAATAAGGGAGGTAACTCCAATTTACATACTTCATTCATATCCTCTAGATGTAAGAGTTGTGTGTACCAAGTACTGGTCCAGTACTTTTGGAGGAGTAAATCCCAAGAGTTAAAATCCCAAGCTAACTCTAACATACTAAGATATATGCAGCTGGTCACTATTTGTCACACAGACCAGTTCGGTACACGCCTTCACCTATTTTGCCCTCAAAGACAACATTTTTTAAAACCTGGATTCATACACACATCACTGCAACAGTGACAGGCCTAGATTTGAACCCTGGACCAATTAAGCTACCTACATGGTCACCAGTAATCACCCAGGCAAGACCTGCTACAATGTGTAAGATATAGCTAACTCTTTTTTCTTAATTGCTTTAATACATCCAAGAGGTATTGAAACAAACAGGAATGAGTCATCCATTTTTAGATGATTTTCTGTTCTTATGTTACCTTGGTTGACTGATGGCTGTTTTCCAGGAGTTGGTTGATCCTCCAAATCTTGCAAATACTGGTAAATCTTCTGCATGGTACCAGACTTTGCAGCTACGTGGACTGTGTCCGAGGTCTCTTCCACTGAAAAATGATTCATATCTGCGGTACCAAGACCAAAGCCTAATTTTGAAAGCTTTGAAATTAAAGGAAAGTCCTTTACCAAGAATGCCTCTTCTTTGAAATTTTCTCTAATTTTGAGCCCAACACGCTTGGAAGATGAAGCCTGCATTGACCAAACTTGAACTTGTCTGGTTTCAGTAACCTGCCATACACAAGTGATACCGTCCCTCTGTAGTACATTATCAATGTAGTGTTTTATCTCTGGTGTCAACAGCAGCTTCTTCATCACCTTAGAAACATGGAATGTGTTCGCTTTAATTTCTCTAACAAACTTCTCCATCTCTTCTCGACCACCTCTGATGTTCTCTTCAGTTCCTGTCCATGTCACTTTTGTGTTGCAATCCTGTACAACCACTGTGAGACCATGATACTGACCTCTCAGTTTATCAATGACCCTAAATGTCCTCAACAAACATCCATGTGATGGAGACTCTAAAACTGTCTCCATGGTAACACTGTACAACTTGACCTTTGCCTCCATGTGTAACTGTTTGACAGTTTCTGTAGGGCCTGTTATGATCAGACAATTCAAATCCTTGTCATACAGAACATCAGCCTGATTTTGACCAGCTTTGATCAATGGAACAAGACAAGCAAGAGCTTGTTGTAGCGGACCCTTGTTATCTAATTCTCTGTCGCTAGGTTCCTTGTTGCTCAGAGATGAAAGGTCACATTTCTCTTGATGTAAGTTGGGAAGAGCCTTTACAATTAACTCTCTGACTTTATCTCTACAGTTCTCAATCGGGACTTCTTTTTTAATCAGGAGTTTAGGAAGAAGTTTTTGGTCCATCTTTTCCAGAATGAGTTTCCAGCCCTGTTCCGTAGCTAGATTTGCTAAATCATGCTTACAAAGATAATGTATAAGGTTGCTATTCCCTTTTGGATAGAAGCTCATTTTCTCTTTTTCCTCATCTTCCAGTTTCACTATCTTCACCTTTACCGCTGTGCAAATACTTTCCACAGAGAAATCTTCAGCAACTACAATTGTAACACAGATGATTTGAAGAATAGTATACATGTACATGAACAATAAACAGAATCCTTATTCAGCTAAAAACTCTGTCATTATTACCAGGTATGGTTGAAAATGGAATATATATAATCTTACCCTGCTTTTCAGGAGATCCAAGATCTTCTCTATTTTTTCTAGAACTTTTACCCTGCTTGCTGCAGATCGGTGGTGAAGACCATTCGTCTGCCATAATGGCTGCCACAATTCCGCTCTGGAAAAAAATCCAATAAAAGTTATTATAGTTCACTCCAGCTTTAAAGTCTGCCACTCTCAATAGTGATTAAGCTAAAGGAAACTTCCCTCTAGGGTGAAGCTACAGCTGTAGATAGCAACCAAAAACTCATGTACAATTACAACCTGCCACACTTCTCACCTCCCTTTTTAGATGTCTTCATTGTCACCACAACAACCCCAGTGTTAACTCCCTGTCATGTACCTCAACAGTGGCAGAGCTGGAACCAGGAGTCAATCTCGGTACAGAGCTATACCATAAGGGTAGCTTGATAGTCTGAGAATGATGAAATCTCCAGCTGGACTAGTAGTTCTAAAAACCGCTAGCCTGATTGGGTTAGAGGAATTTTCACATGGACTAGTAAAATCATTTTAAGTTTGCCTTGTCCAAAGGAACGTGAGCTTATGCTGTACCATGGTGTCTGTCATCAGATGTCCGTCTGTCCACATATTCTTAAAACAATTTCTTCTCCTAAACCACTGATTGGAATTTGACCAAATTTGATATCGTGATTGGGACACAAATGGAGGGGCTGATCCTCAAGGCAGTTATAGGGAGAGGCATACCAGAGATGGTGTCAAAGCCACCAAATGCTTGCCTGTTTAAAAATGTATCGACTTTAAATCTTATTTTGTTTATTGGAGTTTAGCGTTCCTTTAACTCATGTATAGGTCATATTGAGATGGTGTCTGCTTGTGACAGGTAGATTTATGGTGACTTTATAGTGCTGTCTCACTGAAATATCATGCCGCACACACATTGACATGATACTTCACTCGGTCACATTATCCTTAGCAGGGAGTGAGAAGATTGCCTTATTTTAAAGTCTGGATTTGATCCTGTGACTGTGGATTCTAGCACCAGTCTACCAGCATTTTCTATAGATATGATATTGCCATCAGTAAATGATATATGAGTAGATAAAAAAACATAAGAAAGAAAATATTGTTTGTGATGCTGATTTGCTCTTAAAATGTTAAGATTAAACCTTTTTAAAACTCAAAAAACTATTTAAAAGTGATTTTTTAATTGTGCCTTTGCTGCATCAAAAGTATAGCCCAAAGGAACCTTCATCAACATGAAAAATATCAGCATCCTTGTAAGCATATTTAATGAATGACAAGCTTCTAAATAACTTGCAGGTAAAACATTAACGTTGATGTGATTAAAAAAAGTTAGGTACAAAATGGGTCGAAAATTTCCAAAAATTTTAAATTATTTATAAATTTTAACCTCCCTACATCAATATAGTATACCCCATAAGAACTTCCATCACAAATATCAGCATCCTAATACACATATTTAATGAATGACAAGCTTTTAAATAACTTGCAGGTAAAACTTTAACGTTGATGTGATTCAAAATAGTTAAGTACAATAAAAACAGGTCTAAAGAATTCTCAGAATTTGGTGAAATTATATTTTAATTTTCACTTCACTACATCAATTTGATACCCCACAGGAACCTCCATGCCAAATATCAGCATCCTAGTATACATATTTAATGAATGACAAGCTTCTAAATAACTTGCAGGTAAAACTTTAACATTTTCACGCCGGGGCTTTCGCTATAGCTCCTTGTTCTACGAACAGGCGAGCTAAAAAGGAGTAATTTGGCCATATTGCTTTAAGATACTTCTTCACTGGAACTGACAGATAGATATCAACCCTATTCGTTTGGAAGGATTTTTATTGATTGTAAGATCAGGAAAGCAAACAGAATACAATCAGGAAGGTAAAATCAATGGCTGCAGTCATCAAAAGAAGCTTCCAACACCTGGACGAAGAAACGTTCAAACCACCGTATAAGAGTCTGATATGTACACATCTAGATTTTTCATTTTTCTCTATATAAAGCCAAGTACATATAAAAAATAGGAGGGGTACAGAAAAGAACCACCAAACAGCTTCCTGGTTACAAAACCTATCCTTCCAAGAAAGACTAAGTTACCTACACTAGCGTATAGACGACACTGATATGATTGAAACCTTCAAGGTAATACAATTGTACAGGAAATATATGACAGCAAGGCATGTACCTTCATCAAAATGTGGAACAATGTAACGGAAGAAACAGTAACCCACAACAAACCTTAATATCTAAAAGAAAGGACTGTTTTACAATCAGAGTGGTGAACATTTGAAATAATTTACCGTCGGAAGCGGTAAATGCACGAACCTTAAATTCATTTAAGAATAGATTAAATAGGGGAAAGTCGGATAACTTCAATCACGCCGGTAAATTCGATCACTTTATATCTTGCACGCCTATGTCACTCACTCATGACATTGAAACACTGAGATTGGTGAATAAACAAAATAAAATTCCACTTACTAAAAATATCTTAGTTGCGTTTTGATGTACGTGTGCGTTTAAGAACTGAATTTGATTGGTTGATTATCTGCGTTAACGTGACACACCCATCTAGAGCGGCAACTAATATGGTCGGCATAGAAAAGGGTAAAGATCCGCTTACTGTGAAGAAAAATTTATATTTATTTAATCTATGAATATTTTATAAGGACAGCATATTCATTACAAAAAATTGAAGATATTTCTTTGTAACAAAACTAATTTCATCAATAAAAGACACAAATAGTGATCTTTATTAATGTTGGAGGGTAGATTTGATAAGTCAAAAAAGAAGTGGACTTCATAATGATCAATGAATGAAAAACAGACAAATCCTTATATCCATACAAAGTTATCAATGTGGAAAATAAGTCCAATAATTATGTGAATCTACATTGAACGTTGAGAGATTTAGGGTGCCTTTTAAAAGAGAGAGACATTGGGAGGGAAGGGGGAGATAGACTGTCGATTGTCGGAAGGGGCAGGAGTAAGGGGTTGTCTGAGAGTCTACATCTTACATAAGAAGAAGAGCACAATATCGACACATTGGAATCTCCAAGATATTAATCTGATATATAATCACATATTTTGATTACGAAAATAGAAATAGAAAAAAAGACCTATAAATATATTCTTTGAATTTTGACTAAATTTCGTAAATGAAAAAAAAAAGGAAAATGTTGAAGTGAGAAACTAATCAATGTGTAAACCAATTTTTGCACGAAAATATTTAAATGATGAAAAAGACAAAACACTGTCCAATGGCCGACGCAAACCCCTTTCCTTGTGACTCCTGTACCAATGACAGGTCTACCTGACATGAAATAGAACAATACTCTCTGTATACATGTATGTGCTTCTCAAGGACGAGCAACATGTAATGATTTGATTATGGTTCATGTTTAATCTCTGTTGAATTGGGTCGGTTTACATGTGGATACGTATTACACAGAACTCATGACGTCTGTAGATGTGTACAAACAATAGTCGTTCGTCCTGTGTTGGATGTTTTGGCTATAAATGATAAAACGAACCTGTAGCCATGCAGACATCGGAATTATCCTTGACAGATGGTCATTTTTGTTTTTAAATATTTCATTGGATATAATAAAAACAAGAGGCCCAGAGTGCCTGTATCGCTCACCTGAAAATGTTAGCAAAATTGAAGTTGAAATAGCGTGATGTCACTGGAAGTGTACATGTATTACTTGGTTAGTCAGGGGTTATATGTATATACAATTGGACAAAATCTTGTCATTCCTTAAATAAAAGATTTTGAAGAATTTGCTATGTTACCCTTTTTGGTCCCGCCCTTTTGTCCCCAGGGGGGTCAGACCCATCGTTGATACAAAATTAGGTCCCCTTCACCCGAAGATGCTTTAGACCAAATATGGAGATAATCCTGTCATTCCTACAGAAGAAAAGGGATTTAAAAGCTATTTTTCCTCTTTGGCCCTGCCTCTCTGCCAAAAGGGGGGTCAGACCCACCGTTTATACAAAATGGGTTCCCCTTCTACCAAGGGTGCTTCATCCCAAATTTAACCGAATCCTGTCATTCCTACAGAAGAAGAAGGATTTTGAAGAATTTGCTGTTTCCCTTATTGGGCCCTGCCCCTCAGGCCCAAGGGGGTCCAAACCAACCATTTATACAAAATTATTTCCCTTCCAAATATCATGCTACTATTCAAATTTTGTCAAAATATACCTTCATCCGCAAGGAAGAAGAAAGAAATTAAAGCTATTCCTCTATATCCCTTATTGGGCCCCGCCTCTCTGCCCCCAAGGTGTCAGACCTACAGTTTATTCAAAATTGCTTCCCCTTAACACAAGGATGCTTCATACCAAATTTGGACAAAATCCTGTCATTCCTACAGAAGAAGAAGGATTTTGAAGAATTTGCTATGTTTCCCCTATTGGGCCCCACTCCTCAGCCTCCAGGCGGGCCACACTCACTGTTTATACAAAATTGAGTCTCTTTTGCCCAAGGATGCTTCAGACCAAATTGGGATCCCTATCATAGAAGAAGGATTTTAAAGGTTTTACCTCCATTTCCCCTATTGGGCCCCAACCCTCTGCCCCAAGGAGGGTCACACTCACCGTTTATGCAAAATTGAGTCCCCTTAGCCCAAGGATGTTCCAGACTAAATTAGGATAAAATCCCTTAATCCCTACGGTAGAAGAAGGATTTTAAAGGTTTCCCCTATTGGGCCCTGCCCCTCTAGATCTGCCCTCAGGGGGGCCACACCCATCATTTATACAAAATTGAGTCCCCTTGGCCAAAGGATGCTCTAGACCAAATTTAGTCAAAATCTACTTGGCCGTTCAGGACTATAGTAGCGTTTTAAAGGAAAAGTTGACGGACAACGGACACTGCGGTATGGCAAGAGTTCACCATGGTCCGTTGGATCAGGTCAGCTAGAAATGGACACATCTTATAACATCTGATAAGATGCTTCTTACTTATAACACGGAAATACATTATCTAATATATAATGTTGTTATAATGGCAGCAAATACATAGAGGTCGGCATCTCAACATTAAATCAGAAACAATCATCTGATTAACAGTTTAGACCAAATGATTCTTTTTGTAACAGTACCCAGAAGTTGAAAGACTTATGTCAGTTAACAATATACAACATTCTTGAACAATGAGGCAGAAATCTGCGTTATTTTCTTGACTCAGTAGATCAGAACTATCCAATGAGTGAAATATCAGTATCAATCAAATATTACTTAAACAAGTATCATACGAGAATCGTCATGGTCACAATCCATGAAAAATGTCATTGGATATAAGAGGTTCCCCAATGAGAGGTGGATGGTTTTGATGTTTATCTCACTCACGTTAGTTAAGTTTCAAATTGTATAAAGACACAAGGTTTATAATTACTTGCATATCAGTGTACAGGTATGTTCAGTGTTTAACAGCATTTTCAACATTGGACATTTCACTTGTGATGTTGATGAATTATATATCTTTCATTGCACCACCCATTAAAATAATGCCAAAATAGCATTGTTGTCTTAGCAACCGTCCTTTATGTTTAGACAGTCGTATGAGGGAGATAAGGTTTGGGGCTTGTACAAGACTATAACAGGTCTGTGCGACTTTTAACAAAAAAAGCTTCTTGTATCTTGTATTTGGAAGCTAAACATTTGCATTCCCCCAAACTGAACCTACCCTATCAAAGTTCGATGTTTGGTCGTGGAGAAAGCATGAAGAATCGTTCTACGACATGAGTGATCGAAGTTACCCGATACTGTGATCAAATTTATCCGACGTGTGATCGAATTTACCCGAATAGTTATTTAGACCCATTTACTTCGTTTAAAGCTGTTAATTAAAAAGGGGAACACCAAACATGTTGAATTTTTTGAGTTTTCAGACGTTTTCATACGTCCATTACTGAATACGGGACCAAAAACAGTCATGTGACCATCCAGAACGAGAGGAAAACTAGAGTGATCGAAGTTACCAGACTTTCCCCTAAATGCTAGAAAAATCAGGAAAAATTATACAAGTTTAGAGCACCAATTGAAAGCAGACTTTAAGTTCGGTGCGATACAATGATCGAGTCCAGTGGAGAGGACCTATACAGGTCCTGTACTGGAAACTAACTCTAAGTAAATGGAGGGCTATGCACGGGAATTTTTTTTTAACTTCGGACATTATCAAGATCCCAACCCTATAATCATGTATACAGTTGCTAGGCATCAAGGGCCAAACACAATCATGATATAAGAATTGTCCCTGGGATCCAGTTCCACCTCTAGGAACTTAATTTCTCGGCCATATCTTTGAAATGGTTGAAATCCCAGCCACATATAACCATATATACCAAGAGACGACCACAAATATGATATAAGGATTGTTCCTGAGGTCTGGCCCTACCCCTAGGAAATTTACTGGATTTCATTATGTTTTTATACAGAACTGTTTCTGATACATTTTATTAACATTATACATTTGTATTGACAATAATAATTCAGGTATATCACGTGCCGTATGAAATAATTTATATATGTGTTGAACTTTGTATCCAATCTCTTTGATCAATATAATCTATGAATTATTATCTAATAACTATGTAACGTACTCCACAACTGTTGCAAAAAATTGTCATATATTTCTGATTCAGGGAACGAGTCAAAATCTTCCCATCCTCGAGGGGATATCGAGGGGTTAGTTATGCTCACCTCCGCTCTCTACACCCCTGGAATATGTCATAGCAAAATTGAAGGCACGCGGCTAGCTATTTGATTGGTCTTGGGTAAAAAAACAACCCTGACCAATCACAAGGCTGATTCCTGTCCTTTAAAGATAACAAAGGAGAGACGCCCGACTTCATAGCCAGTAAGTTTTACTGTTACCCGACCGCGAGATTCTTTTGATGTTCATCAAAGGATCAAACTAGTCTTCTTGTCTCATCCACAAGGTGGCGCACACTGAGCCTTCAATTTTGCTGTGTCATATTCCAGGGGTGCATAGAGCGAAAGTGGATGTATCACCTGGATATCGAGGTGGCAATCTTGCTTGCCAAAACATATGTGGAGTGGGTACATTGTATGTCACAATAATCACCAGAACCCTAGCCTGTGGTGATACTGCCGCAAGTGCACCAGAATGTTCTGGCTTCACGTGACTCGACAAGTACGCCAGAAGGGCTTTCATGGCATTGCATATAGTATGTCACAATATCACCACAAACTGGTTGTGATATTGCTATGTATGTGACAGAACATTCTGGCGATATTCTGAAACCCAAGTTTTACATACTAAAATTTGAACATGCAACAATGTGGCTGCAAGCTAAGAATGCAGCACTTTCAAGCAATAGTATGTTACAGACTCAGTATTTCTGTGATGGACTCTTTAGAAGGAGTAGAATACCCTAAATTCATGATTTAAGCTTTACCCCTCTGGGCCACAACGGGAACAACACTTTATGCTTACAATTACATAATAATAATGTTAATTCAGGTAAAAGATGCATGGCAAACATAACATTACATTACACAAGCAATGAGATCACAGAATGGTATTTGATGAAAGACTAACCTTCAGATATCACAAAATGCGTATGACTAAAAATTATATTATTTCAATTAAAAAGCATATATTCAGCACTCGGTAGAAGTATTATCACAGTTTGTATGAATATCACATTAAATATTGGAGGTACAGACAGTGAATAATATTCTTGAACTGGTAATCTAGGATGGCACATGGAAGTTTTGAACAAAACTTATTTCCAATGGGGTCCTTTACACTGTATACCAGGAAAAAGAATAGCATACACCCACTCATGGTATCCAATGACGCCAAGTTGAGCTCACTCTAGCGCAAAAGTTGAAGGCGTCCATAATCATTTAAACAATTTGTCAATTAAAGCTTGCCAAACATTTAATTGGCCTAAGTCTTTATTCATAGCACTTATAACATTATATAGTTAAATAGTATATATAACTATAGTATAGGTGTGTTGACGGACGAGGCTACAATATGAAGTGTGCCTATTTTACTTTCGGTTTATCGATATCGATTGGTACAAACACGTTCTGTGTATACACTGTAATGTGTTGATCTATATAAAAATAATCAAATTGTCCAGTTAATAACATGATTATTACTCATATGAACAAAAACTCACCTTAACCGAAGACGGATCTTGTAGGCGTGAAGGGATCGATTCCAGTCCAAGCAGAAGCTGCAACCTACTTTCGCTTTCGCAAATGGTATTTTGGGAAGTAATCAGGGTTATCTCGCCCCAAATCCCGTTTCAGATAAAAAAAAAAAGTGTGATAGGCATTGTAGTAAGTTGGTCCACGTCACAGGCTTACAAACAAAAATGGTATCCAATCAGATTGCTTGTTTTAAAATATGTTCAGGTGGCCTACGATGGTTTTTTTTGAGGCAAGCACTGTACATGTATTGTACGTACATTGTATGACCATGCATTGTAAGATAATATATGAACAACGGGACGGTTTTTTTTGTGCAATTAAGCAAAATATATTGGCCATGAGAGCATTATTTTACCAATGGTCAGAAGTTGAAAAGAAGTTCATGCACGTAACAGCTGGCCAAGTTTAAACATTTATTTTTTTTAAGCATATTTGGTGGTTTTTTGTATTAGAATCTACTGGGGATTTTATTATTAATTTCAGACTCCTGTGGGTGATATATAGGATAATATACCAGACACAAAAATATTGTTTTTGTCAACGCTTTTATCATAAAACGAAATACATACGACAAAATATCATTAAAGAAAATAAAAATTCAACTCTCTCAAGTCTACTTTCGGTTTGAAAATATAATTTGGGGGCGTGGTTGTGAAAATCCACGGAGCAGGAGTCTTTCCCTCTCTGCATTGTACCAGAAAAATATAAATTGTTCGGTGTTGGTTACTCCCTCTCTTCCCCTTAAAAGTGAATTCTAGGAGCTTTTTGATGTTGTATATTTTCTTTCATCTCTGATTGTACATTTGTTGATTATCCTAAACGATATCCCCGTATTATATTATTGGTCCTATAAAAGCAAAAAATTCATTTGTTTAGAGTGTTTGGCGGTCGACATGGTATTTCAAATTTTTTAAGTAAGTTAATTTAGCTTAAGTGATGCCTTTTTGATAATACAGTCTAAATAACATTGCCATCCGCCATTACAAGAGAAAGATACACCCAGGTGTTTATGCGAACTTACAGTGTTAAAAAGAATGCCATTTATTGTAAAAAGGGGGGTAGAGAGGGTTGTTTAACTTTTTAATGATACACAATGTTTCGGTTTTAAGCACTTAGATTAAAATTTACAAACCATTTCTTCGATTAAATTTTGTCTAAATCCATATTCAAAAGATCGGCACTGATTGCAGGTGCATCAACAGTTACATATAATGAGTTATCATCGATAGAATTTGTATGATAACTCTATCATATATGAACACTAAAACTAATAGTGGCCCTAAGATTGAACCTTGCGAGACGCCGGTTTAAATAGAAGTTAAAAAGTGCACTCGAGGATTTTAATAGGCAGCTACGCGACTGCTGGCAACTTTGATACATGTACCAACGAAATGTAATATATCTGTGTAATACTTTGGGATGTATTTAATTAAATATGTTCGTAAAATGACCATTCAAAGACAAACGACTCGCCGTTAACTCACTGTTGTTGACGTCATACCATTAGTCTACGACGCATCTAGATCTACTGTCAGTACCGGTGTAACTGGTACACACTCCCGGTCTGTACCTCCCGATCTGTAGCATGCGGGGCTAAATTTGCCTGGGTGTTCCTTCCATGCGCGGTTAAGTCTTGATTTAAAACTTCAGGTGTTAGATTGTTCCACAGATACACTGTGTGTACACCAAAGACTAGCATGTCCAATGTGAATCTCGACACATTAATTAAGTCCAATTTATCAAAGTACACATAGGAATCAAATCAATTAAAGCGAAGAAAGCTACATGAATATAGATGTTTAACCACGAAATTTATTTATTTTAGATATGAAATATTTCAGTAAAAGAACAGTTATATAACAAGTGTAGAGCGTTGCTTGTCATCTGTACTTGTCTGCTGCATTTGACGTCATCGACCATGACATACTTTATAAACACCTGGAGTACTCAGTGTGTTGCCATCGGATCTACCACCTCACATGACAAGAATTTGTCTCTGTCGTAAGCCGTATTTGGCGCAAAACTAACTTTTTGCTCCGACGTAATCCAAACAGTGAGTATTACTCTGCAACGTACGCGAAATAGCGAGTATCGGGATTACCCCCGTGTGACTAAGTACTCGATTCCGGGATTCCTCAAGGGTCGGTGCTAGGACCACGAAAATATTGCCTGTACTCCAATCCGATCGGAGAGATTTGTCGTCGCCATAGCCTTCGTCATCAACCCACAGGACAGTTGGGATACAATTTCGGAAAATCTGGAAGCTTGTCTGACAGATATCAGTATCTGGATGAACGCCAACATGCTTAAACTTAAGAATCTGTTAGAGTCACGAATGTATTGCTGAGTATGCATGAATATCGTTATGTTTTCCTGTTCCGAAAGAGATGTATCTCCAAATAAAAGTAGATTTAAATTAAGAGGCATGTATTCATTCAGTTCACGATAAAGCTTAATTCTTTGTTCGTTATATTTATCACAGGTAAAAAAGAAATGGTGTGTGTCTTCAATAGGGAAGCCACATATACAACGTTGGTAATCAATAAGGTTAACACGAAACAGGTCACTTTTCAAAGTACTAGAACGGTTTCTTAATTTTGTATGCAAAATATTATTTTTCCTATCACCATAGAAAAAGGGGTTTGGTACAAGCGGCAAGTTTACGTCTTGAATGGCGTTTCTAAATGATGAGAACGTGGCACTACGTCGTATACTAGTAGGTAACTGGTTCCACAGTCTAACAGTAGAAGGAAAAAAGGATACGTTAGATAATTCAAGTCTGTTGTTAGGTAGGTTGTAGTTTTCAACGTTTCGAAGATTATAGTGAGAGTTATCGACAAGGGAAGGGAGTAGAGTGTTGAGATAGTTAGGAGCTATATTATTGTGGATTTTAAAAAATAATTGAAGTTTTCGACGGGATCTCCGATGGGCTAGAGAATCCCATCCAGTTTCATTATATATAGATTGTCTACTAGTAAACGACGGTAAACCAGTGACAATACGTCCAGCTTCAAGTTGTAATTTTTCTAATTTGTCTTGATCAGTAATAGAACAACCATCCCGAAGTTCACAAGAATATTCTAGAATAGGAAGTATAAATGTTCTATATATTTTATTCAGTGTACGTCGGTTCAGGGTATATTTCAATTTACGGAGGACACTTAATTGTTTAACTACTTTTTTTACATATATTATCAATGTGATAGGTCCATTTACAGTTAGCATTGATGAATACTCCCAGATGCTTATGGTTTTCAACAAATTCAATACTTACATTATTAAAGTTAATTTCAATGAGGTGATCAAGATCAATATTAGAAATAAGTAAAGCCTCTGTTTTTGCAGGATTGAATTTGACAAGCCAGAACTATCGAGACTGTCCCAGCTCTTAAAAACCTAGGGGTATACTTTGACAGTTCACTGAACATGGAGAAACAAGTGAACGCTATTGCCAAATTCTGTTACTACCAGATCAGGAACATCGGCTGTATCCGGCAGTTTATAACTGCAGATGCATGCAAGATTTTGGTGCATTCACTTGTTACCTCTCGGTTGGATTATTAACACCCTGCTCTGTGGTATATCTGACAGACAAACTAGTCGTCTGCAGAGGGTCCAGAACAGTGCAGCACGGCTGGTTACTCGTACTCGAAAGAGACCACATCACACCTACAAGATAATGTATGCTAGATACAGGTCGCAGTACAAAGTTTTGGTGTACACATACATGGCACTGAATGGAACAGCTCCCCAGTACCAACAGGAGCGTGTTACCCTGTATCAGCCGTCACGACCACTGCGGTCGGAGTCAGAATCAGTTTTGTGTGTCCCAAAATCTCGTACTGTGACCTAACTTATAGATGGACCGATGCTTGGGGTGGGGGTGGGGTGTGGGGTGTGGGTGGGGTCGGCCATTAGAAAGTCAAATATCCTGGCCAAATTCAAGATGGACATCGAAACTCACCTATTCACGTCTGCAAAAGCGCTTTAGAGTATTTTTTACAAATTATATAGCTAGGGCGCTATATAAATGTTGTAATTATAATAATTATTATTATTATTGTCTTATAACGGGGTGAAAAATCAAATTTTTACTTGATATACAATGAACGTATTAAAACACGTACCCAGAAAATAAAAACCACTGTCGATGACATTTGTTCTCCTTGCATCATCTGGTCGTTTATCCAGAGACGTATTTAACACATATATGGCTTTATACGTCTCTGGTTTATCATAATAAATTATATAATGAACCATTATTGACTTTATTTGCTCACTGAAAATTATGTTTTATTTCTACAAAGTGATATTTAAATCTGATAAATTATAATTTCAATCGATTCAATAAGTGTGTAAACATTTTTTTAACAGCTATCGCGCACAATAAATATATTTCTTACCACGCCGAAATGTCACATCGATGTTGCCGGCGCGGTTAGCGGTCTAAGGGATATAACTCTCCCCAAAATTCACTACATATTTCATTTAAAATCTTAAAAACTTATTTTTAATCATTATTTTGGCTTAATTTGTAAATGAAAAATATTTGATATTATTAACGCTTCCAAGATAGGTCCAGTTAGTAGATAAATTACAAAATTGTGTTAGATCCTTTCGTTGTATGGACATGCGTTTCGTCTATGGTCTTTAATCTTCTATGGTCTCTATAATCTGCAATATATATTTACCCGGAAGTAACTGTCCTACCAACGAGACGCTAAGCACTCGTAAACAACTTGGAATGGCATGTGTCGGTGCTTGCTAGTAGGAAAACAACGTCGCAGACACTGCACACACTGTCTCATTTGTAAGTACATATACATTTCACAGTTATTTTACCTAAACGAAAACAATTTGAGCGCGAATCCATGGTGCACTAAAACCTTCTGTACATCATATTCACAGGTATGATAATGGCAGGTGCCCGTGCATACAATCGATATAACAACAACATTTTGCTGGCCTATGTCCAGGCTAGCGTTTAGTGACCAGCTTCGGAGCATCTTAGACGGAAATTACTGAATAACGTGCGTGTACCCCAAATGGAACGGTATTCAAAAGGGAACAGTTATTAAATATATGAAGCAGTAGAGATTTTTTCTGTCTGCATATTTCTACCATTCCACGAAAAGTCACAGATTTTTAACATCTTAATTACCAACCTTTAAGATATCATTCAACTTGAATCTTAGCGTTTTAGGAAACTCCTACTAATAATTTGTTACGGTGAGCCCAATTAATTAGAAGGCAAGTTAAAAGGAGTTATAAATGCCCACATAACTTAAAAGAGAAATCCACAGGTATTTAAATATGAATCACCTTTGATTTCTATCAGAGAATAATAGAAAAGTAAATATGTGTGTCTATCTGTATGAATATTTGCTTTGTCATGTCAGCCTTTGATCCCTGGGGGGAAAACCACTTGCTGTAACAATGCAGTGTTGCCAATACCCCAGCTGTTATACCCTAGTGTTTATTGATTAGTAATTGTATTGATTTTGTACAATAACTCCATAAGTCGGTGTTGTTGTTTTCACTGTTGACCATCGCAGTAACTGGTTATTTGGTAATTATCTTTATTACATATGTAGAGGTCATAGACTGGGTTGATAGCTACATAACGTGTAATTTTTATACAATTTTGACATAAACATGACGCACACATTCAAAAGCATACAAAACAAAAACACATTGTTTTCATCTAAGTCATCGTCATCAATTTTTTGCATTCCTTTATTGCTATATTAAAGAAAACAACAGATACTGACATACACAAAATCCACACAGGCATAGACCAGGCATGGGGTAATGGTAATGTGTAATGGTAATTAATTGCAATTAATTACATTTTGTTAAGTAATTGGATGTAATGTGTGTAATTGGATTTTTTCAATTACATGTAATAGTAATTTAATTAATAACATTGAAAAAGGTGTGTAATGCCCAATTACTTTTAATTACTTTGTTGTTGAGTGTTGAAGTTTCATGCATCCTTTTTACAATTTAATCAAACAGAAAGTTTCCAAAGTAAATCTTGAATGATGTAAGGACACAGGTTATAAGAGGCTATACCTTCGGTAGCAGTATACAGTAGAGGGTTTTATTTATTTTATTTTTTTTATTTTTTTTTAAATTTTATTTATGAAAACTACAAACCTATTCAAGTTTTCATTTTTTCAGATTACCTCCTTTTGTTGGTAGTTTGAGAGCAGAATTGGTAAATAAACCTGTCAGGAGAATTCATATTACTCGGTCACTATTAAAGTGAGAAAGGAATAGGATACATCGTTGTGTTCATTGTCTCATTTTCCAGACATTTAAAAGGTTTTGATTAAATTTTGGGGAAAAAAAGTGATGTATTACTATAAGGTAGCAGTATACAGTAGAGGGTTGTGGCCATGGGTGATATTTTTGTTAAATGGCTAACCCCTGTATGATGATATGTAAAAAAAATTATAAAAATAAAACTGTACTAAAATTGGTATAAGCATGATGAAGTGGGCTATGTGAGCTTCACATTTGTAAAAAAGAAAGAAGTCTTTTTTGGTTCGAGAATAAAATTTTGGCCATAATCCGAAAAGGTGCGTACACATAAAAAGCTAGCTTTACACAGGGACAGTATACGTCCCTGCTTTACAGGAGGTAAAATTTTGACAACAGCACACGACACAAAATTGCCAAAAAATCAAGTTTTACAACTTTACTGGGACCCAGATAATTCTGCAACCAGGTAGGTAATCTTTAATTTCAGACAGAGCTTAGGAAAAAAAATACTAGTTGCGGGGGTCAAATTTTGGGTTAAAAATAGCAATTTTTGGTAATTTTTGATGTGGTAACCATGGTTTTAACACAAGTGACATACATAGAAAAAAGAGGTTTATACACTTCTCAGTACTTTATATGTATTGTAAATGTAATGCAGTTTACAAATATATATTCATGTATACATGTGTTGTGTAGGGTAAATCCGCTGTGTTAATATTTCCTCGACATGTGCCTTGTTTATCAGAGTCGGGCCATTTCTACTGTATACTGCTACCTGTATTGATCCTAATCCCCTATTCCTAGCTTAGCTATTGTCCTCCTTCCCAGAGACCAGGTAACTTGTGATTTTGATAACAAAAGAATGCCACACAGTGAGTACATGTATCATAACAGGGTAGACCATTCAGAACATTCTATCTTTGTAAGGGTGAACTTATAGTGAACAGTACGTACTAATACTGAATTACACATTCACTTGAAAACTTGAATAACCACATTTGAGCCATTTTTAAATTCCCAAACACACAAAAGGGTATTTCAAGGCAAGATGGACTTTACTTCAGTTGTCTGCCAGCTACCCCAAGGAAAAGACACCAATCTTGGTTGGCACCAAAGGAAGCAGAAAAATATCTCGAAAACCTTGGTATTGACATGGAGGATATCCCTTTGTCATTTTGGCAAACAAACTCTGTCCAATATCCTGTTCTGCTAAAACTTGCTATCAAGTATTTGACTATCCCATCAGCTTCAGTCGAGAGAATATTCAGTTTAGCTAGGAAGATATTCCGCCCAGACAGATGCCGTCTAAATGACAAAACTTTGGAACATCTGATGATAAATTTACATGTTTACATATGTAGTGTAAGCTGTATGAGCAGAACATCTTCCCAGAGATGAGTACATGTACATACCATGCGAGTGTATACCTACATTTTGTATATATATGTAGTGATGTAAATTCCCTGTATGAATCACAAACAACAGGTTAATTACAAATAAAGGTACATTTGTCATTTAAACTTGTATTTTTATTGGCTTGGATTAAAAATAATATACCCAGAATATTAAATAAAAGTAATGTGTAATGGTAATTAATTACATTAAGAAAACCATGAAATGGTAATGCTACTTTTACAATGTAATGTGCAATTTAATTAATTACATTACCAATGTAATTGCCCTATGCCTGGCATAGACAGGAAGAGAGATAGAGAGACAGACACACAGACAGAAAGATAAGAGATATCAGACTTTCCGAGTAAAGGTCCGAGTGATATATGTTATACTTATGATAATTATATATAATATAAAGATAATTCATAGCAAAATGTAAGTGGTTCATGGCAATTAACAATTTAAGGACTGTATTTAGTATTTAAGACAGAAGGAAAACAAAATATATCAATGTTTAGTCAAGTTCAACTACTTTTATCTATTTTCGCCATTCATTAGTAAACCTATTGAGATATTGTTCCCCTTTACCATAAGCAATAAATTCTGAACATTGTAATATTCTTTAATCAAATTTACTAGAGCCATAACATTAAGTGAGCTGTGCAAACATCTAGTTTTGTACATATACTGCTTAATAAAAAGAATAGTTTCATTTTCAATTCTATTATAAACTCCTGCTTGCTCGATACATCAAAAAATAATATTTTCTTTATTTGTTGAAAAGGAAATGGCAAGTGCATTTAATAGATTTTCAAAATTTGTCAAAAAGCTTTGTACTTCAGTGCACTCCCATAGGATATAAACAATTGTCTCCCTTTCCATTAAACATAAAACACACAGAGGGTTATTTATTAATCCAATCTTAAATAAATATGAATTTGTTGTTCAAATATATAACGCTTTATTCTAAATTGTAACCATTATAACTTTGTGTTATTTGTTACCCTGAATGGAACAGCATATTTTTTTTCCATGTTTCCTTATTATAATCAAAAACAGTTCCCCATTTTTTTTCCTGTTACAGTGATATAGTATTTTGAATAAGAACTTTATAGAAGTCCTGTGACCCTTTTTTATTTCTTAATATAACTTCAAGACTTAATGGTATGATCGTGTAACTCATCATCTTGTTGGGTACATTGTGATTATTAAGTTATTTCTTTATGCTCATTATCACTCCTTGATACTGAAGATAATTAGTTATTGAACCATGAGTAGCACAAAATTCATTGAAAGAGAAAAAGGAACAAGTTCTAATATCTTTAACTAAATCAATGATTATCGCAATCCCCTTATTGAACCAATTTCTATAGAAAATGTAATTATTTCCAATAGTTATGTTTTTGTTATACCATTAGCATATGGGTGTCTTAAATAAGGAATGATCCTCCTTTCTATACATTTCTAATTTAGTGCTTAGTCTATGCCATGCCTTAAAAACATCCTTTCAAAAAATATTTTTACAATTAGTCCCAATCTTAATTAAATACTCACTACCACAATTTGCTAAGACATTAAAAGTTAACTTGGTTTTTGAAAATCATACGCCATTTTCCCTCAGACCAAAATATCCCTCTGATCCAACTGATTTTTAAAGATTCAATAAAACTCAATATGTTTACCATTTTAAGCCCCCCCCCCCCCTTTAAATAATTCTGTATAATTACCTCGTGCTTAACTTTTACCATATTCCATAAAAAAATGAAAAGAATTGAGTTTAGCTGTTTTATGAAACTTTGATCTGGATTTGGAAAGGAGATAAAAAGATGATTCAACTGTGAAATTAATAAAGACTTAATTATGTTAATTCTCCCAATAGGAGTAAGCTTTCTTTTACTCCATCCCATGATTAAAGATTTAAGTTTAACTAGATTTTTTATCAAAATCAATTTTAGGAATTCTGTTTAAATCCACATTAAATTCAATACCAAGAAGTGTAAACTTATCAACCCTCCATTGAAAATTCATATTTGGAAGAAGTACATCACTGCTATTCTTTTTGCTACCTTTCCAAACAACTTGGGTTTTACCTGTATTTACTTTTAGACCAGAAATTTTAGCATACAAATTTAGTTCCTCAACAGATCCCTTCAAAGATTTATCTGTTCCAATTAGTATTAAAGAAGTGTCGTCTGCATATTGAGAATTCAGAATCTGTCAGTCATCAATATTGTTACCAGTAATATTTCTATTATTTCTTATCCGAATTGCCAATATCTCGACACAAAGTATAAAAATGTAAGGTGCGATTGGATCGTCTTAGCGACAGCTGCGTTTTATATTAAAGAACAATGATAAGTTACCCCTGATTAATTGCAGAACAAGGATTAGAATGGAATATTTTTACCCAATTTCTCAAGTCATTCCCAAATTTGAAGTACTTAGGAAATGTATCTTTAAATTTCCAAGAGACAGAATCAAATGCTTTTTCAAAATCAATTAATAATAGCATTCCAGGGATTTTTTCTTCTTCAGCATATTGCATGATGTCTTGTTTTGTTATTAATTTCCCATTTTCCCTCTGCAGCGTTGGAACAATTTTTGATGTGAAATTTCTATTTTCTAAACTAAAAAAACAATTTGTTGGTTTTTCTCCAACTTTTGCTCAGATTATACTTCCCTTCACCCTATGCATCCTAATAATTTCGAATTCCTTTTTTTTCTATCAAACTTCCAAATTTGTATCATTTTGATTTTAATGCTTCTGGATTTCATTGATTAGATTATTTTCTCTTAAGTTTTTTTTTTTTTTTGATAGGATGAGCAAGAAATTGTTTTGCCTCTTATTTTCATTAACAAAGTTTCTAAAAATAATTGGTCATCTATTACTAACTGTAAATCTGTATCAGGAATATTATCGATGAATTCAGGATTATAGATGGGGATACAGTATTGAGCTTTTATAGTTGCTATAGTATTATTTACAAGGTGAAGATATTCCTGGTCATGTAACAAAGAGTTATTAAATTTCCATAATCCTTTACCTTTTTGAATTTGCTGAACTTTAATGTAATTTTTGGGAAGGCAGATTGTTCATCTGTTTGTAATTTTTATCGTAATCTAAATCAGGATTAAGAACCAAGTACATAACATATGCTTTACTGTGGCAATGAAGAGTGGAACAAGTAAACCAGATAGAAACAACACTATAATTGTGATATTACCAAAATTAATACAAGTTTCAAGATACAGAAGGGTTATACCCAACCTGATTTGTGTCAGCTAAAAAAACGATTTAAAGAAACAAAACTTTTAGGTCATTTTATGCATTTTTATTAAAAAAATCTTGGTCACTTGACCTGCTGTGGATTGTTGACATCAGCAACATTTGAATTGAAGTGGAATTACATTGACCTTTCAAATTGCCAAATAGAATTTCAGGTTTTCTTGATAGACTACCAGGGTAAATTGGTAAATTACTGATGTAGTCTATATCATTCTTTTTGGGTCAATGTGAGATTTGGTATACAATGTAAAAACAAATATTAAAACATAATTTTAATAATTTCTTGACTTGTCTGTCTTATCTTTTCTTTGCAGGTGAGAAACAGCGAACTAATGTTAGAGTGATGCCTTGGTTGTAGCATCATACGAAGACACATCCGTTTTAACTTCAACGGCCAAAATGAAAAAGGGTAAAAAGTCCAAGGCGAGTACGGCCATGAAGCCGGTCGATTCTGATGATTCGGGATCAGGACCAGTAATGAAACCCAGATCTCTTCCTAACCAAGCATTTGGTAACATGTCTAACCCGTAAGTAATGTTTTTTTTACAAAATATGTGCAATATTGTATTTTGGAAAAAACAAAAACAAATTCAACGATTTGATCATATGTATTTTTATTTATAATGATAAAACTGATGCTACTATAATGCCAGCTATATATGGCCAACTCTGCATGAAGTGTCTGGTTTGGCGCAGCATATCTTCAGATGTTAATTTTGTTTGAAACAAGTTCTCCATAAGAACCATAAGACCTATGGCAGTGATATGTGGTATTTAGCTTGCTAGGGCGATTTGAAATGACTTAGACATATATATTCATCTAAGTCATGAATTGTCCACTTGAATATATATATATACATATATGGCTAATTAATTCTTTAAGAATATTTGCAAGGTACATGTAGCAGCCTCTCGTTTTTAGACATTACCTATTTTGCCTGGTAGTCCACAGGACTAGTTGAATAGATTATTTTCTAGTCCTATACCAATTTAGCAAGTCCAAGATTTCCTTAAGGAAATATATCCGGCACAAAACTTAATTAAAAACTATTTTATGTAAGGAACATAAAATAACTACTGCCATAAAGATATCAATGATTGAATTTAGGAAATTGTGACAATCTCTGTTTCTCTCATTCCCGTGTATATAAGATAGAACTGTCCATGGTAAGAAGGGTTGTAAGAAATATCTATCTTACACCCCATTTCATGGATGTGACGTCACAATGGCTCAACAATGACGATTTTGGAAAACTCTGATGCCGCATTGCAGAAAAGTTGAAGTGATAAAATTAAAACCTTTTCTCATATTTTTACTGTACAAGTTAGAAAGGGGGAGATGAGATTTTTTTTCTGTGCAAACTCTGCCTCAGGCTTTACCAAATTTGAAAACCCATTGGGTAGAATTTCTCTATCCTACAACACCCTTTGGCATGAAAGAGTCTTATAATCTATAGCCGTTTTCCAAAAGGAATATACATATTTTATGATCTACATGCACTACCGGTATATATTTATCAAATGATACTGTTACAACACTTAGGACCAGTTTAGCTAGGTGATTTAATAGTCCTTGCTGAAATGTACTTGTCTATGGGACTAGAGGACTACATGTATATAAAGCTAAGTGTTAGCTGAAGTTGAATCCTGTCGCTTGCAAGGGTCAAAAGCTAAATTACAGTTTTGTATAAACTATATTAATTACCTTGATCTTTCAGCGACCTTCATTCAGGTCAATTGGGGTCAAATATGTTAAAATCTTCAAAGCATACTTTTCTTTAAGAACCATGAGGCCTAGAGTAATGATAATTGGCTTTTAAAAAACTTTAGGATAAGGGGCTTGTCAAAAATATTTCTGTGAATAGACATTGTCTCACATTCAAAAGCACATCAATCATATGTGCCAAACTTTCAAAGACACTGAAACCACTGTGGACTGGAGCCATTCAAGCTTGCTGTATTTAAGTTCTATTTACATTGTCCAAATAAATGATATTGGGCATTTTGTTTTAAGGTAACAGGGGTCATTTGTGTTTTTGCAAGCATCACAACAGTAGATATATTTTGCCAACATCATTAAATAAAAAGTGAACAATACAGGCCCCTTTTGCCTCTTGATGTTTTGAGTTCTCTGTATTAATTATGACTTTCAAATTATCATTTATTAAAAATTGGATTAAGTTAGATCCTGTAAAAAATATGAACACAATTCATTGTTTTCAGGAAAGGAATACCCGGCATGAATAAATTGCTTGAAAAGGCTTCTAAGGATAATGAAAAGCTCACGGAAGAATATGCAGCTGGAAGTATGACGACAAAGGCACGGACTCCTTCACCAAAAACCACGGTCATTGACAAAGCCAAAATGCTGAAATTGTTTGAGGAGGAGAAAATTACAACTCACTTTCCACTGGAGAAAATACAGGTACATGCATAATTAAAATTGTATTTATAGTCATAGATTCAATCACAACAGGCGAAGGAGCAGGTAGTTCTTGTAGTTTGTTAGAACTTAAGAAGTGTCGAATTTGTAGAATCTATGACCTTATGTTACCCGTTTTATGCAATCACCCTGCATACTTTCCATCAATGTCAACCCTTCCTCATTAGGAGGGACACTTCCTCATTTTGACAAAAAAAATAACCAATCTCCCTCAAAACTCCCTCATTCATGTCCAAACTCATACCAAATCAGAATCTACGAAATAGGGCCAATCAGAGTTTGAACTATCACTAGCTAGAAAATTATTGTTTTTATTGAAAAAAATATGTGTTCGAAATTTCCGCCGATTCGAACTGACCGGCTGTTTACCGTACATCCTGTGGTCAAATGATCTCCTAGTTAGTGCAGGGTGTGTGAGTCAAATGATCTCCTAGTTAGTGCAGGGCGTGTGAGTCAAATGATCTCCTAGTTAGTGCAGGGTGTGTGAGTCAAATGTTTTTTGGATCATTTTGATGCATAAAAAGGGAAAGATAAATTAAGCAAATCAGTATCAGTCACATTTCAAGCACTTTCTCCCTCATTTGAAATGTGGAATGGGGGAGATCTCCCGCATAGGAGGTTTCAGAGGTTGACACGTATGACTTTGGGGTATGCAGATGAGGGGCAGAGGACCAGATTATTCTACAATTGAAGCCCTTAACCTTCTTAAAATTCTCTTTGATACATTTTTTATTCAGAATTATAAATTTTATATTGTTTACATTTTATTTTGGGACTTTGATGTTCCAATTATCATATTTGGTGTCCATAGTTCACTGGTATGGTAAGGATGTATTTGAATCCAGGGGTGTATACTGTGCAATTCCACCAGCCCAATGCCGAGGGCTAGTAGATTTTATATCTGGCTAGGAAAAATACCATGTAGTAGAATATATACATGGGGATGAAATTTTTGCGATTTCGTGGGTCAATAATGTGATCGATACCATGTAGTAGGATATATACATGGGGATGATATTTTTGCGATTTAATGGGTCAATAATGTGATCGAGAAAATATTAACCGGCGAAATAATATGACAAGCATAAAAATGAGCCGTGACAGCAAACTTCGTATCTGTAATATTATTAATGTTGTCCTGTCAGAGCGAGCATGTAGTTGTCACGATTCATACATATACTTAGGGAGTATTACAGAATGTTTGAAAATAAATTCTATTACGTACATTTAATAGCTGAATTTATTGATGATTTGTTAAACAAAACACATGTGATTGTTGTTGTTCAATATGGTGTAATTAAGCCTATTCATTTGACTTTATCACCTTTATCTGGTGGTCTAGTGTCTGGCCATCTCTGTTCTAAACATCCCGCACAAATCTAGTTCCTACACATGTCTAGATTGTGAAATTATAATATGTGCATCTTCAATTTTCTAAATTTCGGTCAAAAATGCAAAAATTTAAGCCCACATTTAATAACTATAAAATTCAATATTCCCCATGAAAACATGGATCTGGTTATTTCTAAACATTTTCTTAGGGTTGGTAAGTATCGATTATGAGAAGTTCCTTTTACACAACCAATACAATTTTCTATGTGACGTTTCGATGACTAGTACGATATGTACACTGTCACCTTCATCAGACAAATGACCAGACTGAAGCGTATACACAGAGGTGTAAAATGTGTATGCTTACAGCGTAGCGGAATCGACTCGATTTGGTGGACAACTTGTACACATTTTACACCTTTGTGTATACGCTTCACTGGACATCTGTCTGATGAAGGTGACTGTGTACATATCGTACTAGTCATCGATACGTCACATCGAACATTTTATTGGTTGTGTTAAAAAACCTTCTCATAATGGATCTGGTTAGTAGTACTTCTCAAAATCAAACTCCAGGCAAATATTCTATGAGATTGTGCGCTCATGGAATCTTCCTTTCCAAACTAAATTTCAGGGTGGTCGGATGGTGCAGTGGATAGCACACTTGCCTTTCAACACCTGCCCGACCACATGTTTTTTTCTCCGGGTATTCCGGTTTCCTCCCACAATAAGACCCCTCAGACGCTAACAAGGGTGATTCAAATAAGTTGAAATAACTTGTTTCATTATTGTTATGAAATAAATAAAGCTTTTTTTATTTATTATTTCATTTTCTCAAAATCTTCAGTGATTTAGTGTGTTTTTTTATGGAACCTTTCCGATTACATTGGTAAAACCTGTTGCTCCACTAAGTGAAATCTGTTTCCAGGGAATCAATGTAGCTTATCTTATCTCAGAGTCTGAAAATATATTTTCACTTTTTTCACAACTTACAACTGGGATCAAATGGTTTTTGGTTTCTTTTGTAATTTTTTCTTGTGAAACTCTTACAGAGGTGTACTGATATTGGAATAATTCAAGGGCTGTCAGTTCTTCAAATAAAGGAAAATAATTACCGAAGTCAAATCGGAAGGCTGTTCCTCAGCATTTTTAGCTGTTTATTTACAGTATGTAATGACATCATATAGGTAATATGCAAATTATCAAATTATTACATAAACACCCAACCAGCTGTTGGCAGTTTTCATTGGCATTTCTTTGCTGTTTTGCCATCTAAGCATTATTTAGCTGTTTTAAAGGCCATTATTTTTAATCAGTTTGCAGTCAACTGCTAAGGATGGTTAACAGATAATTTATATATATATTGTAAAGGAGTGTCAGGAGAAACTGCCAGGTAACGCTATAAACAGCTTATCTTTATATGAGCCTCACCATATATAGAAGTATCAAACTGCTTAGGAATGCTTAAAACAGCTTAGTACTGACAATATCTAAATGAGATTATCTCCATATATAGAAACATCAAGCTGAATAAAGAATGCTTAAGTCAGCTTTGGACTGCCAATATGCATGTGTTAATTACTAAATTAGTTTCTCCATATATATATGACAGATGATCAGAATGCTTAGATGGTAACAGAAAAAAGCATTTCCAAAAACTGCAATTGTGTGAAATTTGTAACAACTGACTACATGTATTATATATGAACATCCACATTTAATCTGACACGAATATAATAGAACCCTGAAAACTAAAAAACTGAACACTTCATTGTATTAAAAGGGTATATGTGACAACACACTTACTTTGACATTGAAAGGCTTTCCAATCTTGTAAATGATTCTATTATATCCAATACCCTGGCCAAATTTAAGAAGGACATCGAAACTCATTTCTTCACGCCTGCATTTTAGATTCTTTGCAAAGACATCATGTAAATACCACCCTTTAGATATTATTTATGTGCACATTGCGATGATTATCTGCTTGCTTAATGTATAAGAGTGATTGTAAGCCTTTGTTTTTGTTTCGCAATTATAAATAATACTATTATCCATATGTTGTAAAGCGCTTTAGAGTAATTTTACAAATTTAGCGAGGTGATTTAATAGTCCTTGCTGAAATGTACTTGTCTATGGGACTAGAGGACTACATGTATATAAAGCTAAGTGTTAGCTGAAGTTGAATCCTGTCGCTTGCAAGGGTCAAAAGCTAAATTACAGTTTTGTATAAACTATATTAATTACCTTGATCTTTCAGCGACCTACATTCAGGTCAATTGGGGTCAAATATGTTAAAATCTTCAAAGTATACTTCTCCTTAAGAACCATGAGGCCTAGAGTAATGATAACTGGCTTTTAAACATCTTTAGGATAAGGGGCTTGTCAAAAATATTTCTGTGAATAGACATGTCTCACATTCAAAATCACATAAATCATATGTGCCAAACTTTCAAAGACAACTTTTCAGGAGCTACTATGGACTGGAGCCATTCCAGCTTGCTGTATTTAAGTTCTATTTACATTTTCCAAATAAATGATATTGGGCATTTTGTTTTAAGGTAACAGGGGACATTTGTGTTGTTGCAAGCATCACAACAGTAGATATATTTTGCCAACATCATTAAATAAAAAGTGAATAATACAGGCCCCCTTTGCCTCTTGATGTTTTGAGTTCTCTGTATTAATTATGACTTTCAAATTATCATTTATTAAAAATTGGATTAAGTTAGATCCTGTAAAAAATATGCTATAAACAGCTTATCTTTATATGAGCCTCACCATATATAGAAGTATCAAACTGCTTAGGAATGCTTAAAACAGCTTAGTACTGACAATATCTAAATGAGATTATCTCCATATATAGAAACATCAAGCTGATGAATAAAGAATGCTAAAGTCAGCTTTGGACTGCCAATATGCATGTGTTAATTACTAAATTAGTTTCTCCATATATATATGACAGATGATCAGAATGCTTAGATGGTAACAGAAAAAAGCATTTCCAAAAACTGCAATTGTGTGAAATTTGTAACAACTGACTACATGTATTATATATGAACATCCACATTTAATCTGACACGAATATAATAGAACCCTGAAAACTAAAAAACTGAACACTTCATTGTATTAAAAGGGTATATGTGACAACACACTTACTTTGACATTGAAAGGCTTTCCAATCTTGTAAATGATTCTATTATATCCAATACCCTGGCCAAATTTAAGAAGGACATCGAAACTCATTTCTTCACGCCTGCATTTTAGATTCTTTGCAAAGACATCATGTAAATACCACCCTTTAGATATTATTTATGTGCACATTGCGATGATTATCTGCTTGCTTAATGTATAAGAGTGATTGTAAGCCTTTGTTTTTGTTTCGCAATTAAAAATAATACTATTATCCATATGTTGTAAAGCGCTTTAGAGTAATTTTACAAATTTAGCGAGGTGATTTAATAGTCCTTGCTGAAATGTACTTGTCTATGGGACTAGAGGACTACATGTATATAAAGCTAAGTGTTAGCTGAAGTTGAATCCTGTCGCTTGCAAGGGTCAAAAGCTAAATTACAGTTTTGTATAAACTATATTAATTACCTTGATCTTTCAGCGACCTACATTCAGGTCAATTGGGGTCAAATATGTTAAAATCTTCAAAGTATACTTCTCCTTAAGAACCATGAGGCCTAGAGTAATGATAACTGGCTTTTAAACATCTTTAGGATAAGGGGCTTGTCAAAAATATTTCTGTGAATAGACATGTCTCACATTCAAAATCACATAAATCATATGTGCCAAACTTTCAAAGACAACTTTTCAGGAGCTACTATGGACTGGAGCCATTCCAGCTTGCTGTATTTAAGTTCTATTTACATTTTCCAAATAAATGATATTGGGCATTTTGTTTTAAGGTAACAGGGGACATTTGTGTTGTTGCAAGCATCACAACAGTAGATATATTTTGCCAACATCATTAAATAAAAAGTGAATAATACAGGCCCCCTTTGCCTCTTGATGTTTTGAGTTCTCTGTATTAATTATGACTTTCAAATTATCATTTATTAAAAATTGGATTAAGTTAGATCCTGTAAAAAATATGCTATAAACAGCTTATCTTTATATGAGCCTCACCATATATAGAAGTATCAAACTGCTTAGGAATGCTTAAAACAGCTTAGTACTGACAATATCTAAATGAGATTATCTCCATATATAGAAACATCAAGCTGATGAATAAAGAATGCTAAAGTCAGCTTTGGACTGCCAATATGCATGTGTTAATTACTAAATTAGTTTCTCCATATATATATGATAGATGATCAGAATGCTTAGATGGTAACAGAAAAAAGCATTTCCAAAAACTGCAATTGTGTGAAATTTGTAACAACTGACTACATGTATTATATATGAACATCCACATTTAATCTGACACGAATATAATAGAACCCTGAAAACTAAAAAACTGAACACTTCATTGTATTAAAAGGGTATATGTGGCAACACACTTACCTGGACATTGAAAGGCTTTCCAATCTTGTAAATGATTCTATTATATCCAATACCCTGGCCAAATTCAAGAAGGACATCAAAACTCACCTCTTCACGTCTGCATTTTAGGCTCTTTGCAAAGACATCATGTAAATACCACCCTTTATTTAGTATTTATGTGCACATTGCGACGATTATCTGCTTGCTTAATGTATAAGAGTGATTGTACGCCTTTGTTATTGTTTCGCAATTATAAATAATACTATTATCCATATGTTGTAAAGCGCTTTAGAGTAATTTTACAAATTATATAGGGCGCTATATAAATGTTGCATATTATATTATATTATATTATCTTTGCATCAATTTATTATTATGCATGGCCAGGTATTTTTGACAAAGAAAATAAAACTTGTTGGATCCTACTTTTAATATACATGCATATATACAATTTACTCATGGGTTGCAATGCTACAATATTTGAATCAATTGTGATGCCAACATCACTCTAAAATATAAGTAGCATATTGTTGAGGAGAAGAGACATGTAAACATTATTTACTATAAAGAATGTAATATGGTAAAAAGTATACATGTACAATGTGTGTACATTTGTATGTAAGCACCATTGTACATTTCTAAAATCTTTCTTAAACAAATAACACATTCCGACCGAAGAGATTATTTGTCTTAAAGGTAATGTAGGGGTACACGGCTGTACAAATGAAACATTTTTCAAATAATCTAGATTTGATGATCATCCTATGATATTTGTGTGAAGTTGCGCCTTTATAACAGAACAATTCTATTTTCAGGGGATCATGGCCATGGTGACAGCAGGGGGTGCATTTACCCTAGATTTCAGCGGAATTGAACAGGTCTGCGATGCTGTTTTTGCTACAATGGTCATGAACAAAGCCGTTAAAAGTGTGAAGGTAATCAAGCTGAATGGCTGCTGTCATGTGACTGATCTGGGCGTAATGTGGATGGCGTCCTGTTTCCCGGAACTCGTGGAAGTACGTACATTAGTTATATGGATCATTAACAATTTCATTGAATGTCTGTAAAACATAAAAAAAAGTATTTATCTCACAAAAGCCTTACTTTATGGTAATAAGTCAACCCATATCTAGCAATAGGTCCACCATGTCTGGTAATAAGCCCACCAATGTCTGGTAATAAGCCAACCCATGTCTGGTAATAAGCCAACCCATGTCTGGTAATAAACCCACCATGTCTGATAATAAACCCACCATATCTGGTAATAAGCCAACACATGTCTGGTTATAAGCCCACCATGTCTGGTAATAAGCCCACCCATATCCGGTAATAAGCCCACCATGTCTGGTAATAAGTCCACTCATGTTTGGTAATAAGACCAACCATATCTGGTAATAAGCCCACTCATGTCTGGTAATAAGCCCACCCATATCTGGTAATAAGCCAATCAATGTCTGGTAATAAGCCCAATCATCTCTTGTAATAAGCTTATCCATTTCTGGTAATAAACCCACCCATCTCTGGTAATAAGCCCACCCATATCTGGTAAGAAGCCAACTCATGTCTGGTAATAAGCCCACCATGTCTGGTTATAAGCCCACCCATATCTGGTTATAAGCTCACCATGTCTGGTAATAAGCCCACCATGTCTGGTAATAAGTCCACTTATGTTTGGTAATAAGCCAACCCATATCTGGTAATAAGTCCAATCATCTCTTGTAATAAGCCACCCATGACAACTACAGTTAAGTAGATAAACTGACTATAATTGTACTATATCATTGTTCTGCAACCTTTCTTAGAGTCATAGTTTGTGTGGGCTCCCCCTGGGCTTGGTGCAGAGTAGATCAAGTATTAGCTGTTAGTTTGTAGATACAATAACAATAAGGCTGTTTCATGTTCATCTCTGTTTGTTTGTAGGTTTCATTGTCCGGATGTGTTTTAGTCACTGAGTCTGGACTCCATGCTTTAGTAACCAAGTGTAAAAAACTGACTGACCTTGACCTCACTGGAACAAATGTGTCCATACTGGTTTCTGGATGTGCAGACAAGAACATTGTCATCAATGGATGTCCTGTCATCTCACCTGATAAAAAAACCATGGCTAACCAAGACCTCAGTTCCATACTTAAAGGTTTGTATTTAGGATTACCATAATATTGTGTAATTTCAGTAATAATTGAAAGCAGACTGTTTAATTAATTATTGCATATTTCATTTTAAGAGTTCATTTTTGGGGGGTCCAAGTATCAATATACCAGTGACGCACTCCTGGAAAATAACTTAACTCATTCATCCCTGAAGACACATTTGAACTCTTCCAAATCAAAGGTTGGACTAATTCATTATGAAGTTTCAGGGGTGAACGAGTTTATATAATTGTTTAGTCTGTTTCCACCTTCCCCACACTCCCCTTCCTCATCCGTCCAGCCCCCTTAATAATTAGGTATGTAATGTGACTCATGTCCATCCTGTTGTGTCTCTAGCAGTTGTCTTGCGTCACATCGTGTTATCATTCGCATTATCATGAGTCTACTGACTTCAATTCTTAGCAGATTTACATAAATTTTGAATAAAGAATGTCAAGTGTGATAAGTATACCCTGGATAAGTTCTTGTTTCAGGGTCCCAATTAATGTCAGCGCCAAGGTCATTTCTTTAGAAGTAAATCATTGTCATCAATATACTGACTTAACCCTAATTTCACCCCTATGTAACTGGAGTAAACTCTACCATTCATTGTTCTGGATAAGTCCATTATGGTCTTAAGTGGTGAAAGGGTTAAGGGGCAAGGGGCATTCATGTCTTACCAACGTGTTCTAAAGTTTTAGATGCTTTTACATATTACCTAATTCAGCGGCCAAAACTGAGTAAAGTTCAAAAGTCACACATGAGCCAAGAACACTATACATTTTGGAGTTCAAAGAATTTTGTATAATTTTACAGTATATTTCTGTGATGTTTTCAATGTAAATGATATTTTATGTGCAAATTTGATATTGACGTTCTTTTGTTTTATTCATTTAGGCTTAAAGAGTAAGTTTTTTCCACATTATTCCCATTTTCCTTTCTTTTCTAAATCTTATTTCTCTTTTCAATTAAGTGGTTTTATGCTATTTCTGACACAGTTAATTGTTCCAGTACATTTCTCTTATTGTCACCTAGTTTCACTTATTGTCATGTTGTTCCATTTATTATCATGTAGTTCTATATTTATCATCATGTTATTTATTATTTTGCTATCTGGGACTTTTTTTCCATTTAAAATATTTGTTGCAATTTATGAAATTTCATTGAGGTATTTTCAATGCAGTGTGTGCATGATGACTGCACATCGTATTTACATGACATGAACAAATTTATTTTTGTACGTATGACTCCCAGTATATTAATAGAGTATTGCATTCTCGTTCTTTCATCTGTTTTCCAAAGCACTAACTTTTTCTCATCAAAGTTCTTCCTTATAATTCATTTATCGGGTACTTTCCACTGTTTCTATAGAACTTTTCTAAATTCATAAAATAGAGTATTACTAGTGTAGCAGTTGGCTCTTCTCTATCTTCTATTAACATACCTGCTATTCTATTATCAAAGTGTTCCTTTCTACACAAACAATATATGTATTAAACATATTACAATGTTTCAAAACGGACTGGTCCCTTTGTCCAGCATTACTGAGTGTGCAATTTTTTTTTTTTTTTATCTGTACAACGATGCGACGAAATTGAATATTTTGTATGTCACTCGACCCAGTACATTTCGCCTATCGATAGGGAGCATACCAGGTATACACACTGAATACCTGTAATTTTCCCCCAGTAGGTATATACATTTTATTTTGTTTTTAATTCTAAATGAATGGAATCTCCCCAATGGAAATTATAAAAAGTATGTGATCAACTTGTGATTCTATTATCTTTTTTTTATTCCGTTATTATGACTCGGCGTCCTAACATAAATGATGATTTGCTTACACTTTTACAGAAAACAAGTCACACTTAATATAATCAATTTTATGTTTATATGATTCCATGGATATTTCCAACATTTTCAGCACCTGGATTCATGAAGTCGGATAAAACTGATATGGTGAAGGTGATTGTTAGCAAGCCGCTCAACTCAACCTCCAGCTTTGTGGCTTATCTCACAAAGGACAGCATTAAGGAAGCCAAGATGTTTCGAATCAAGATGGCACACAGCCTTGCTCCGGGATTCACCGCAAATATGCTTGAATGCGATATGGTAAAATATATCAATACAAAATTTTCTAGAGTTTCTAATTATTGAATAGAATATTTTGCATACAAACAAATATAAAAAAGTATTCAAATTATTGGAAGTTCCTCTTTGGCAATGAAGAATTCTTGAAAAGGAAAGATATATGTATCTACAATTATTTATATATGGGGCAAGGAAGTAATTCAATTTTAAGTAATTTGTATCCTACAAACATACATTTGCAAAGATCCAGTGTTATTTGGGAAGTGACCATTGGTATTACTTCTTTGACCATATGTAATTATATATATATAGAGCTAATATCATGAGTGACCACAGCAATGTGTACCATGTCCATCCTTGCATATTCTCATCAGGACCTCCACTTCATAATTGCTGTTTTTTTAATTTTTTTTAGAAAATTCTCCGTTGTGATCATGACATAGCTATAGAGTGATGAAACTTTTTTCAAAAGGGCTAAGTTGTGAACATCTGTTCATGCGCATTCAATGGGATATAAGGATATTCCCCAGTTTTGATTTCTGAAGGCAGTATAATGATTATTGACTTGTTGAGATTTTATGTATTATGTAACTGTTCATATGAAATTTGTGTACCTGGAAAATGTTTTCAAGGCCGTATTAGAACATTATAAACACAAAGTTATAATTACCTGATAACACAATGCTTGGTTGTTTTTTTATCTCCGGTGTGTTAGAGGAATATAGATGACAGTATAATGATGGTTGTTTTTTTATTCTCCGGTGTGTTAGAGGAATAGGAATATAGATGATAGTATAATGATGGTTGTTTTTTATTCTCCGGTGTGTTAGAGGAATCTAGATGATAGTATAATGATGGATGTTTTTTATTCTCCGGTGTGACAGAGGAATATAGATGATAGTATAATGATGGTTGTTTTTTATTCTCCGGTGTGACAGAGGAATATAGATGATAGTATAATGATGGTTGTTTTTTATTCTCCGGTGTGTCATAGGAATATAGATGATAGTATAATGATGGTTGTTTTTTTATCTCCGGTGTGTTAGAGGAATATAGATGATAGTATAATGATGGATGTTTTTTATTCTCCGGTGTGTCAGAGGAATATAGATGATAGTATAATGATGGTTGTTTTTTATCTCCGGTGTGTTAGAGGAATATAGATGATAGTATAATGATGGATGTTTTGTTTCAGGGCGTCATGGATCATTTTATCACCAAGAGATCGTTGTGCGTGCTTCCATATGGTGCAGATGCTGACATGTCTGCTGATGCCATAGCAACCCGTCTATACGCAGTTGTCTCCCATGCCCTGTCGGTGGTAAGTTAGTGTAGAGGAATCATACTGATGCTGCCAATGTGTAGTTTAAGGACAGCAATGGATTATAATACTGTCATCCTTTTATCGTTCACTATGCAGCAAAAACCAAAACACTTTTTCACCCGTAACTTCTATACTGTGTTATCCAGCAATAAGCCCATGCCTGGTAATAAGCCCATCAATATCTATTGAAACATAGTGGAAATGCCAAGTAGTGCTATTTCAATATTCTGTGATAAGATAACTCCCTAATTTGTGTCGGTGATCATGTACTTGCTGACCTTGGGCTTAAAGCCAGATAAATTACTACACAAATCATGCATATGAATCATGTAACATATGCGCTTAACATGTAATTTATTTACAGGATTCTGGCATTCCCTTCATCATTGCTGGTATGAGTAATGGCGGGAAGAAGTGCGTCAGCCCTGATGCTGTCAAGACTGCCATGGATAAACTCATTAGTAAATCTAAAGACAGTCTCAAAGCTGAAACGCAAATGTGCCAGAAGCCACAGTAAGTTTGATGTTCTTCACAGAACTGAAATGTGTCATGGTTGGCTCTGATATACTTAACATGCATTGCTTATCTAGTTAAAAATGACATTTAGTACTTAATTGATCCAACTGATAAGTATAAGTAGATATAAGCTGACTTTGGCTGCAGACTGATCAGGGGGTCCCCTACTAAATTTTTACTGTGTTCAGTGTCCACTAGAATTGGAAAATGTATTGCTGGAATGTAGGGAGGGGTCTTGGAATATTTAGATAACACACCAAATTATTCACAGCTGGATAGTCATAAATGTATTATTTTTCAACCACACAGATCAGTTGACGTTTATCTTTTATTGACAATTTTAGCAGAGATAAAGAGAAATTTTGCTTAGATGAAAGAAGGAATTAATGGGTCTGATTTTTGCTGGTAGAAATTAAAACAAAGTAGTAATAATTTGTTGTTGCATTTTTGGTCATACTGTATATTTTCTGCATGCCCTATATGTATGCATTTCCTCTGTGTTTTCTGCATGTAGCATTCACAATTATAGGAATTTCATTTCGTAATAAAATGTCTTTAAAGTGGTCTTGTGTTTATAACCCCTGCAAACAAAGTTTGGGGGTATATATATATATAGGAATCACCCTGTGCGTCCTTCTATGTCCGTCCATCCATTCTTCTGTCCACAATCCTTGTAATCACAACTTCTCCTTAACACTTCATTGGAACTTTTTGCAACTTGGGACAGAAACACTACATCGCATGTAGATGTGCATGAAGTAAGGAATTTGTGATTCGACTAGTCTTCTTGGAGTTATGGCCCTTGAAACTTTAATTTCTGCTCCAGAAACCTTGTTAGCTCAAGCAGGGGTACGATCTTTGAGTGCTTGCTCACTGTTTCTCATTATAATAATAATAATAAGTAATATACAGCATTTATATAGCGCCCTATATAATTTGTAAAATTACTCTAAGGCGCTTTACAACATATGGATAATAGTAATGGTTATAATTTTGAAAACAAACAACAAAGGCTTGCAATCACTTTCATACATTTGACAAGCAATGTGCACATAATTGAACAAATAAAAGGGTGGTATTTACATGATGTCTTTGCAAAGATTCTAAAACGCAGACGTGAAGAGGTGAGTTTTTATGTCCCTCTTGAACTTGGCCAGGGTATTCGACTTTCTGATAGCAGATGGTAAGCTATTCCACAACGTAGCCGAAACCCTCCCAAAGCATCTGTTTCCGTAGGTCACAGTACGAGATTTTGGGACACACAACAAAGATTCTGACTCCGACCGCATTGTTATTTGTCATTTAATGTTATTTAACTGTAGGTTGAAGGATTGTCATTGGATTGAACAGCAACAACTCTGTCGAGCGTTAAACCTGCTGTCAGGTCTGGAGAACATCAAAATTTCTACACTCACTTTGGATCTGAATGCTGCTGGCCAGGTACTGTTTGAACTTAATATCATGAGAATTTTGTGAACTGAGTTTTTAAGGATTTCCATGAATTTCATATGATTTTATTTGGAAAATTTGATTTAGTAACACTATACTCATTGATTAAGTGGATATTTTAATAGCCAAAGAATATGAGGGGAAAATATTGCCTTACTTCCAAACTAGTTTTTCAACTGCTTTGCAGTATAACCCTGGGATGTGCTTGCTGGTTCAGCAACGTCGAGTGTGGTCGAGGCTGGATGGGCATCATTAACACTGCGATATTAAAAGATTTTTCAATATTTAGTTATCTCTGTCATATTTGGGAAAAAATTGTCAAGCTATGCACTCCGTTTTGATGAAATACAACTAAAAATGTACTGTAATTCATCAAGAAAAGAAAGAATTTAATTTCTCTTTTTCCTTTACTCACTCAGGCTGATGTGAATGCCAAGCTAATGGGGGGAGTCAAACAGGTATCTGCTGCATATCCAGAATATCAGGAAATGTACGCTGCTGTGTTTTCGTATATAACATCGGATGCCATTGACACCATGCTGAAGGATGGGATAGTCTCCATTAAGTCATCTGCTAAGTCAAATCAACGGGTATTGACCATTATGGAGTACTTTGTAAGTTTATAAATAGGTTTCAACAACCAATTGAAATACTTTTCATCATAATATAAGTATCTTCAATAATTGTTTATGTTATTTTAATCTTCATTTATTTCAACAATTTGAGAATGTATTCCATAGTGTTACAGGAAAGAGAATGTATTCCATAGTGTTACAGGAAAGAGATGTTGCTTATTTATCAACCTTTGACCCTTGACATAGGCATCAGGGGTCAAATTAATATTAGGTAAATTAAGTGATAACTATAGATATGTTTAATAACTTAAGACAAATGTTGTGTATTTCAGGGACGTGCCAAATGCTTACAGCTATCCAATCAGGATACGGCCATGGCATCAATACAGTGCATGGCAGACATAATATCCACTGCTTTCGATGGTAACCATGGCAACAACGACGGTTCCACATCTCTCGTCAGTAACGGAGTACCGTTGTATGTTAGGGAAGAGATGAAAAAGACACTTACCAAAGTTTTCAAAGGAGACGAAGAGGTACTTTGAATTAATTATTGAAAGCAAATGGGCTGTTTACTATTTCTCCAGTTTTTTGGCCATATTATCATTCAGTCACTTATTTTCAGTTTTACAAAATGTGTATTTTTTTATTAGTTTGCAATAATTGCTTGTCAAATAATTTCTTATTCAGTTTACAAAAAAAAAAAAAAAAAAAAAAAAAGGCAAAAATAGTTTCATTTTCTTAGTTAGTTACAGTTTTTTGAAGTGGGTCATGGACCCTTAATGACTGTATCATTGTCTAGTTAGAAGTATTGTAACATCATTTCCTATGATAAACACAAACATGTAGCAGTACAGATGTGACAGTTGCTATTCAGGCAGTGCTATTAGCTCACTGATGTACTGGTGTACAGCCATCAGATGTAAAATACATAGATTTTACATTTTTTCATAATACCCAAGTACTTACAATTAGTCGTGATGTTCTGCTGATTTTACAGCAAGGGGCCAATGGTGTGACTCTGTACTCTGAGCTGGGATTGAGCTGTGCCGTGTCAGCAACAGCCAATGTGCTACTTAATCAACTTACAGATACAGTTCCCGCTGCTGTGGTATGTATCTTCATCTCTGAACTACCACAACATGACGTAGTGAATTCAATCATAATCATTTATTATTACAACTGTCATAATAAAGCAAGCACACATGATGTCATGACATTGTGTTGTCGTATTGAACACAATATACATGACTACTATACACATGACGTCATCATATTATGTCGTCATGTTGAAGACAAAACATGTGACATAATTATATTGTTGTCATGTTTAAGCAAGTGCACATGATGTCATTATATCATTTTGTCATGTTTAAGACAATACACATGATGCCATTATATTGTGTTATCACGCTGAAGACAACTTCATGACGTCATTACAGTGTGTGCCACATTGAAAACTACTATGCATGACATCCTTGTAATAGTCTTTTCAAATTTATCAATCAGTTGAAAGAATAAACATTAAACAAATATCATAAAATGAATAGAGAAAAGTTATTAATAAAACAATATAAATTTACATTTTGGCTTTAGGAAATAATAACAGTATTTATTTTCCTTTGGTATGTACTCCAGCATTTTTTTCTAGAGATGGTAACAGACATTTTACTTCATTAACAGGTTTAAGTGACGTTATGGTTATTTTTCCTATCCTTTTTTTCAGAATCTGATAAGAAAGACCGACAGGAAGGATATCATTTATGCTGAGTACACCTTTGAATTTTCTCACCCAGTATCAAACGGCTTACTCCACAGAATCATAAACATGGCTGCACTTATTCGAAAGCCACTCTTCATTTGGCAGACGGGCTGTGTACAACAGGAGGGCTTGGTTGAAGTTATATTAGAAATGCAGCATAATGGTGGTAGGAACATTTCAAATTACCTTAGAATTAATAGAATTTGTCACCCCCATGGACTTGAGATTAATAGAATCTTTCATCCCCATGGGGTTGAGATTAATAGAATCTTTCATCCCCATGGACTTGAGATTAATAGAATCCCTCATCCCCATGGTCTTGAGATTAATAGAATCTTTCATCCCCATGGGGTTGAGATTAATAGAATCTTTCATCCCCATGGGGTTGGGATTAATAGAATCTTTCATCCCCATGGGGTTGGGATTAATAGAATCTTTCATCCCCATGGGGTTGAGATTAATAGAATCTTTCATCCCCATGGGTGTGAGATTAATAGAATCTTTCATCCCCATGGGGTTGGGATTAATAGAATCTTTCATCCCCATGGGGGTGAGATTAATAGAATCCCTCATCCCCATGGGGGTGAGATTAATAGAATCCCTCACCCCCATGGGAGTGAGATTAATAGAATCTTTCACCCCCATGGGGGTGAGATTAATAGAATCTTTCATCCCCATGGACTTGAGATTAATAGAATCCCTCATCCCCATGGGCTTGAGATTAATAGAATCTTTCATCCCCATGGGGTTGGGATTAATAGAATCTTTCATCCCCATGGGGTTTAGATTAATAGAATCTTTCATCCCCATTGGGTTGAGATTAATAGAATCTTTCATCCCATGGGGTTGAGATTAATAGAATCTTTCATCCCCATGGGTGTGAGATTAATAGAATCTTTCATCCCTTTTGGGGCGACATAGGGGATTCCCAACCTGAGGAGGAAGGTTCTTTAGTTGCCAAACACAGTTTGTCGAGTGTTTGGCAAATTAAAAATCTTTTTCCGAGGGTTGAGATTCTCCATCACACCTCAAGGGGGTGAACAATTCTTTTTTTTCTTACTCTGATGACTCGCTCATGTTCATTATGCAATGCTGAAGTTACAGGCTTGGTGCATTGTTGATGTGACATTTATGCATCGTTGACGTGACATCATTGTATTGTTTGCGTGATGTCATACAATTGTTCTGACTAGGGAGACCCCTCTCCCTCTCAACCCTAGGGTGTGACAAGAATTTCTCTTACCATGGACAGGTGTATCCGCACTTTTACTGGTGTGAGAATAATAGAATCCATCCCTGATGTGAGGTATGGATAAGGTTATTGAAACCCAAGGGATAAAATATTGAGCAGGAGCCCCGAGGCTTTGCCGAGGGTCTTTTGCTCAATATTTTATCCCGAGGGTTTGAATAACCTTATCCCTACCTTATATCAGGGATGGATTCTATTTCTTGCTTATTACCTAAAACAGCTGCTCTTCTAGTAAAGTTGTAAACTGTCTGCACATTTCTCATTTGCATATGAAGCCCGAATGGCAAGGATGACAATTGTTAATGACGTCAATGACTCTGACTGACCCCAAAAATGTCATAAAATGATGTCATGAACAATAGCATGACCCCAAAAGGTCACTATAATTCATACGCCAGTCTGCGGGTGTAAGCGATCTAGACCCGTGGGTCAGATAGAATTTTCCAGCACCGCCGGAAATGCGGATATCTCGTTCTAGTATGCAAGAATTCCTTGTCTTGCCCTAGGGTTGAGACGGGTGGTCCATTCCCGTATTCATAACAATGGTATGACGTCACTTAAACAATCCATCAACTTCATGTCAAAAATCCATCAACGTCATGTCAAGCCTGAGTTTAGTCTGTAACGTTAACATTTCATTGTGTATATGATACAAGGTAGGAGAAAAAGAATCATTCACCCCGGGGGCCCCTTGTGGGTGAGATAGGGGAATCTTCCCCCTCAGGTTGAGATCCCCTATCCCACCCCCAACGGGGTGAGAGATTCTATCGATCTCGCATCCGAAAGAGGTATCTCAAATCAAGGGGGGAGGTACTGATGAGGTGAGGGAGGTGAGGGATTCTTGTTCTCTTACCCTGTTGACAGGGGTCAATGCATTATAGACATGGCTTCATGTAATTGTAATGACTGGGGAACCATCTGGTCCAACACCTAGAGTGAGAAAAATGTATCTAACACCATGAAAAGTGTGAATACTGACTTCATTGCCAAGGTCCTAAGGTAAATGCCAAGGTCACTTTTGCTATTGTTAGGTCAGTCATTTGCAATTTTGTAGAAAGATTTACTGTCATCAGTTACCCACAATGACAGCAAGCATTATCGGACTTAAATGTGTTGCTGTATATTTGATACTGAAGTTATATTTAGCTAGGAGCGAGCTTCTGTACTATCCTACATTCACCAAACTTGCTATAGTTATCTACCTTTGGAACACAAAGTATCATTTACTGAAAACAGATTTTTTTCCCCAATAAGAAAATGTTTTAATTTAAAATGATCATACATAAAAGATATTCAAAATTGCAGAAAATTGAAGGGAAAAAAAAAATCAGCAGTACATGGCATGCCACAGACACAAATTTGTATTTGAAAATCACCAATTTAGCAAAGGCATGCTGCTAAAACAATTTGGTAAGTGTGAAAATTTGTATTTCCTCGACAGCTGTAAGTAAACTACGCGTGAAGAGTCAGACTCCACAAGAAAACTCACTATTCCCAGCGAAGACCAAGATTACTGTCGATCGAGCGAACATGCGCATCTGGCAACTCCTCGAACAGTACAGTCAGCTGGCCTTGAAAGTCATCAAACAAATGGGACTTTTTGCCAAGGTAAGTCTGGAACGATGTTATCATTCAACAAAAATGTCATCAAGGGACTTTGTGTCATGATCAGTGTACCTGTAAGTTTGGATGGGTTTTGGTTTTTATTGGATTTAGCATTCTATGAACAGCTAAGGTCATCTAAGTACATGCCGAGATCCATGTTTGTGTAGGTTGAAGGCTCATACCCATTGGAGGGTCATATTTTTGTGTGTGTGCATGTGGACATTAAGGCAACTATTGGCTCCTTGCATTAGCATGCATCAGATGCCAACTTTAATTTAGAGTGCTACTTCATTGAAATACCATGCCGGGGGCACCCAGCTGTATATTGTATTCCACCTGGTCACATTATACTGACAATGAGTTTACCATTTGTTGCCTTAACCAAAAATGCTGAATCTTAAGTAGGGAATAATAAGTACTATTTTCGTCTCGCTGCCACGAAGTGGAAGCGAGACTTATCATTGTGAAATAAACACTTTTTTTTAAACGAACGTACAGTGATTCACATTAATTAGGTGGTACTTTTCTAGTGACGGCATCAACATTAAGTTTTTGTGTTTAAGTAATTTGTTTCACTGAAAGTGCTAGACCAACCTAACTTGGACCATAGATGCATCTTAGGTAGTACATCTCAAGTTCTCAACCCATGCATCATATGCTGGATGTGGCCTTCCTTTCATGGTCCATTGACTTTGTCAGCATCTCCATCACCATTAAGTTTTTGCATTTAAGTTAGTGTCTCTAAAATGTGCATTGATGGTCAAAGCGGGGCATTGGTGAGACATGTTAACCTGAATGGCTTGTCAAGGGATTTAGTAGGTCTGGTACAGCACAGTCACATTGTAAAGAAAAGCATCTAACAATGGAGGCTGTCTAGGTCATCTTGGTTCAATCTATTAAATGAAAAGATTAATCATCAAACAAGTAGGAGAGGTAATATTGTAAGAGTATTAACCCTATCACCCCTAGGTAACTTGAGTAGACTTGACCATACATTCATCTGGATGAGTCCATGATATTCTACAGCAGCGACAGGGTTAATTATTCCTCGAATGATAGTTATATTTAAAGACAAGTCAAAAAGTTGTCAACAGAGTTTGTTTTGTGTAGAATTAACACGAGTCCGATTTGTGAACACTTCAAAAAATTCATTTGAAGTTTTCAACATTAGACATCAATTTTCTAGCACCGTTTTGATTAACAACTGAGAGGTACAGGCTTCAGAGGCATTTTGTTGTTTTATGCATAAGAATCATATTTTGACGGAGAATATATTTTATAAAAAGCTGTCATTTAACAGTATCGGTAAAGGTAATTGGTGGGAAATTGTTGTTATTTGTACCAGTATAATAATAATTGTGGTTTTATGGAGGGGGGACATATATTGTTTTCTAAAAAATTTGAGAATCGTTATTCTATTTTTACTCTCTTCATACATGAAGCTTGGAGTGACTCCAAATTTTAGAATGAATCAAATCATGTGTTGATGTGTTTACATTTGTTATTTAAATGTTTTTATTTTAGATCGAAAGGAAAAGCACAGATCCCAAACCAAGTAAGTCATTTAGATACTTATTAATACTATGTATGTATTCTGCAGTGAAAATGTTTTAAAAGTTTTTCAAAAGATATTTTCAACCATAGCAGATTAAATCATGATTTTAGTACCATATTGAATAGGTATATGATATAAATAGAAATTTTATATCATTTAGATGTTTTTGAGGTTCAAGGAAATTGTATTTAGCACCTGTCACACCAGATTTTGTCACATCAGATATTTCAGCTCATTTAATACAAGATCTGGTCATTGTTTTCAGTAAACATTTTTTTAAATTAAACCGATAGGATGACATGAAGTGAAGATTTCCGAAATTACCTAGTACCAGGGTTATAGGCATAAGAGTAGACTGAAAGCCTACATCCTTGATACTCCAGGGGTTATGCTCGCTTTATGGCACTGTAGATATGTTGACCTGTATATCTTTGAAAATGTGTTAATCTAGGGCCTCTTTTCTTGTCATAGCTGTGGAAACCATAGCTCAAAGGTCAAATCAACCCTTTTTTATATATAAAGATTTCGGATATAAGTCCTTTATGTAAAATTGAAAAAAAATAAAAATTGATGGGACCTAACTTTTAGCTAGTGGGTTCCCCTGGCTATTTTTTCAGGGCAGCTGACTGTATGTGAATTGTTCAAATACATAATTATAGTTATTGAAGCCTAAAAATAAATAATCTTTCTACAATATTTTTTTTTATTATCTTTTGTAAAACCTTTTTTAGTTGTGCAGTTATTTGAACATATAAAAAGTCTGCTTTTGTAGTCATTGTAGTTGTTGTGTTTTTTCATAACAGGTAATGTGTTTGCCTGTATATCGGATCACAAAATCCCGGTTCCGACGGAAGTGGAGGAAAAGATGACATCTCAGTCACTACTCTGTTCTATCTGTGGTATCTCCACCAACCACTATGAGTTACAAACGGTAGTGTATGCTACAACCCTGTTGTGAAGGTTCTTGTAGCACAACCGGTGAACTTTTTATGTGCAATGTTTCAATAACTTTATGTAATAACTATTTTTTAACAACAATTATGATACAAGTTCAATCGACTTATAGTTATTAGCCTGGATGTTAGATATATAATGAGCAGGGGTCTTAATGTGGAAGAAAACAGGAGAAAAAAGGGGGCTGGTATCAGAAGGCAATAAGCATTTTATAATCAATTTAAGACGTCTTAAATGGAAGAATTTTTACACAATTTTTGCAGAGGGTACAAAGAAAAATAACAACTAGTTTTCTGGCCTCTTCACAAATGATGTTCCCTCCGGATACAGACAAAGTCACACAGAGTGGAAACCTCCTCAGTTTCCTTCCAGGAAGCGAGAGCTCTCATGTCCTCTTCAAGACCATCATGGACCCTTACGAACAGAACTCATGGAAAATTACTTTTCTTGAGGGAAAACCATCCAACATTTCTATATCCTTATTGTAAGCTATAGGTTTAAATTGAAATGGTGATTTGAAAACCATTCAATGTATTTTTTTTTTTTTTATAAGCAAGGTTTCTTTTGCAGTGTACTTAACCCTTTCACCACTGTAGACTATAATGGACTCATCCAGATCAATGCATGGTAGAGTCTACTAAAGTTACATAGGGGTGAAAGGGTTAAACAATATTGTTCAGGCAAACTGCCCTGTAGTTTTAGATTATTACAAAATTGTTGATATGGGAGTAAGATTTCCTCTGAGAGTGTATGAATCTGTTGTCATTATTACATTGATGGCAGTGTTGGGAATTAGAAGATGAATTGTAATTGATTATCGGAAGACCTTTAATGAGTGATTATCAATTAAAGTTGCAAAAAATCAACTTTTGTAATATCTTTTCAAACATGTGTAATATTGAAGTATAGTGTTAGAATATGTAATGAAATTTTGAAATGTAAAATCAAGCGTTATCCAATTTTATACACTTCAACTTCTCACTTTTGGTTTAAAATTTATAAGAAATCTATTAACCCTTTCACCACTGTAGACCATACTGGTATCATCCATATCAATGTATGGTAGAGTCTACTGAAGTTACATAGGGGTGAAAGGGTTAATGAATATGTTGTGTACTTCATAACCATTGGCAAAGTTTTATTTTAGGCGGATGATCAGTAGAAATTTACAGAAAAATTATCAAAAATTGGAATAACACTAATCGATGGAATATTTTCCTAAACTTTTAGGCTAGGAGGAGAGGGAGAGATGTTCTATAACTTAGACCTGAACGCGAAGGAGTTTGTTGCCGGCAATGGAACAGAAAAAAAGGTGCTGATGAAAGTCCCCCCTGTGGAGCTCGGAGACACGCTGGTCCTCCAGTTGAGCCCTGGTCCCGTTCTCCAGGGAAAGCCGGAATACTCCTTCAGTCTCATTATCCAGGAACAGCTTATCATGACTTTCAGTGTTCCGGCCAAAAAGATAAAAGTCCGGATCACAGGAAGGCATGTTGCGGATTCAACTAGTACAGTGATGGTACATGGACTTCTACCTGTGGTAAGTGTCTTCTGTCCTGAGGTTACTTTCGACTATGTTGCAACAATTAACTCATTCACCCCTGAAATTTCATCATGAACTATACCAACCTTTGAATTGGAAGAGTTCAAAAGTGTTTTCAAGGGTGAATGAGTTAAACAAATGATACATAGATACAAAGATATGTAGATTTTATTCTGACAAAATTAGGATGTTATACAATCCTTTGACAGTCAGCTCTGAAATAAAAGATTATAAAATAAAAACAATTTTCAGAAGTTGCGTTGTTTAGATTTTATTTTTTTCTTTAAAACTGCATTCCTGCATTTGGTTTTGCCAGTGTTCATCTAATTTATACTCAAATTGTTTTACTGTGCTTGAATTTACAACATAATTAGATGGAAAATTGTTCCATAAATTCACAGTTCTCTATGTATTACATTGTAAACGACTTGTATCATGTCGCCAGGGGATCTTTTATATGCTAGTGTTAGTATTTTCTCTAATCGCTCCATATTGGATAAATCTTTTAGGCCAGGTACCAGCTTTGTTGCTCCACGTTGAACATTTTCACGGAGAGAACAAACTCCCGAATCTAGGTTTCTGTAACTGTATTGATACTGCCCGTGTCTGTTGTATGACCGTACCTATTATCTACGTCATAATATAAACTAAACCTTGAAAAAAGTATTTCAGGGGGAAAAATTGTTGTTTAACTCATTCACCCGTGAAGACACATTTTAACTCTTCCAGTTCAAAGGCTGGAATAGTTCATAATGAAATTTCATGAGTTAAAAGTGTCCTGATGAAGTCGCGCACCAAGAGGCGAAACTAGTGAAAAATTGTAAAAAAATGTTCTACAAACAACATGCAGGCATCTAGTTTTTTGACATATTTTTCAGATGCATGTTTGCTATTACACTTGATCATAATTTGTTTAATATTACAAAAACCTGTTACACCAGATCAAAACGAGACTTGAACATGATTTAAACCTCAGAAGAGTACATCCTTAACTCATTCACCCCTGAAATTTTATAATGAACTATTCCAACCCTTGAATTGGAAGAGTTCAAATGCGTCTTCAGGGGTGAATGAGTTAAATCTAATTCAGGTTTACACAGACAATGTCAATAAAACCAGTGTGTCAAACCTTCAGATTTTCACAAGTATGTTATTTTGCATTAAGATGAATCTGTGAAACCAAAATGACTGTAAACATTTGCAATATTTATTATTATGAGACTGAGAGCTTAGATCAGCTTGAGAATGAAGATTCAATACTCATGCAGTCAAAGATATTTCTTGCAGAAATTTTAAAATTGTGGTGTACGAATGAAAGATGTGTGCTAGCTAAGTAATGCATACTCCTTCCATGCTACATATATAGCGATTTACAACAATTCCTAATGCCCAAAATATCAATCAAATACTAATAACATAAATGTTGATCTCACAATAGTTTTGTTAGAGAACTGTACAAAGTTTGAATTATTATGATAACTAATTTATTCATGCATTATCTTTGCAGCCTTCAAAGTCGACAGAAGTTGTTGAAGGAATGCGACTTGAAGCTTTGGACCGCTTGAATCCTTCACTTGTTTGTGTGGCATCAGTGGGTAAGTTAGCATCGTATAGAATGTACCATAGATTGACATTTCTTGTCCAGACTCCCTATATTTATTGGGACTTTTCCTCTTCAATTCAGATTCAATCTACACATGTTTTGTCATATTTTCTTAAAGAGGTTTCTAATTGGTTAATGATTTTACAGAATTTGATGATTGATTGAAAGGCAGACTCTAAGGTCGCATTCTCGTATCCCAGTTGAATCAGTTCAGGTGGTGCAGAAATATTCCACGATAAACAAACGCACTTCGACCGAACTGTAAGCAGAGCTAAAATATGGACAGTTTCGGAGTTAATAACAATATATGAAGAATAACATGTCCACTAAATTATATAACGTATCTTAAAATCTGCATGTAGATTGACCTGGTTTTAAAAAGGAAAAACACAAAGTAGCAATAGTCAGCATTTTAGTTTCGGTCAGGTACGTCTGGCCCCCTCAACCTACATGTGCCAGATAATCCTGACGTAAGCCTCAGTTCAGACCTGCGCCTGTCATTTTCTTTAAGATTCAACTGGGTGAAATTACCTTTTTTTTCATTAAGGCCCCTTTCATGTGAAAGGGGCCTTAGGGGCCTCAGTGAAAAAAAGTCTATGCAAAATGATGTTTAACCATAGACAAGATGTCATTTTGTCTGTAGTAAATATCCTACAATCACCCAGACTGAAGTTACCTGGGTATAGAAATCAGAAATTTGATAAGAGAGAGACAAAGTGATCTGAATCAAGTCTTTGAAAGTAAGAAACTTTTATAGCAGTTAAATTAAACAAAATTTGAAAATAAGTTTGTTGCACTTTTGTTGAGTGAAGTGTATGCAATGTAAAATTTGCACAGGACTTCTTGTCTTAGCGTTACACATTGGATAAATATAAACTCAACCATGTGGGCATTGTAACATTGTTTTTCATTGGTCAACAATCATGTGTTATTGGACAGTATACCACAGACATGCCTCATAAATACAGCACTGTTCCAAAGTCGACCCTCATATCTATGTCACATAGCCTTAATAGGGCCCCGTAGCGGTGATACGGGTGCCCTATAGTAATCACTCTGTCTGTCTGTCTGTCTGTCTGTCCATCCACAAATTTTGTTCCTGGCTGATAACTTTGATATTTATTGACCGATGTACATGAAACTTTGTCAAGATGTTCAGTTCACAAAAATACACATTGAGGTAAAAAGTCAAGGTCAAAGGTCAAGGTCATTAGGTTCAAAGGTCAAGGTCACATTTTACATCTTTTCACTGATAAACATTTTGTTATGACATTATGGAGCAAAGTTGATCAGAATTAAACAAGGAGTCAACTGACCAAAGGTTAAGGTCAGCGGGTCAGGGGTCAAGGTCAAATTGTGTAGCTTTTCACTGGTGAACATTTCGCTATGATTTTATGAAGCAAAATTGTTCGGAATTAAACAAAGAGACACAATGAGGTCAAAGGTCAAGGTCATTAGATTCGAAGGTCAAGGTCAAATTTTGCATCTTTTCCCTGATGAACATTTTGTTATGACATTATGAAGCAAAATTGATCAAAATTAAACAAGGAGTCAACTGACCAAAGGTCAAGGTCATCAGGTCAGAGGTCAAGGTCAAATTATGTAGCTTTTCACTGGTGAACATTTTGCTATGACATTATGAAGGAAAGTTGTTCTGAATTAAACAAAGAGACACACTGAGGTAAAAAAAAAATGAGGTCAAAGGTCAAGGTCATTAGATTCAAAGGTCAAGGTCAAATTTTGCATCTTTTCACTGATGAACATTTTGTTATGACATGATGAAGCAAAGTTGATCAGAATTAAACAAGGAGTTAACTGACCAAGGGTCAAGGTCATTGGGTCAAAGGTCATGGTTACATTTTGTATCTTTTCACTGGTGAACATTTCGCTATGACACTTTGATGCAATGTTGCTCAGAATTAAACAAGGAGTCAGTTGACCAAAGGTCACGGTCACTGGGTCAAAGGTGAAGGTTAAATTGTGTACCTTTTCCCTGATGAACATTTTGTTATGACATTATGAAGCAATGTTGTTCAGAACTTAACACAGAGTCAACTGACGTTAGGTCCAGGTTACGGGGTCCAAAGGGTCGAGGTCAAATTTTCCATCTTTTCACTGATGAACATTTTCTTATGACATGATAAAGCAGAGGTGATCAGAATTAAACAAGGAGTCAACTGACCAAAGGTCAAGGTCATTGGGTCAAAGGTCATGATTACATTTTGTATCTTTTCACTGGTGAACATTTCACTATGACACTTTGATGCAATGTTGCTCAGAATTAAACAAGGAGTCAGTTGACCGGAGGTCAAGGTCACTGGGTCAAAGGTGAAGGTTAAATTGTGTACCTTTTCCCTGATGAACATTTTGTTATGACATTACGAAGCAATGTTGTTCAGAACTTAACACAGAGTCAACTGACGTTAGGTCCAGGTTACGGGGTCCAAAGGGTCAAAGTCAAGTTTTGTATTTTTCACTGAAGAACATTTTGTTATGATATTAAGAAGCAAAGTTGGTCGGAATTAAAGAATAAGTCAACTGACCAAAGATCAGGGTCACTGGGTTAATGGTCAAGGTCATTTGGGTCCAAAGGTCAAAGACAAAGTGGATCTCTGACTTTGACCCTGCCTTTAATGGAGAAGGTATATAAGGTGAAATAAAACAAATCAAAGCTCACAGATGAGTATTGCAACGGTATTTACATTTCTGTTAGCCCAGCAAATATGGAGGTGGAAGGAAACAAGACTCACATCATAGTACATGTAAAATGTATATTTTGGTTCCTTGCGATTCTTTTTGAAGTCCAAATGTCAAACGTCAAGCTCAGCTATATGGGCAGATTGCTTCTTGATGATTATGGAGGATATATTGCCACAAGACGGGGCCCTTACTGACCTGTCAGTGTTCTAGTTTATTCTGACAATATACTGTTTGTTACATTTGACAGAGTAGAAAAAGAAGTTAAAAAGTTAACACATGTATTTGTGTGAATGGTAGAATATTATTATTTAGAAATTAAAAAAAAATGAAAATAATCGACTCAGGCCTATTGGCATTTGTGTTTTTTCAATTATAGTTACATGGTATTTATTCCACTATTAATACATGTACACATTATGGTCCTTTAAATACCCATGTAAATGTGTTGTCCTTAAATACATGTTTTGCATTACAAATCAATTAATGAGGGGATTGTATTTTGCAGGGAAAATTGATGAGACAGATGGCCGACTGTTGATCCATTTTGATGGCTGGACAAAACGTTACGACTACTGGACAGAACCGGAATCCAAGGATATACATCCGATCGGCTACATGGCTTTAAATGCAAACTCAAGCAACCATAACTACACTGTGGAACTACAAAGACCCAAAGGTAAAAGATGGAGTATTAAGGATCCTCGTACCACTTCCAAAAACTATAACAAAGGATGTACTGGAAACTGTTTGTCACCTGCATGATTATAGCTTTGATAAATCATTTCTGGAAAGAAAATCATACCTTGTGAGAGTTTTATGAAAAACTAATGAAGATAACACTTATTTAATCATGTTAATACAATATAATCAACAAGAGTGTTCTGAAGGAAAATTTAGCACTTCGGAAATATTGACAGAAACAACATTTGCTCCACAAGTTCCTTGTTACCCCTGGAAACCTTTGGACATGTTCTTTCCTGGTTTGATCCCTAATAGATGCATTGAAGAAAATAAATGACCTTATTGTGAATTTCAAATTAAGTTTACAGGTCAAGGTCACTTCTTTGAAGGTCAAGGTCACTGTTACTAATAATAGAAACATATCACAAAAAAAATGTAAGAGACACTAACTTGCTTGGGATAGGGGGCATTCCTGTATTGTATTTTCTACACTATTTCTAGCTTTATACTCATGTGTCTTAAAAGGATTTTATTAAATTCTGAGTCTTTTTTTACTCAGGGAGGGCTCAGGAATTTGAGTGGTTTGACTATCTGCAAGAAATAGGACAGCTGCCTGTTCCTTATGAGTTCTTTAACGAGGTAATTATAAACATGATGACTTGATTAACCTAACCATGGTGCTGATATATCTTGTTAACCCTTTCACCACTACAGACCATAGTGGACTTGTCCAGATCAATGCATGGATGAGTTTACTAAAGTTACTTAGGATTGAAAGGGTTAATTTCTAAAAACTTAACATCACTAGTCCTGGTGGTACCACAATAAGACAACCATAATTAAGGCATTCAACGGCCCATCTGGACAAAATTTCATACAGATCGTCTTTGTTTCATGTCTCAGTGCACTGGTCAACATAGCATTTCGACATACTAATTAAGACAGACAAATCCTGTATAAAGTAGTATCAACTTCAGCTCCTCATAATTGCATTAATAAGATACTGTATGCCAGGAAATTATCGCCACCTCAAAGTTTTGCCCTTAACTGGTAGAACCTGTTTTTGCACAATGTTAATTTCTCCCTTGAAATGTTATTCTTATGTATAGCATATGTCATGTTCTTATTTTCACTATTGTGATTTTGCCCTCATTACCTCATTACGGACGGCAAAAACACTGCAACTTAAACTGCAACGAAAATTTCCCGGTATACAGTAAATGTGACAGGTTTTATAGATCCAATTTTGAATGGAATTTTTAGGCTTTTTCTTGCATTGTTGCAATGTACATCATACAAGGTATTGACTACAGTAAATCAGTTATGATTTTGATTGTCTGTTGTTATAACAGGCCCAGTGTGAGGGAACTCAACCAGACGTTGAGAATGAAGTTCTTACGAAGCTTGGCTACGCTTCGGATGTTAGCAACCAGCAAGTGATGTCATGTGTGTCCGCCAAAGACACTGAGAGACGTAAGTAGCAAAAAGGAAGTGATGTCATGTTTTATTTCAAAAACCACTGTGAGATGTATGTAACAAACAGGATGGTCGGGTGGTACAGTGGATAGTGCACTTGCCTTTCACCAAGGCGACCAGGGTTCGATTCCCCGATCGGACCTGAAAAGTTCGAGGTCACCTGCCCGACTACGTGGGTTTTCTCTGGGTGCTCCGTTTCCAAAACTACTGTGATCCGTAAATAGGGAACAAGAAGTGATGTTTATGCGCCTGTTTTTTTCTATGAATCTTTTTTTAAGAAATAACTGCAAAAGGAAAGAACAAATGGGAAATAACAGTTTGAGAGAATTTAAAAAATATCTCAGTCTATATAAGATTGTTTGGAGCTAGTTTGTACCCCAAATTCAAGAGGTGTCAGTGATATTTTGTGCCTCTTTCCTGTGCTTCCTGTTGGGATTTTCATGAAAATTTCTTGATATTTTTATTTCCTGTAAACACCAACAAATGTCATACAACAAATTTATTTGAAGCACTGTTTGTAAAGTTTAAATTTGGAAAATGAAAAAAAACCAAACCATTTTACAGGTTTGGAGTTTGCAACCATGAAGAAGTGTACATTAACTCCGGCTGTTGTTGACTTCTTCAACAACAAATTCAAGTTTTTCTGTCTGCTGCCTGCCAACCTCAATGAAGACATGCTGATGTACCCATCACTACAGCAAATCATCAATCAGGCGGACCAGATGATCCACCTCCTGTGTCCTGGCAACAGTAAGTGATGGACAAAAGATCCACTTCCTGTGTCCTGGCATCAGTAAGTGATACACACATGATCCATTTCCTGTGTCCTGGCAACAGTAAGTGATACACAGATGATCCACTTCCTGTGTCCTTGCAACAGTAAGTGATACACACATGATCCACTTCCTGTGTCCTGGCAACAGTTAGTGATACACACATGATCCACTTCCTTTGTCCTGGCAACAGTAAGTGATACACACATGATCCACTTCCTGTGTTCTGGCAACAGTAACTGATACACACATGATCCACTTCCTGTGTCCTGGCAACAGTTAGTGATGCACACATGATCCACTTCCTATGTCCTGGCAACAGTAAGTGATACAAACATGATCCACTTTCTGTACATGTCCTGGCAACAGTAAGTGATACACAGATGATCCATTTCCTGTGTCCTGGCAACAGTAAGTGATACACAGATGATCCATTTCCTATGTGTTCTGGCAACAGTAAGTGATACACACATGATCCACTTCCTGTACATGTCCTGGCAACAGTAAGTGATACACAGATGATCCATTTCCTGTGTCCTGGCAACAGTAAGTGATACACACATGATCCACTTCCTGTGTCCTTGCAACAGTAAGTGATACACACATGATCCACTTCCTGTACATGTCCTGGCAACAGTAAGTGATACACAGATGATCCATTTCCTGTGTCCTGGCAACAGTTAGTGATACACACATGATCCACTTCCTTTGTCCTGGCAACAGTAAGTGTTACACACATGATCCACTTTCTGTGTCCTGGCAACAGTCAGTGTTACACACATGATCCACTTCCTGTGTTCTGGCAACAGTAAGTGATACACACATGATCAACTTCCTTTGTCCTGGCAACAGTAAGTGTTACACACATGATCCACTTCCTGTGTCCTGGCAACAGTAAGTGTTGGACAAATAACCCAACTCCCTGTGTCCTGATATTTTATGTACTATCAATATACACATTAATACATAATGAAGCATATCATTTTTGTGAGGAATTACAGTATTTGACTATGTTCCTGTTCTTTTATAGGAATGGAGCTGCTCCACTTTTTGGATCATCCTGGACTGAGCCTAGCCACATACAACAAGGATACTCAGTTCCAGCAAATTGCCTCCTACCTCTCCAACTGTTATATAGGGCTCCTCATACAAAAGGTACCACAGAGCATCTACATGTTATATATAGGGCTCCTAATACAAAAGGTACCACAGAGCATGTAGGTGTTATATAGTGCTCCTCATACAAAAGGTACTACAGAGCATCTACATGTTATACAGGGCTCCTCATACAAAACGGACCACAGAGCATCTACATGTTATACAGGGCTCCTCATACAAAACGGACCACAGAGCATCTACATGTGATATAGGGCTCCTCGTACAAGTGGTACCACAGAGCATCTAAGTGTTATATAGGGCCCCTCATACATAAGGTACCACAGAGCATCTAGGTTTTATATAGGGCTCCTCGTACAAGTGGTACCACAGAGCATCTAGGTTTTATATAGGGCTCCTCGTACAAAAGGTACCACAGATCATCTACATGTTATATAGGGCCCCTCAAACAAAAGGTACCACAGATCATCTAGGTGTTATATAGGGCTTCTCATACAAATGTTACCACAGAGCATCTACATGTGATATAGGGCTCCTCGTAAAAATGGTACCACAGAGCATATACATGTTATATATAGGGCTCCTAATACAAAAGGCACCACAGAACATCTACGTGTTATATAGGAGCATGGTACCACAGAACATCTACGTGTTATATATGGCTCCTCATACAAAAGGTACCACAGAGCATCTACATGTTATATATAGGGCTCCTAATACAAAAGGTACCACAGACCATCTACATGTTATATAGGGCTCCTCGTACAAATGGTACCACAGAGCATCTACATGTTATATAGGGCTCCTCATACAAAAGGTACCACAGAGCATCTACATGTTATATATAGGGCTCCTAATACAAAAGGTACCACAGACCATCTACATGTTATATAGGGCTCCTCGTACAAATGGTACCACAGAGCATCTACATGTTATATAGGGCTCCTCATACAAAAGGTACCACAGAGCATCTACGTGTTATATAGGGCTCCTCATACAAAAGGTACCACAGAGCATCTACATGTTATATAGGGCTCCTCATACAAAAGGTACCACAGAGCATCTACATGTTATATAGGGCTCCTCATACAAAAGGTACCACAGAGCATCTACATGTTATATAGGGCTCCTCATACAAAAGGTACCACAGAGCATCTACATGTTATATAGGGCTCCTCATACAAAAGGTACCACAGAGCATCTACATGTTATATAGGGCTCCTCATACAAAAGGTACCACAGAGCATCTACATGTTATATAGGGCTCCTCATACAAAAGGTACCACAGAGCATCTACATGTTATATAGGGCTCCTCATACAAAAGGTACCACAGAGCATCTACATGTTATATAGGGCTCCTCATACAAAAGGTACCACAGAGCATCTACATGTTATATAGGGCTCCTCATACAAAAGGTACCACAGAGCATCTACATGTTATATAGGGCTCCTCATACAAAAGGTACCACAGAGCATCTACATGTTATATAGGGCTCCTCATACAAAAGGTACCACAGAGCATCTACATGTTATATAGGGCTCCTCATACAAAAGGTACCACAGAGCATCTACATGTTATATAGGGCTCCTCATACAAAAGGTACCACAGAGCATCTACATGTTATATAGGGCTCCTCATACAAAAGGTACCACAGAGCATCTACATGTTATATAGGGCTCCTCATACAAAAGGTACCACAGAGCATCTACATGTTATATAGGGCTCCTCATACAAAAGGTACCACAGAGCATCTACATGTTATATAGGGCTCCTCATACAAAAGGTACCACAGAGCATCTACATGTTATATAGGGCTCCTCATACAAAAGGTACCACAGAGCATCTACATGTTATATAGGGCTCCTCATACAAAAGGTACCACAGAGCATCTACATGTTATATAGGGCTCCTCATACAAAAGGTACCACAGAGCATCTACATGTTATATAGGGCTCCTCATACAAAAGGTACCACAGAGCATCTACATGTTATATAGGGCTCCTCATACAAAAGGTACCACAGAGCATCTACATGTTATATAGGGCTCCTCATACAAAAGGTACCACAGAGCATCTACATGTTATATAGGGCTCCTCATACAAAAGGTACCACAGAGCATCTACATGTTATATAGGGCTCCTCATACAAAAGGTACCACAGAGCATCTACATGTTATATAGGGCTCCTCATACAAAAGGTACCACAGAGCATCTACATGTTATATAGGGCTCCTCATACAAAAGGTACCACAGAGCATCTACATGTTATATAGGGCTCCTCATACAAAAGGTACCACAGAGCATCTACATGTTATATAGGGCTCCTCATACAAAAGGTACCACAGAGCATCTACATGTTATATAGGGCTCCTCATACAAAAGGTACCACAGAGCATCTACATGTTATATAGGGCTCCTCATACAAAAGGTACCACAGAGCATCTACGTGTTATATAGGGCTCCTCATACAAAAGGTACCACAGAGCATCTAGGTGTTATATAGGGCTCCTAATACAAAAGGTACCACATAGCATCTATGTGTTATATAGGGCTCCTCATACAAAAGGTACCACAGAACATCTACGTGTTATATAGGGCTCCTAATACAAAAAGTACCACAGAGCATCTAGGTGTTATATAGGGCTCCTAATAAAAAAGGTACCACAGAGCATCTAGGTGTTATATAGGGCTCCTCATACAAAAGGTACCACAGAACATCTACGTGTTATTTAGGGCTCCTAATACAAAAAGTACCACAGAGAATCTAGGTTTTATATAGGGCTCCTAATAAAAAAGTTACAACAGAGCATCTAGGTGTTACATAGGGCTCCTCATACAAAAGGGACCACAGAACATCTACGTGTTATATAGGGCTGCTAATACAAAAAGTACCACAGAGCATCTAGGCGTTATATAGGGCTCCTCATACAAATGGTACCACAGAGCATCTACCTGTTATATAGGGCTCCTCATACAAAAGGTACCACAGACCATCTACGTGTCAACCACCTAGACATCGGAATTTCCTTGATCTCTTTCCTGTACTTTGATAATCCTTCAACAAGCCCAGGGCCTCTTTTCATAAATTTGTTTTCATGCTTAAACTCAGAGTCTGTGTTAAATAATATCATATCAAGGATGGAAACATTTCAGGATTCCATTTCAGTGGAAGGTAATAGACATAATTGACATTGATCACACCAGGATTAAATATAGTTTGGATGTAGATAATAAATGTTGACTTTGAAAATATAACGTAACAATCATACAGTGTGGTAATATGAATGTCATTTTTTTTTTGTATCATAGACTTATAATAAATCGTTTGACTTTTAAGGACATTTTACCAAACCCTCCGATGAAAATGATTGGTGGCATTGAGGGGACCCTCACACCCGACACGGTAAGAACATATATCATTTATTCTTAATACAATTACTTCAATTATACAGGCTTAAATTCCTTTCACTTCACTATCACAGCCATTCGCTTGGTAGTAGTCTCAACAATCTTCTTCAACAGTAACAGATAAGTCAAAAAGCTATATTTATATACATATGTTTGATATATATGCAGTTATATCAACTCTTTCACCACTGTAGACCATAATGGACTCAGCGGAGTCTACTAAAGTTGCATAGGCCGATGAAAGGGTTATAGAAGGTTTGAGAATATGGTATGTTTCTGGTTCCCTGGGACCAGGTTTTTTCTCTGGGGGAAATAGGTCTGAATTGTGTGGAATCAGAAGAACTGCTATATCCATAAAAGTTAAACTCATACTTTAATTGTTAAATGGTACGAAGATATTTTTAAGCAGAAATAGTTCAAGCTGTAAGTTCACTAAACTTGTTACTCTTTCAGTATTTTCCATGACCAGCTGAGTCTTAGAAATGATAACAAGAAGGGTTCAGGGTCAACATAAGGTCTACATACCTTGCACCTGTTAAGTTTATTAGTTTGGTCATTTCTGTGAGGTACATATGTAGTTATGGAAACAGGAAGTTAAGCTGCACAGGTGCTTTAGTTTTCAGGCTAACACATGACTGATATGGAGAACTAATTCCCTGAACAGCAAAATCTGAGGGATATAGTTCATTATTTAACAAGGAATTTTGATGCAGAACAAGAAAAGTAAAGTTATCTAAATTTCAGGTTATTTTATTTCCTCTTTGACTTTTAGTTTTTGATAAAATTTATAAAATTTTATAACTTGGATATTTCCAGTTTTTAATGACTTATTGGTAATATCTTACCACAGTATTTTGTTTACTTTTAATATTTGACATTATTATTTTTACGATATCTTCTCAAAAAATTAAAGTTAGAAAAAGTATCTTTCAAATGTGATCTACATTAAAGTGACCATAACAATTGTTTTTGTTATTCTGTCAAAATATTTTTTTTATTTTTTTTTTATTCAGAATATTGAATTAAAATATTCATTAATGATGTCACATTGTGCTCACAGCTTGATCTGATGGAGACAAGGTTACGCCGCATTTTCTACCTCTACTTGTTATGGATTGGTCAAGTAGAACTGCTTAACAAAGAACTGGGAATGACCGTAGACATCCACATGGTAAGTCATATTGACCACACATCTGTATACAGACTGACCACACACTTTCCTGATAAAATTGACCACACACATCCATAACAAATGGCCACACGCAATCCTATTAACACTGTCCACATGCATCTATGTTTAGGCTAACCGCACACATATAGACTGACCACACACATCCATATATAGACTGACCACACAAATCCATGTATAGACTGACCACACACATCCATTTATAATATTTGACTAATCCTTTTGCTTAACAGGCAGAAAATATGTTTAAACTGAAAACACATTTCCAATGTGTGTTTGTCACTTTAACTATACAAATATATAGTACAATTAGAATTTTAGTATGTCATGTTTCAGAGAGATAAAAACTGCTATAGATCTGTTAATTTGCAAAACTTTGTGTGAAATTATTTAGTCTGAATCTGTGGACATGTAATGCTATATATATGATGCTGTCATATTTAAAATCTGAAATCATTAAGATCTTCCTGATTTTCATTTTTATCGCACTCCTCTATTGGTGCTCTAAACTTATATCAGATTTCCTGATTTTTCCAGCATCACTTAAATCTATTCTTACATGAAATTAAGGTTCGAGCATTTATCACCTCCGACGGTAAATTATACCAAATGTTCATCACTCTGACTGTAAAAAAGTTCTTTCTTTTAGATAATAAAGTCTGTTGTGGGTATATCTTAGCTGAGTGGCCTTTAATTTTGTTGCTGTTTCTTTCCGTTACATTGTTCCACATTTTTATAAACATACAGGCCTCGCTGTCGTATATGCCCTGTATTGTCTTGAATGTTTCGATCATATCCGTGATGCATGTGTCGTATGTGAGGACTCATTCAACTGTCATCTCATCTCTCCTGATCTGTACTTACTTTTGATTTTGTTACAGACCATTCTCACGAATATCCAGGGTAACAAGGCAGCTTGTTCGGAACTAAACAAGGTGTTTGACCTTTCGCATGGCTTTAAAACGACCGGCATCAACAGTTGTTTAGCACACAGCCTGGCACTGTCGGCTGGACAAGATATGAAGACGATCAGCATGGACAGATTCCAAATGATGTACCAATTCTTACAAAAGCTGGACTTCAGGAAAAACGGTCTCAAAGAACTCTCCAATGATTTCCTGGGGAGATTCACCAAGTTGGAAGAATTGGATCTGAGCGAAAATCAACTTCAGGTTTTACCAAAAGGTTTTTCAAACACAATATGGCTATCTCATCTCAACATCAGTAAAAATCAAATCTCTCAACTTCCTGATGATCTGTCCGCCCTGAAGGATGTTCTAACTTTCCTGGACATTTCCGATAATCCCTTCAAAGAAATTCCCAAAGTGGTTTGGACTCTTGTATCCCTCAAAACACTCCATGCAGACAATATCGGGAAAATTGGAAATCTTGAAGCCATCGTCAACATGAAGGATTTGACCGAGCTCTCCTTGGCATCCAATTTGATCACCACTATCCCAGAATCCTTTGGACAACTGGCCTTGACATATCTCAACCTCTCTGGAATTCCCTGGTTTCCAGATCTTGTAACTGGAAAGTCTCGACCAACATTCAAGACGTTCAAGTCTATTCTGAACCAGTACACAGTGTTTGGAGCTATGCTAGATGAAAAGGTATGTTAACTCGGATCCCACAGCTGGTGTATCGTGGCGTCCCTCATCTGTTGTATCATAGCTATATATATATAGTCTGTCTGTCAAAACTGTCTTTAAACAAATTCTTCTTCTGAATGACTGATTATGACCGGAAGCTCCCTAGGTGGTGGGGATTAAAAATTGTACAAATGGTTGGGCTGACAACACAGGGGAATAAGGGGCAAGGCCAAAAGGAGATAATTTGGCCATATTGCTTTAAACATCTTCTTCAGAACTATGTGAGATGTATATTTGGTTGGAAGCATTCTTAGAAGGTGTGGATTCAAAATTGAACAAAAGGGACTGACAGCTCTGCCTTTGAGACCCTGGGATCTGAGGGATGTGGCAAAATAGGGTCTTTTTCATTTAATACTGTTAATTTCTTTAAATTCAGGAACAAAACTTCAAGCTTTTCTTTTGAATACAGGAACAGTTTGAGTTGTTCAGTAAGGTGGACAAAGACGCTTCGGGGACCCTGGAGAAGGAGGAACTTCTGGAGATGAACACACTCCTGTTTAGCATGTACCCGAGGTTCGGAGTCAAGGATCTGGCTTACCCTGCCAGTAAGTCGATGCTGAGGGAAAACATCAGTACACCTGGGCCTGTATTCATGAAACCATTCTCATGTTAAAGCATGGATTTTGTCCTCAAGTCTAATTTCTTGTTTCGGTTATATATTTTTTTGAAGATATATTTTTTTGTCAATGATTTTGAAATAATTTGAAGAGACTTAAAGCCGAAACTGTTTTCAATGTGTACACCTGACTTTTTGAACTCTGACATGATTTAAGCGAGGTACAAAAAAAAGGTTAGAGCACAGAATCCTGCTTGAACATAATCATGGTTTCATGAATACCAGCCCTAGACCTGCAATATTAAATCCTACAAAGGGTTCAACGAAATTCAAATAGCATTTAAATCACCATTTTGTTTGTGAATAATTACTGAATCCAGGAGATATTCACTGCAGTTTTAACTTTTGCCTCTTCTTTGCCCACCTGAATGAAGATGAATTGTAGAAAATGAATAGTAACATTTAATGGGCAAATTTATCAACATCGGATAAATAAATATTTTCACAATGAAATGTGAACAATTGACTTCGGCAAAAGCTTCCGAATGTACAGTGTTTTCACAACTGTTATTCAGGCAGTTAATATTTATGAGGATTTCAGTTCATTATTAACTTCTTTAAGTTATCAACATTCACTTTTGCTGTGTATTTGAAATCCATGAAGGGTGCCACATCTATTTCAATAATATACTGTGAAATCACTAGTTTTCATGGGTTTATCCACTAATTCAAAGGTCCACAAAGTAATTACAAGTTTGAGTTAAAGCTACTCTCTGTTTATGGGGGTACTCATAATCCACAAATTCATGTAACCTACAAAATGGTGTTTTTTCAGGAAACCACAAAATTTGGGCCCTCCCAAAAAATATCTGATTTAACAGTATGCACAATACTCCGTATATTCACAATGGTGTACCATAATTTCTTTGTTTGCTCTGTTATGTTGCTTGGACACCATACAATAGAGACTAAGGTGTTGCTTTTCTGGCAACATCAACATTCAGTTTTTGCATTTAAGTTAGTTTTGAAAGTATAAGTAAAAATGTACTTGACCAACCAAACTAGGGCCATAGATGCATCATCAAATGCTGGATGCGGCCTACATGTACCTTGTCAGCATCTCCATCAACATTAAGTTTTTGCGTTTAAGTTAGTTTCTCTGCAACTATAGGTGCTAAACCAACCAAACTTGACATGTGAAATTGAATTGATTGTCAAAGCGGAGCACAGGCGAGACATGTCAATCTGAATGGCTTGTTATGAGGTATAGCTTTAGTGTGCTCACATTTGCTCACTCCCAAAGAATGCCCATTAGTTATATGCTGGTATATAATAGCTACTTGAGAGAACCAAACTTTGAACTTGATCTTTAACTCATTCACCCTGAAATTTCATAATGAACTATTCCAACTTTTGAATTGGAAGAGTTCAAATGTGTCTTCAGGGGTCAATGAGTTTTGTTTATAGTTGAAATGTATACAGTTATATTTACATTCTGTATGCTTAGACCCATTGACAAAAATTACATTCATAAATGCATAACACAGGTGTTCATAGAATCTCAGCACGTGGGAACTGATAGTAACCTGATCACACTGCGTAGTAATACACTACAAAAACTACTCACTCGGAACGACCGACCTAGATGCTTAATTCTTACATCTTAAAATATTATTGAACTGTGCTTTGTGAAATATCCACGTATTCACGTGTCCTGTGCTACAAATAAACATTGAATATGGAACTACATTTTGTTGTGTTATTGTTGTTGACGGTTGCTAAGATCTCTCACGATAGTGTCACATTTCCCCGCGAAAAAACACTGTTCTCGCCACTGCGTTGCACCCGTGTATAAGCAGGAACAAACCCTGTTTATTTGTTTTATTCGTTGTTATATCGATCCACTGAAAGGATTCGTCAATGTAAATATAAGGAATGATATTTATTTTTTCAACATTTATGAGGTCATAACAACAATGGGTTTTTGGACATATTTTACATGAATCGCTAACGCGATTCATTCAATATGTCCATAAACCCATTGTTGTTATGACCTCATAAATGTTGAAAAAATAAAAATCATTCCTTAAATACAATCTTTGATTTCACATTTATCATAAAGTATTCTTCAAATCTTATAGTTTTATTTAAATACTTTGCCATATTGCTCGACCACTGTATCAGATCGTCCACAGAGGGCAAATTTAAATGAAATAAATGTATAGCCTACAGGCAATATGCAAGAAATTACAGTTACCATAGAAATATTTCATCAGAAGTATCCATGAATGTAAAATTTACATATAAAAGATTTTGTATAATATATAGAGTGATCTGGTTTGCAGCTGGAGGTGTTCCTGGTGTCATTTGTAAGCTGACTAGTCTGGAGCGACTGGAGTTGTCCTTCCATGGCTTGAAGCAGGTGCCTGACGAGATCAAGAACTTAAAAGCTCTGACGAGTCTGGATGTGTCCAATAATCCCTACCTGGAGAGCATCAGCAGCAGTGTGGGAGAACTCCCTATGAAAGGTTATTCAAATTAAATTGAAAGTGAAAGTAATTCAGGCCTTCATNCACCCCCACCCCCACAACCCCTTCCCAAAAGAAAATACAAAAACACTAAAGAAATTCAGTTATGGCCTGCTCATCTCTTCAAGCGACATTCTGGTTTTGAATACTATTTAAATTAACATTGATATATAACCATGGCTCCTGAACATTTTTATTTGTCTCCCTAAGGTAAGGGTCAGCTGTCCTGTTGATTCATCCTCAGTTTAATCTATTTTCAAGTAGCTTTGATGGCTGCTAACATTTCTCTATCTAGCAATGCATTGTTTGAAACAAAATTATTTTCAGCCTAGTTGTATAAAAATGGTTATGAATCTTTCAGGCACGGTAGTCGGTAGGACGACAGGCTCGTGACCGAAGGAAGGGTTGAGGGTTTGAGTCACGGCACAGTTGTGTGTTGTATCTTTGAGCAAGATACTTTACTCCGCTTGTTCCAGTCCATTTAGCTGTAAATGAGTACATGGTTGGGCAGTGCTAGCATTGTAGAATGCTAGCTGTGAGCGCTGAAATGGCAACACCGGCTGTAATGCTCCCTAGGGAGTTGAGAAAGATATTGGCTGGTTGCAAAGGCCCTATAACCACAAATAATAATTTGTAAACCACTTTGAGATGACCTACAAACTGGGTTGTGATAAAGCGGTAGATAAGAACCTCAAATTATTATTATTATTATTATTTATTATTTTCAGAAATCAACCTCAAATACTGTCCAACTTTGAAGACACCACCAAAGGAAGTTGTGGCTCGGGGTTTCAACGCCGTATTCGGATACCTTAAACGCCTGTTGTCTGGTTCTGTCCAATGCAGACGAACTAAGCTCATGATGGTTGGGCTTGGTGGGGCAGGAAAAACAAGGTAAAGATATTTATATGTTAATATAAGATTTAACTGTCCTTATCTTGAATTGTTAATTTATACATCGTTTTAACTTTCCATGGCCTTCCGACCATTTATAATATTTTGCTGTTTGTTTCCAGTCTGGTACGCTCTTTGACAGCTTCTAGAGCCGTTTATAACCAGGACTACGGAGAACAAATCACAGACGGCATCAGTATCACAGATTGGACAGTCGACACGAAAAACAAGGACGAATCGCTGACGTTTAACGTGTGGGATTTCGCAGGACAGACCGTCTACTACAACACTCATCAGGTGCGTCCTTTATCGTAAATTTAATCAAGGTCATAAACCAAGTCAAAAGATTTTTCAAGTAACAGAAGATGACTTTTTTTCTGGTTTGGAAACCCTGATGTATATCTTTTTATTTCAATACAGATTTTTTTTTTACAAGGCTTATAATAATTACTTTCCATATTTGAAGAACTATTAATAGAGCTTACCATATATAAGTGTGGGGGATATGGAAATTACACCCAAAGTTGTAGAATAAGGGTAAGAACTTGGGGATACCATTTTTTAGTTTTATGCCCTAGATTAAAAAAAATGACTTTTCCCCCCCTACATTTTACCTGGGATTTTGATAAAACTGGCAATGCATGACATGGTGAATTCGAAATTAAAAACAGTAAAATTTCTTTATAACAATCAAATTGCTAAAGATTCACTGTTCGTTGCCATTATTTTAACCTTTTTAATCATTAAACATGCAGTTGATATATTTTGAAATAAAATTTTGTGAGGGCGAGTTTTCTCTGGCCCTACTCTATACCATATCCACTGATGAACCTTTTGAAAAACCCTAATCAAATTCAAATATGCAAAACAAGAATGTTTAAGAATGGCTTATTTCCAGGAGGCTATGTTTGTTGATGATTGTATTTTGTAGTTAAATATTTTTGTGTAAGATATATTTTTTTGTTGTTCAAAATGGTAATTTAATGATGTCACATGTCAAGTTTAAATGACAACATTTTTCATCACACTAGCCAACAGAGTACCAAACGAATTGGGCAGATTGTACTGAACAGCCAATCTTATGTTGATAGAAATAAATGTGGCTGTTGATTAGGAGACACGGTAGTCTTGTGGTAGGACGCCATGCTCATGAGCGAAGGGTTGCGAGTTCGCATCACGGCTCGGCACTGTGTTGTATCTTTGAGTAAGATACTTAACTCCGCTTGTTCCAGTCTACTCAGCTGTAAATGAAGACATGGATGGGCAGTGCTAGAATTGTAGAATGCTATAGCTAGCTGTGAGTGCCGAATGGCACCACCGGCTGTATGCTCCCCAGGAAGTTGAGAAAAATATTCGCTGGTTGCAAAGGCCGTTTAACCATGGATAATAATTTGTGTACCGCTTTGAGACGACCTACAAACTAGGTTGTGATAAAGCAGTATATAAGAACCTTGAATTATTATTATTATCCTTTAAACTCTTTAATATACCCTAATCATTATATTTTGTTGGGATTTTAATTTTGACAAGGTAATTTTTATCACTTATTCATAGGTCCACAAAGTGATTACAAGACATAGTTCGACTGAAAGCTTTTCTTAATTTGAATTGGTACATGTAATCCACAAATTCATGTACCTGCGAAATGGTATTTTTCCTGAAACAACAAAATTTGGGTCCCAAGAAAATATCTTACTTCACAGTAATCCCTTTATTTTATTTCTTTTTTACAGTTTTTCCTGTCTAATCGGGCAGTGTATCTGCTCTTGTGGAACATTCGACTCGGATTTGAGCATGCAGGATTGGATTTCTGGCTTAACTCAGTCGTTTGTCACGCTCCGAAAGCTCCCATCATTATTGTCGGAACACACTGTGATAAGGTATGGGTTCAACATTTGATAATTGTTTGCTATAGAGCTCGGGTATAGCAGTTACTAAATTCATAAATTTTTGTTTCCATCAACATTTTATTGATATCCAAGTGAAATATTTATTTGCAGATTAAATTTTTTGGATGGAAAATTTTCTATCTTGTACAATAATAATCTTAAGCAATTAAATTACCAGATGTTACTGTATTTATTCTGCAATAAGCCCAGTGGGCCAACCCAAATCTAAATCAAATCCAGGGGGCTTGTTAATGCACAATGAAATTATATTTGCTTGCATTTTTGCTGCATTTTTTTTTTTTTGTCATATATATGGTTGGGCGGGCTTATTACCAGGCATGGGCTTATTAGCTGATAAATGCGAATATGCCATTACACCGTGCAAAGCAATTATATTTAATGATGGTCTTTGTTTCACTATTTCGTCTTTGCGTATTGCAGAGTTATCTTCTCTTGTGAGCAGGTATTGATTGTTACGTCACTTGTTTGTGAGAGTAACGTCTTCAATTTTTGAGAAAACGACGTAATTTTCTCACTCAAACCAATGCCGTAACAATCAATACCTGCTCCCAAGAGAGGATAACTCTGCAATACGCAAAGACAGAATAATGTCAATCTGAACATATTCTGTGAAGTCATGTTATTTGTTTTTCTATGTGAAAAGTACAAAAATATACCTGGTAAATGAAATTGGATAAAAATGCTGAAAAATTGATCAAGGTTTTACCTGACATAAGCATTTAATTATTATGCAGAATTAGTGACAAAACTGTAAATCTTTATATTTCAGTTTAACTTGTACAATTATTTTGATATACATGTATTAAAAACTATACTATTATTTTTAAAGGTTGAGAAGTCAAAGATTCCTCAGGATGAACTGAAGCGGAAATATCCTCAAATTGCCGGCTTCTTTTTTGTCAGCTCCTTCACAGGAGAGGTAAGTTAATAGGTATAAAATTCAAGGGAGACAATTGAAGAAGAGATAAGTTATTGTACATACTATCCAACCTAAATATGTGTTTAAAAATGCTGTTCTGTAAGTCAATAATTGATAACATTGTGATGACTGTTTTACATAGATTCAAATATACTGTAAGTTGGGATAGTTTCATCGCAGTTCAATTTCTGCATTTCTCACCCTCTGTTATGGGGGCAAAGGATGAGTGTCTATAAGGCCCTTTTTTTGAAACCCACTTTGTTGATGACGAGTGCACTAACCAATGTACCAACCGAACCAATCACGAGCGCCCTCAATGCAACAGATCATTCTTTTTAACCCTTTCACCACCGTAGACCATAATGAACTAATTCCCATAAATGCATGGTAGAGTCTACTAAAGTTATACCTAGGGGTGAAATGGTTAATTATGTTCTTATAAAGTGATACTGATTTTTTACGGTTTCAGGGTATTCAAGATTTGAAGACATTCCTCGTAAATTTGACCCTGCAGCAGAAGTACATGGGAGAAAGGATCCCAGAGGCCTGGCTGACACTAGAGCAAAGGGTCATTCAGTATGTACCTGTATTGACTGTAAGAAAATAATGTAAAGCTGGAATGCATGATGGACTGTTTAGGACAGATAACCATCTATAAGAAAACATTTGATTACCACCTTATTTTCAGCGACAGAACATGTTCAATGGTTCCAACTGTACTTCCAATGTAAGAGTGCCTCTTTAAGAAGTGAAACCTAATTCTACTCTGACACAGGCCAGCTTCAGCCAAATCCTGTAATATGCAGTAAAACTTAATTTTACTCTGACACAGGCCAGCTTCAACCAAATCCTGTAATATACAGTAAAACCCAATTTTACTCTGACACAGGGCAGCTTCAACCAAATCCTGTAATATACAGTGAAACCTTTTTTTACTCTGACACAGGTCAGCTTCAACCAAATCCTGTAATATACAGTAAAACCTAATCTTACTCTGACACAGGCCAGCTTCAACCAAATCCTGTAATATACAGTGAAACCTAATTTTACTCTGACACAGACCAGCTTTATCCAAATCCTATAATATACAGTGAAACCTTATTTTACTCTGACACAGGCCAGCTTCAACCAAATCCTGTAATATACAGTAAAACCTAATCTTACTCTGACACAGGCCAGCTTCAATCAAATCCCGTAATATACAGTAAAACTTAATTTTACTCTGACACAGGCCAGCTTCTACCAAATCCTGTAATATACAGTAAAACCTAATTTTCTGACACCTGATTAAAGCAACATCCTTTAACTTGCTATGAAACCTGACTTTATGGACACCTGCTTTTATTGACTTCTCCAACATATCCAGTAATATTCAACATGATCTGGCTAGCTTTAAATGTCCTACATTGTAGTTTAACCCTGATTAAGCTGAAACCTAATCCTGTAATTATCAAACTATATTATTTAGCCCACTTGGAACATGTAGCTCTAAAATCAGCATTTATTTTAATAACATTTTTAGCCAAATTTTTAATAAAGTCTTTTCTTTGTAGAAAAAGGAAAGAAGAGAAAATAGATTTGATGAAGTGGAAAGGGGTAGAGGATGTTGCTTCGCATTGTGGAATTGTGGATGGCCAAGAGGTATAAATGTCAAGATGAAAACTTCCTTTTAGGTGTCATTGATCTCCTTCTATACTTACTTTTAGTTTACATGCTTATATGTCAACACAAATCAATTTGGTGACAAGCAGAAAATGCACCAAGCATTGCCCTAAGATAAACAATTAATATCTATACAATTCTTATAATGGCCTTAAAAAATAAGGTCTGAAACATATTATTTCTGACAATGCTGTCAGTCAGAATTCAACATGGCAGCTAGCTATGTATAAAGGAGTTCAAATACAGTTCAACACTTTAGAACTTGTGACAAATGGTGATTGTTTAAAATCATTAATATAGAATTATTTTGATTTGAAGTATTTTGTATTTGTTGTCAAAAGTTGTTTTTTCCTTGATTTTTATTTTTGGTGTTAAACAGCTTGTACAAGCTGTGCATTTCCTTCATGACCTCGGGTCACTACAGTTCTTCAACACTGAATTCCTGCGTGGCTATGTCGTCATCTATCCCCAGTGGATTGTCGACGTCATGGCGTGTATTGTGACTGTCCATGCAGGACCCACACAGGTATTTTCAACCTTAACTTTGTTTGTAAAGTATGTCCATAAAATTCATTACATACTTAAATGAACATAATTCCAAAATATTAAATATATATATATTCTTTTAAATCACTTGAATATTGTATAAAAAATAATGCGTAGGCAAATACTCACTTGTATAACAATGGGATTATGAAATAAAATGCAAAAAAAAATCCAACAAATATTTTTCACATTGTGTTAACTTCCAAAGCATAGAGTTACCTCCCTTAGCATAGAGTCCTATTACTTTTTAATCACTTTAATTTGTTGAATACAAAATAATGCATAGGCATATACTTACTTGTATAAAATTGGGATTATGAAATAAAATGAAAAAGAATTTCCAACATTGATTATCTTCCTTTACATAATGTTAACTTCCTAAGCATAGAGTTACCTCCGGATCCCCTAGCATATATTTACCTACCTGGTATAGAGTTACCTCCCTTGGTATAGAGTTATCTCCCTTGTTATAGGATGGAAAGCTGTTCCATAAGGACATGGCTGAGATTTGGAAGGCATATCCTGAAGAATTCCACCCATGGCTGCTGCGACTCACGGAGGAGTTTGACTTGACATTTCCTCTGGTGGATGAGCCAGCTAATCTCGTCCCCTGTCTGTTGCCAAACACCGAACAGAAGGTATTCTTATTCATTCCTCTTTGCAAGGCACATATTCACACAAATAGTTTATGACTTCAGCATGTTTTGTAGATTAGCTTTACATATGTTCTACATGTTTCACTTTTATACCGATCAGTTATGTCGTTTTGTTTTTGTTTTTTTATTTTTTGTAATTTTCGTTTTATTATTGCTGGAAGTGGATATCCCTACAAGATTGATTGTTGGTTATCGTGTTTATGTAACTCTTGTTAGCATTGTAACATGGCGTCATAATTGGAAGATTGACCATTGAAATAGCATCCAGGATGTTACCCACTAGTGGGTAACCAAAACAATGTTCCAACTTCTAGCCGGTTGATCCAATGATGATGATTCAGGAGCCAGGAAACATATGGTGGCTGTGGACGATAAAAATATCCAAGATTTTAAAAAGTTCCAGGTGTGCTAGCTGTCATAGCTATTATAGTGACCTTTCAACCATATCATACAGTTATGATTACTCATTATCAAGGATTAATGTTTAAATGCATATTGTAAACATGAGATGAACTACAATGGTATAGATCATGTTTAGGAGTTATAAAACGAAAAACCCTGAACAGCCTTTTATGCCCCTGCCACAAAATGGGGGGGGGGGCAATATAATGTTGCCCATGTCCGTCGCATCCTGTCCTGTCGCGTCACCTACCGTCCCATCCATGAGCGGGGCATTTATGTCTTGCAGACATTTTCTAGTTTAAAATAATATTTTAACTCATTCACCCCTGAAATTTCTTGAATGGACTATTCCAACCTTTGAATTGGAAGAGTTCAAATGTGTCTTCAATAGTGAATGAGTTAAGAGCCTTATGTATTCAGTATCAGTAATGTCCCACCCTAGGGCTTCAGGTTTTGTTAGGATTACCACCAACAGAACTTAATTAAAACTTAAAAAGAAAATTTTAAGGCTGGGAATTTTATGGATAGACAAAGGGATTTTTTTCTGAGCCTGGCATCCATTAGACTTGTTTTCCTTAAAAAGTCATAATGAAAATATAATCATCATCAGTAAAGCTGAATTCACAAAAACAGGAATAATAATAATTTGAGGTTCTTATATACCGCTTTATCACAACCTAGTTTGTAGGTCGTCTCAAAGCGGTTCACAAATTATTATCCGTGGTTATAGGGCCTTTGCAACGAGCCAATATATTTTATCAACTTCCTGGGGAGCATACAGCCGGTGCTGCCATTTCGGCACTCACAGCTAGCATTCAACAATTCTAGCACTGCCCAACCACGTACTCATTTACAGCTGAGTAGACTGGAACAAGCGGAGTAAAGTATCTTGCATAAATATAAAATACAGTGCCATGCTGTGACTCGTATCCACAACCCTGCGGTCACGAGACCGGCATCCTACCACTAGACTACATGACAATATGCTATTTTATTTTCTGTTTTCAGTACAATTGGCCTGTTATTGAGGAAGGATCTAACATCAAGGAGGGAAAGATGATCTATAGCTTTGAGTACCTGCCTGCTGGTCTCTTCAACAGGGCCCAGGTGAGATAAGGCTATTTTTAAATGCTCTGTAAATCTTATATTCATAAAAGCAATGGAATAAAATACATTAAAGTTTAATCATTGCCACAATATGCAAATCAAAAAATTTATGAAAAGAAAGAAACAGTTTTAACATCACAGATTAATTTACATAGTAATGATTTACATGAATGTAATTTTACTATAGGTGAGACTGCATCAGTTTGCTGAGAATGGAATTCTTTGGAAGAAAGGCATGTTTCTAAAGAAGAATGACCACATCGCTGTGGTGCTTCAGGACAGGTAAGTGATCTCTTAATCTGAGGAGGCCAGCACTGAACACATAATCTCAAAGTAGGGGCTGGGATGGGGTTCTTACAGGACAATGATATAGCTTGCATATATTGGCAATTCTTCAGAACTGTGACAGATATGGGTGGGCTTATTACCATGTATGAGCTCTTTGCAGGATGAATCGTATAGCAGGCCCATGACTTCAAGCTGACTGGTCACATCAAAGTTTCTATCGGAATTCAAGGAACCAAAAAGAGTCTTGTCACCTCAACGTTTTAAGAGGAGTTCATGGATCTGGACCCCCTTAATATAAGAGACGGATCTCTTTTAGGCCTTGAATTCCTCTCAAAACTTTGAGGTGACTGGTCTCTTTTGGGTCTCTGAATTCTCTTTAAAATGTTTTAGGTGACCAGTATCTTTTGAGTCAATGAATTCCCCTTAAAACTTTGAGGTGACTGGTCTCTTTGGGTCCTTGAATTCCCCTTAACACTTTTTAGGTGACCAGTGTCTTTTCAGTCAATGAATTCCCCTCCAAATACTTTGGTTACTGATCTCTTTAGGTCAATTAATTGCTCTAGGTGCCTGGTCTCTTTTAGGTCAATGAATTGCTCTTAAAACTTTGAGGTGACTGGTCTCTTTTAGGTCAATGAATTGCTCTTAAAACATTGAGGTTCCTGGTCTATTTTAGGTCAATGAATTGCTCTAGGCGCCTGGTCTCTTATAGGTCAATGAATTGCTCTTAAAACTTTGAGGTGACTGGTCTCTTTTAGGTAAATGAATTGCTCTTAAAACTTTGAGGTGCCTGGTCTCTTTAGGTCAATTAATTGCTCTAGGTGCCTGGTCTCTTTTAGGTCAATTAATTGCTCTTAAAACTTTGAGGTGCCTGGTCTCTTTAGGTCAATTAATTGCTCTTAAAACTTTGAGGTGCCTGGTCTCTTTTAGGTCAATGAATTGCTCTTAAAACATTGAGGTGCCTGGTCTATTTTAGGTCAATGAATTGCTCTAGGTGCCTGGTCTCTTATAGGTCAATGAATTGCTCTTAAAACTTTGAGGTGCCTGGTCTCTTTAGGTCAATTAATTGCTCTTAAAACTTTTAGGTGACCAGTGTCTTTTGAGTCAATGAATTCCCCTCAAAATACTTTGGTTACTGATCTCTTTAGGTCAATGTATTGCTCTTAAAACGTTGAGGTGCCTGATCTCTTTTAGGTCAATGAAGTGCTCTTAAAACTTTGAGGTGCCTGATCTCTTTTAGGTCAACAAAGTGCTCTTAAAACTTTGAGGTGCCTGATCTCTTTTAGGTCAATGAATTGCTCTTAAAACTTTGAGGTGCCTGATCTCTTTTAGGTCAATGAAGTGCTCTTAAAACTTTTAGGTGCCTGATCTCTTTTAGGTCAATGTATTGCTCTTAAAACTTTGAGGTGCCTGATCTCTTTTAGGTCAATGAATTGCTCTTAAAACTTTGAGGTGCCTGATCTCTTTTAGGTCAATGAAGTGCTCTTTAAACTTTGAGGTGCCTGATCTCTTTAGGTCAATTAATTGCTCTAGGTGCCTGGTCTCTTTTAGGTCAATGAAGTGCTCTTAAAACTTTGAGGTGCCTGGTCTCTTTAGGTCAATTAATTGCTCTAGGTGCCTGGTCTCTTTTAGGTCAATGAATTGCTCTTAAAACTTTGAGGTGCCTGATCTCTTTTAGGTCAATGAATTGCTCTTAAAACATTGAGGTGCCTGGTCTCTTTTAGGTCAATGAATTGCTCTAGGTGCCTGGTCTCTTTTAGGTCAATGAATTGCTCTTAAAACTTTGAGGTGCCTGATCTCTTTTAGGTCAATGTATTGCTCTTAAAACATTGAGGTGATCAGTATCTATAAGGTCAATGAATTCCTTTTTAAAACTTTCAAGTTACTGGCCTCTTTTAGGTCAATGCATTCCTGTTTAGACTTTAAGCTGACTTAATCTGTCTCCTTTGGGTCCAGTAGAAACTTTGAGGATTGCCTATAATATGCTTTTGTTAAATGGCAAAGGATTACTAATGTAAAGTTGTATGAACTAGCTGTAACTTGTGTTTATATGTAAATTGTGATGATATATTTTTTTTTACTCAGTGCTGGTAGTGTCCTGGTCAAGGCCCAAGGGTTCCGTCCCGAGAACATAATCTTCCTGGTCCACGAAGTGTTCGAGACGCTGATTACAGATGCCTATAGTGGAGTCCAGTATGACTTTCGCATCCCTTGTATGGAGTGTATGAACATGGTGAGCTGATTGGTTGCTGGCTTCAGAATATGTGATTCACACAATATTTGATTAACTCCTTCAAAAAGACGCAAACCTTGAAAAGCCCCTTGCACTACGTACTTGTGATGCCAAATTAGCCTTCGGAATCTTTGAAATATCTGATGGAAGCCTTCGAAAAAACGTAGTTTTGAGTAGTAGTTTGCATATATAATGCAAACCTCAATGATAAAAACCTTGAATTTGTGATTGATTTAGCATTAATATCCCTTGAATTTCTGTTGAAAGCCTTGAAAATAAAACATTGACAATTATTTTTAATGATTGTTGGTATAGATATATCTATATATATAACACAAGAGACTATAGAAATGGCACAATTATTGTTACAAAAGCATTAGTGGTACATTGTATAATGTTTCCTGATATTTTGTCTTGCCACCACAAAGTAGCGGAAGCGAAACTAAGGTGTTGCTTTTCAGGCGACGGTGTCAATATTAAGTTTTTGCGTTTAAATAAGTTTCACTGAAAGTATAAGTGCTTAAGACCAACCAAACTTGGACCATAGATGAATCTTAGGTAGTACATCTCAACCCATGCATCAAATGCTGTATGCGGCCTACCTTTTATGGTCCATTGACTTTGTCAGCATCTCCATCAACATTAAGTTTTTGTGTTTATGTTAGTTTCTCTGATATGTGCATTGATGGTCAATGATGTACATTATCAATATACACATATACACGATTCAATAGTTGAAACTTTATTTATTTTTCAACAATTATGAAACAAAATCTATAAACTTGTATTATAATCATGCTTTTTGACCCAAATGGTAGCCCCGGAGTACTGTAAACTCATTAGTTTGGGGCGATGACCCCTTACATATACCTTTTCATATTCGATCCGGAAATCAAACCCTGGCAATCTTGGTTAAAAGGGAATGCATCACTCATCATACTGTCATATATTTCCCCATCCCAAGTCCTAATTATCATCTTTTACATGCATTAAGAAACAACAAGTTATCTTAAATATTACTAAAAAAACGCATTGGTGAAAAATGTTGATGAAATTTTGGAAAAGACTTCATTTCATCATGACCTTATAGCAATAATTTTTAATTGCATATGTTTAATTTATCCTGGGAAAATTTTTGTCCAGCCATTGTACATGACGTTGTGAAGGAATGCTAGACTTAATTATTGACGACTTTTCTCTAACAGCATCTCAGCGAGCCGAGTATGTTTTCCGCAACCAAGATACATCGAGCGGCCGAGCTTAAGGCACCGTTCCTGCAGTGCGACAATCTCTTTCATGTCTTGTCCATCTCAGAACTACAGAGTAAGTACATTTAGGCCAAACAAAAATATGTATGTTTCAGGTACCCCCACCAACCCTTTAACTTTTTACCTCTGACCTAACAATTTTATCTCACTCGAATACACTCCGTCCAGTGTTGGGATACCTTATCCTCCGGATGCAAAGAAATTGATGGACAAACAAACAAGGCAATTATATATAAATTCTCTCTACTTCATAGGCAGGTATCGAAACCATTTTTAAATACCACATTGTTATTCAAAAGATCTAAAAAAATGTTTGATACTTTTTGTAATGTTTTAAATCAGCCCCAATCCCTCAAAAAAAAGTATAAAAATAAATCCCAACCTGCCTACCCTCTTTTTCTCAGTCATGTTACCCGAAACATACCTTTTTTGGCCTAGAATAATTAAACATCAATCATTATTTTTAATAATAGGCATCTGAGTGTAACACATTTAACTCATATATGTCCGTCCTGTCTTCTTCCAATTCAGTGTCAACACTTCTTGAATACCTTAATATCTGAATGGAATTGGATCAGACTTCATACAAATCTCAAGTATAAGAATACCCTAATTGAGTTCATATTTTAGACTTCAAAGGTCAAGGCCAAGGTCAAAATTATTCTTTTTAGAAATTTGGCAAACAGTGACACTAATTTGCATGGAAATAGGAAAAATTATGTCTTACAGACATTTTGTAGTTTTACTTGAATCTGCATCTGAAAATACAATGCATAGTATGATCCTGTCTTAAAAACCAGACACAGAATTAGCAGAAAACCTGTATTAGACAGATATATGTGTAGATGACAGTAATTTTTAAACTTCATCTGAAAAAAAAATTAAAAAAAAAATCTTACCTTCTTGTTTCATTTTTTCATCATTTCGTCATTGTTTGTCTTCTTAAAATTATCTTTTGAACTTCAAAATAGTAAATAATTGTGCATTTAGTTTGGTTATTTGATCTTTTTAATAGATGCCCTGCCCCCAGACAGAAATGTTGACCTTGACAATCACTTGCGTCGAAGTGTCCAGGAGCTCCAAGACCTTGGAGAAGGAGTCAAAGTCAACATGCTTTTCTGCTACAGCAAGAGAAACATCCCGTCCCTGCAGGACGAGGGCAAATGTGTCCATCCGGGGACCATCATGGAAGACTTGAGAGCCGCTGGATATAATGTGTAAGTTTGATCAAGCAACTCGGTGTAAGATATAGGACAGGTCCAGTATTTATGGATGGGATAATTTTCCTGAGTATGCATAAATCCTAATATATATCTTGATGATGACACAGGTCCAGTATAAAAAAAAAAATCTATCAGACCAAAAATAGGTTATGGATAGACTTTTAAATGCATTCTAAATTAAAGATTCACAGGGGCTAAAAAGTTTTAAAAATTTCTGGCAAGTTTTTCTTAAGAACTACAAGGCCTGGAGTCATGATATTTGGCATAAAACTTAATTTTAGCCTTTAAAAAAACCTGATTTTAAATATCGGGATCCACACAACATTAGACTAAGTCTTTGCGTCCCCTCAAGGTTGAATCTGTGGCTTATTGATGCTAATATATTTTTATCACATAATGTACTGTTATCCAGTGAACATACCCATGTCATATCTTTTTGCGTATTAACCCATGTAATATGACCTATGCAGCCCTGTGATTGGTTGTAAGTTTTAATTGTTTCGATTGTGACTTCACGCCTTGGACAAGTACATGACGTCACAGACTTACGCACTGGAGTCAAAATGGCGGCTCATTTTACATTTCAAGGCCAATGGCTCGCTAAATTGAAAAATTCTAAGACTTGTTTCATAAATCTCATATGAAATGGATTCTCATGTAAGATCCTATATATATTATCTATCTTCCATCATTGCTGTTAAATAGAAATAGTTGTTTTCATTTTCTTGTGTTAAAGAGGGCATTTATATATTCATTTAATACATGTTTAGGTGTTGCTTGGAAATATGAAGCCCACTGAAATAAGACCGGTAATTTGAAGCTGAACCCTTGTTATTACCTCCATAATACCAGTTTAGTTAATAATATGGTACAAGTATCAGTAAGTGTTTGTGTCTATTTTCAGGGCTTTCTGTGATAATCCGGAGACTGCGGACATGTCAGCACTTACTCTCACCATGAAATCAGCAAAGGTTTGTGATTGATTTTAAAGTTAAATTCAGTCATTTTAAGTGAATTTATCGATAAAGGATCTATGAAGATCCTCTTTACGGGACTCAAAATCATAACACTGAAATATTGAACAATATAGTTGAATGTGACTTTTCCTGGATCATTAATGTATCTCAGATCTATAATTATATCTATTAGGTGTTCCAGGTTCTCCCAATCAAGTGTTAACAGTCAATGCTAATACCATTTTCCAGAAGATTGTTCCATATTCTTACAATTTGATGCTCAACAAGTTTGGTTGTTCTTTTAGTCAGGAAAGATTAGCTTGTTAATTACCCCGTAACGGAGGTCGATCAGCCATAAGCTTGTTAATTACCCCGTAACGGAGGTCGATCAGCCATAAGCTTGTTAATTACCCCGTAACGGAGGTCGATCAGCCATAAGCTTGCGCAAACTGATCAGGTGCTATTCAAATGCCACATGTGCTTTTGTTTACAAACATACCAGACTTACTGTCGGTGGAGTTGTGACTGAAATAATAGGATGGGAGAAAGTAATCATCCCTGCATTGAGGTAGTCCAAATTATTCTAACGTTTTATCGACTTTTTTCATATCTGTCTGTCTTTAATCGACGACAGACCGATATGAAAAAGTCGATAAAGCGTCAGAATAATTCGGACTAGCCTTGAGGGTGTAACATAGAAATCTCCAACTATAACCATTTCAAAGACTAAATAGACTATACAGCCTTAAGTATCATCCCTGAGGTTGGAGATTTGTTGTCACACCATCAAGGTATAGGAGAAGATTATATTAGTCAATTCCAGATGTACAGTAAGCAAACTCAGGAAATCTATCTCATCCATAAATGCTGACACAAATGACTTGACCTTAAGGACTTGAAATCTAGTGTTCAATTTTTTTTTTACTGTATGTTTTTGTTTTCTGATTCTGAAACTGATAATGCTTTGTCTTGATAAATTTCATAAGCTTAATCATGCCACCAAATATGAGCTGTTTATGTCAAAGTGCTTTCAGAGACTTCTTCAAATATATTTTTTCGATATGTTATAGGTGGTTTTGATTGGAATGTCCGATGAACTGTGTGAAACAGAGGCCTGTCGCAACATCATTATCTTTGTGAAGGAAACCCTGCGTAAACCCATTGTGCTTGTAGCTCTCGGCAAAGGGCTGAAGTGGAAGGATTCAAACATTTACATCACCTTGAATGATGAGGTAATGGTTATTGAAAGCTAGCTTTTAAATTAAAAAATATCTAATAATAATGAACCATATTTACTTTACAACAATTATGAAACAAGTTCTATCAACTTAAATTAATGTTGGCCTAGATGTTAGCGTTGGGGAGGGGGGGGAGAGTCTTATATTAGATGAAACCAGGATACCTGGATAAAACTCACATTGTAGGGCAGCTGACCCTATTCCTTTCACCTCTAATTGGGGAATTGAACCAAGTTATTGCTGTTGAAATTAAAATTTGTCAAATCTGCTAAATAAATAGTATGAAGGAAAAGAATTCTTAATACGTGAAAACTTTAGCCCTTTTTAAAGGTTTTAAAACTCATTTTCATGCACATCGGAGTGGCCTCGCTGGCCAAGTGGTTAAAGCATCTGACATTCTGCTATCATTAGCCCTCCACCACTGAATCGCTAGTTCGAGGCCTACGTGGGGCAGTCGCCAGATACTGGCCGTATGTCGGTAGTTTTTCTCCAGGAACTCCGGCTTTCCTCTACCACCAAATCCTGTCACGTCCTTAAATGACCATAGTTGTTGATAGGACGTAAACCACAAACAAACCAAACCTAACAATTAAAGCATGCACATCTGTTCTGTTTCTAGATGTAAGTAGTCGTAGAAAATATTTGAACCATTTTGTTATGACTTTCAATTTAACAGGTATACATAAAAATGACGGACCCAAAACTCTACCAAAACAAGTTTGCTGAATTGAAAGAAGCCATACAGAGGAAAGTCCTTAAAAAGGCAGTGGTATGTATTCAAAGCCACAGATTTTTAGTTCCAGTAGCAGATTCATTAAAGCAAATACTAAAAGTGGTTTTGTTTGTACATTTTCGGTATATTCACATGTGCAATTATTAGAATTACATTCACATGAAAATTATTGCAAGCATATCGTACAAAAAAAATAGTAGCAGAAAAATATGGATTTGCATTGAGTTATTCATTCAAAATGACACAAAGCCTTGGTGTCAAGCGTGACATCGTTAGAACAATTCTATTTCAAAATACGTTACCACAGTCATTATAATGCATATTTCAACCCTACTTGGCTCTTTACATATGTAAAATAAAGATTTTTTCCCCCCTGGAGAACCCCTGGAGAAATCCACCAATCAGACGGCAGTATTCACACACGTGATCAGAAACGAAGCCATGCTTCCCACTTCATAATTCCTTCAGCCTTCCGTGTTAATGGACGTGTTACTGGTTCATACTACGCTCTTTGGGGTTACAACTGCTACTGGCGTTTTTTGTCCTGAGATAATACTGTATCCCTTATATACTATTACTTATTTTTGTTTTAATTTGAGCATTTTGCTAAATGTTGCGCCGCTTTGCGACCAGGCTCCGGCCACGTGTTCGGGTTGTTTACGTTTTCGTTGAGATGGAGACTCCTCCTTCTCAAAGGCTCTGTCCCGGGGGTCATTTTTTTGAGGCTTCCGACCCCCACCCTTCCTGTCTGAGCTGTCGGTCTTGCTCTCTGGAGCAGCCCTGCAACATTTGCCATCCCTGGCAGCCGACACCTGTCGGTGGTTCTCCCCGCCCGTGTGGGCGTGCAGGTAAGTCGGGTAGCAGGGGTAGGGGTGGGGTGAGGGCTAAGGCTAAGCCTAAGTCCTCGGATAATACCAGGGGGAATTCAACCTCTATTGGCGAGTCTTCCCTGGGGTTTGTTTCTGCAGGTTCGGCCCGTACTGGGGCCGTTGTTTAGCAGTTTGTTTCATTGGACCCGGACCTTTCTCTCATCCCCCCTTCTGTTTTGTCGGTCACCACGGTGGCTAGGGGACAAGGGGGCGGCCTTCTCTCCCCATTTGTGTTGGGAGGCAGGTGGCCCAACATTCCATTTGTAATGTTAAACAGGCCAGCCATGTTGTGTCTGCGGACGCTTCTTTCGGTAGCCTCCTGCCGGTCCGCTCCACTCCTGAGGGTGTTGTTGTCTGAGACCGGCCCCCAGCAGTTTTGTCTGCTCCCGGGGTTCCCTGCATCCCTGATGTAGCCCCTGGCATGGTGATAGCGTCTAGCATGCCGTCCACCACTGTGCAGCAATTGCTGCCCGGTCTGGTGGTTAGTGATGCCTTGGCCTCTCTAGCCTCAATTTTACAGTGGTGTGAGCACTGGTGTAAAACCTATGCTCCCAGCTCTATTCCTTGTGCCTCCTCCCCAGGTTTCCTATGGTAGTTGCAGCGCGGCTGCGTTTCGCTTTGCCGGTGCACGCTGCTACCCTGGTGGGGCTGGTTTTACTGGTCCTACAGGTTTTGGCCCTGCTGTATGTCAGTCTGGGTGGAGTTGGTCAGGTCAGCCAGGTGTGGCTTATGGCGGCGGGTGTGTAGGTGGCACTAGGTTCCCTACCCTGCCCCCCCCCCTCCCAAACCGGTCCTGCCTCCAGTTTCGGGCATCCGGTTTGTGGCTCTGTTCCAGGGCCCTCCCTGGTTTATCCCACCTATTCGCAGGGTGGGAATGGAGCGCATTGGGGTCAACAGGCTCCTTTTTATGCGGCGCCCCAACCACCGACCGCCTATGGGCAGTCTTGGGGTTTCTCCCATCAGGGGGCTTTTCCGTGCGCTCCGCCTCCACCCCAGGGTGGTATGCGGTTCCAGCCTGGATACCCACCTCCATCCGCCACCGAGCCGTTCTCATATGCGTTCGCGCTCCCGACCAGCTTCTGCTGCCGGTTCTGTCAGGCAGAGACCGCGCGATGCTAAGGCTGCTGGTTGTGCTGGGTTGTCTCGAGCTCCTATTTTGGAGTTCAAGTCTACCAGTAACTTCCGGTGTCCTGCGTCGACACCTATCTTGCAGCAGGTTCCAGGGTCTCTTGATCCTGCTCCTGCTTGCTCTCGGGAACTATCGCTTACTCCGATAGTTTCTTCGGGTAGGTCACAGTCTCTCCCCTCCTCGCACCCCTCCCCTGAGGGTTATGTTGATGGAGGTGGATTTGGCGGGTGCCTCTCCTGGTGATGAGAGGGATGTTCTTCGGGGCTCTCCCGGTTGCTCCAATTTCATGGAGACTCGGGATGGGGATAGAGTCGGCAATTTTTCTGACTCTGACTTGGAGTCGTTGGAATCGTCTGGGTTGGACTTGGAAGGCCCTTCTGATGTTTCCCAATCCCGGCCCCGAGATGCTGATTTGTTGCCTCCAGAGGTTTCTGCTTTGTTTCACACTCTACATGCGGAAGTTATGAAGCTTCTGGGGGATGGGGTTTGCCCACTCCCTTCCACGGATTCGGCCGTCCCGGAGCGCGGTTTGCCCCTTCAGAGCATGTTGCCTCCCCTAGCATCTGCCTCCTCGGCCTCTGCTAGGTCTCTTGTGGAGGGACGAAGCTCAGGTCAACGCATTGTTAAAGCAGAAGGTGAGCAAGGCTCGCAAGCTTTTTTCCATTCTGCTTTACAGGTCGTGGTTGCTGATATCACAGATTTAGCTGCAGATACGTACCGCATCCATGACCTACTCTTAGCCCCTAATTCTGTTTCCCTTGAGAGGGATCTGGATAAGTGGCCGAGATGCTGTGTTGACCAGGTTGTGATGGGGCCTAGAGAGCACTCCAAGTTGGAGCATCTTCTTAGGCTGGCTCTCCATGTTCTGTCCTATGCAGACTGGTTTACTTCTGCGTTGCTTGCTGCGAGTTGCAAGTCGGTGGAGCAGCTCCCCACCAAGGTTGGACTGATGGAGCGCCTTAGCCAGGCAATTTGCAAGGCACATCTTGATGCGATGGCCTTACTGTCAGCGGCCATGTCACACCTTGTTGTTGCCCGCCAGTCAGCGATTCCTATCGGGCTACCCTTTTGGAGGCTCCCTTGACTGGCGAGGGGTTCCCATAGGGGTCGTGGGAAAGCGAAATGTTCCAGAGGTAGGAAGGGTTCCTGACTCTTCCTTGCCCTTGGTAACTCCTTGTCCACTGTCTGTCGCGGCTTCCATGCACTTAAGCGCCGGAGGCTCCGCTGGTGTGGTTTGGGAAGGGCTAGATTGGCCTTCTGGACTTGCCAGTCGGCGGTCGGCTGTCCAATTTCGTCCCTCAGTGGAAGGAAATCACATCAGACAGTTGGGCCCTTGGGGTTGTGTCCAAGGGTCTCTGCATCCTGCTTCTTCGGGATCCTCCTCTGGCGCGAGAGCCCATCGTTTTCCCTTCTCCTTCCGATCCGGGAAAGGTGGACGCTCTCAGGTCAGAGGTTCAGGCCATGATCGCGAAGGGCGCGAACAAGGAACTTACACCGGACCGGTGGTCTACAGGGTTTTACTCCCGGGTCTTCCTCGTGAAGAAGAAGTCCGGTGCCTGGAGGCCTATTATCAACCTCAGTACGTTCAACACGTACGTCGATTCCCTGCACTTCCAGATGGAAATGCCACGAAGCATCATTGTGTCCGTGCGTCCAGGGATGTGGGCTACGTCCATCAATCTGAAGGATGCTTACTTTCACATCCCTGTCAGGAGGTCGGCCAGGAAGTTCCTCAGGTTCACTTACGAGCAGAAGGTTTACCAGTTTCGCGCTATGCCTTTCGACTTCACTACGGCCCCCAAGTTGTTGCAGGTGGTGGTGGGGCACCTCCACAGTCTCGGGGCATATGCACACATCTACTTGGACGACTCTCGTTGCTGCAAGTGGATCCAGTTATCCTGTCCCGGAGCACAAGGTCGGTTCTTGGCGTTCTGTGCCGCCTAGGGTTCATCCCTTCCAGGGAGAAGTCAGAGGTTCTCCCCTCCCAGGATTTTGTTTTCCTCGGTTATCAGTTCAGAACCAGCTTCCAAGTTCAAGAAGGCCTCTCTGTTGGTATCCGTTCTGGTCAGCGGGGAGCGGATTCAGGTTCGATGGTTCCTTCGGTTCCTCTGTTACCTGAATTCACTGGCGGATGTGGTTTCTTTGGGTCGGCTTCACATCCGCCCGCTCCAGCTGTTCCTTCTGTAAGTTTAGTCTCCGGTGTCTCGGCAGTGGGATGTGTACATTCCTCTGCTGGAGTCGGTGAAGGAATCAGCTCAGTGGTGGACTCTCGAGAGCATTGTCTTGGCAGGAGTTCCTCTGGTTCGAGCATCTCCTTCTATGAGCCTTTACACCGACGCGTCCATGACCGGATGGGGTGCATACCTTTCCGGTCAGACATCAGCGGGGGTGTGGTCGGGGGAGCAGCTTTCAGAACACATCAATGTTCTGGAGATGTGGGCTGTTCTGTTGGCCCTTTGGGGCCTCCGACCTCACGGTGAGGCACCTTCCAGGTCGTCTAAATGTTCTGGCCGAAACTCTGTCACGGTCTCGGAGCCCGGTTCTCACCGAATGGACCCTCAAGCGTTCGGTGTTCCGGTCTATTTGCCTGGTTTGCGACAGACCCCATGTGGATCTGTTTGCCACGGCCCTGAACTTTCGACTCCCTACGTTTGTGTCTGAGTGTTGGAGAAGTTTCTTCTACACCCTTGTACTGTGTTGCTGGTTGCACTGCTTTGGCCTTGAAAACCTTGGTTTCCTCTATTGCTTCGGCTTTCTGTGGACTTCCCACGCAGCAACCGAGGTCCCGGCAGTTCTACTTGGGACCAGAACGGCTCCACCTTCACGGTTGGATGCTATCTCGGGAAGGCTCACTCAGACGGGCTTTTCTCGAGAAGTTGCAACTCGCATCGCAGGATCACTTAGACCTTTGTCTTCCGCCGTCTACCAATCTTGATGGTCCGCCTTCGGTGATTGGTGTGTCGGACGGTCGATTGATCCAGTCTCTGTCTCTGTTCCTATTGTAGCCAACTTTCTTTTGTCTCTGTTCCAGGACAAAGGTCTGTCTCCTGGAACTATTGCAGGCTATTGTTCAACCATTGCTAGTGTGCTGGCTTTCTATGGTAGCAAGTCTGTGGGCTCGGACGCTTCATTGTCTGCTCTCATTAGGGGCTTTTACATTGAGAAGCCAATTGGTCCCTTGGTGGAATTTAGCACTTGTGCTAGATTCCTTGTTGAGGGCGCCATTCGAGCCCCTCCAGTCGACGGATCGGAAGTTTCTTACTTTCAAGACTGTGTTCTTGATAGCCTTTGCTTCCGGTCGCCGCAGAAGCGAGATTCATGCTTTCAGCAGATCTCCTTCTTGCCTTCGTTTTTCGGCTGGCCATTCTTTTGGTCTCAGTGACAACTGATCCTTCCTTTATAGCTAAGAACCAGGTTCCCGGTTTCACTCCAGGGCTTGTGGTTATCCCTTCTTTGGCTTCAACTCTGAATGGGGATTGTCCTGATCGCCTGCTCTGCCCAGTTCGGGGGAACAGTCCTTGCGGGTGTCGGGGGTTTAGGGCTCATGAGGTTCGCGCTTTAGCTACTTTGTGGGCCTTATTTAATGGTTCTTCTTATGCTGAGGTCATGACAGCTGCTGTTTGGAGGGGTCATTCTATGTTCACGGAGTTCTATCTCCGATCTTTGTCGGGACAGTCTGACGGGTTGTATTCTATGGGCCCTCTTGTGGCTGCCCAGTCCGTTGTCTGTCCTCCATCTTCTTTTGCATGAGCCTCATTATGTCTTCTTCCGCGTGATCCGGAACGCTGGTTGTAATCAGGCTCTGCGTCACAAAAGAAAAGATATTATGAATTTTCCTCTGGGGGTATGGGTCCTATTGTTGGAACCCTTCATCGTCCACGGAGACACCACTGCGGTAAGTCGAATTCGCATTATAATGACTGTGGTAATGTATTTTGAAATAGTATTGAGGTTTCTCTTGTGAAACCAATATCTGTTATAAATACTTACCACAGTCATAAGGTGAGTTCCCTCCCATCCTCCCCTTGTCTCCTTGGCTCTCAGTTTTTTGGGCTTTGGAATTATGAAGTGGGAAGCATGGCTTCGTGTCTGATCACGTGCGTGAATACTGCTGTCTGATTGTTAGATTTCTCCAGGGGTTCTCCAGGGGGGGAAAATTCTTTATTTTACGTATGTAAAGAGCCAAGTAGGGTTGAAATATGCATTATAATGACTGTGGTAAGTATAATAGAAATTGGTTTCACAATAGAAACCTCAAAATGGGCATCAAAGAATACGTTAGTATAAATCCCACAGTTTTGCTGATGTGTCCAATCACTTATAATGTTGACAATAATGCATCTTCACACAGCCTTAGCTGCTGCAAGGAGACAAAACCAAAAATAGTAAAAAAGGAAAAATAGATCGACTTTCATCACTGAATGTTCTGTCACAGGTTGAAGACCAACCAGCATGTTTTGTGAGCTACTGCTGGTCAAACTCCCATGATGCAATTAGCAAGGGAAGTCGCAAGAAGGAAGGCGCACTCGGCTATGGTGATCCAAGAAAAGTCAAGAACTACTTAGAAAGCAAAGGCATCCCCTGTTGGCTGGATATAGAAAGAGTTGGAGGGGTGAGATTAAGCTTCATGATATTTGAGGATCCGAAAAACTATAACTACGACTAGAAAATAGTTTTGATTTTATCATTTTTGAAGAAAAAAATCATACCTTGCAGGTCTTTTATGAAATTTACACAAAATTATAATTATCAACAGTGTTCCCAGAGTAAAACAACAATGTTGCCAACCGGGGTTCGAACCCTAGACCTCAAATAAAAAAGCCTTCAACATATTATTTGTGTTCTGTGGTTCAGAAAAAAAATTGATACAGTATTTATTTTAGCAAGTACATTTGTAAATTAAAAAACAATTTATATAGAAAAACAATTGAAAATCTGACTCAAGGAGTCCAGCTAATTCCTGCAACATATATTTGATAGTACTGACATTCCTTAAATGCGAAGGCTCATTAAGCAATCAGATCATAAAATGTGCTATTCCCTCAGTAATTGACCTGCTGTTTCTCATGGTGGATGACTGGATAAGTAGTATTATGCGTATTTTTGTTGGACAGGGTGGCTTGTTCGAGGACATTGCTGGCGGTTTGAGGAAAGCTCAGGTTGTTGTGGCGTGTGTGTCCAATGAGGTAATTTAATCACAAGTCATAATGGATACAGCTTGCTTACATAGGCATCCGATCGCAAACTTAAGGATAAAAACCTGCAAAATTACATTACCTACATACTCCTCCTTACATTGAATAATGGTTATCCTTATTGTACAAACGATTTTTCTTACTAAAGTGAAAACAAATATAAATTATAAGTTCATGTTTGGTAAGTTACTCTTTTATGTATTTATGGACTTTAAATTTTCAGTACGCCAATTCAAATAACTGTCAGATGGAGTTCCGCTTTGCTTTGTGCCAGCTCCGCCTGCCGATCATACTTGCAGTGGTTGGCACAGGTTACCAGTGGGAGAGGTCAGAGGTCAGTAAATAAATGATGTGTAAATGATGCAGATCTGAGGTCATGGGATAAGATTAATGTTCACAAAGGTCATAGGTCATTGAATAAACTGTGTATTGGTGAAGGTCAGAGGTGACAGTGAATAAAATGACAATGTAGGTCAAAGGTCATTGCATAAATTGTATATGAGTGCAAGTTCTAGGTCATTGTAAAAACTCTGACCTATGCTATTGAAAGTTAGAGGTCATGGTATAATCTGTACATTACTAAATGTTAGAGTCAATAAAAAATATGCTAATGAAGGTCAGAGGTCATTGAATAAACCGTATGTTAGTGAAAGGTTATTTGATAAATTTTATGTTAAAAATGAAGGTCAGGGTCAAGGAATAAATTGCATGTTAATAAGTGAAGTTCAAATACGATTTTAATTTGTTGAAACTTAATAAATAAGCATGAATGATGAGGGAAATTCTTGCATAACTATATATAATACAGCCTTACTGTGGTCTGATCTGTCAGTGTCTGCATTTTAATCCCACAAGATAACTTGCTTAAATATAGTTTGATTTTGAGGAAGATCGATTGATCCCCATATAAAAAAACAAAGGCTAAGGGTCAGTTCAAACTTGAGCAAAATATGTGCATAATTAATAAGCATACTGTGCTCTCATTGTTTAGCGGTTCAACACAATAATCTAATTAAATATGACCAGATTCTGATGAAATGTGTCCATTATATTATATAAGAAAAATGTGCATGCTTCAGTCTTAAATGAGGGAGCTAAGTGATACAATTTTTATTCAATGAAATCTAGAGATTCTTTCTTGTTTTGGTCAGATTGGAATGCTTGCTGTTGGACACCAGAGTGTAAAAGTGAACTTCCAGCATGAAACTGGTGATGCGTTTGATGCACTACTTAAGGAGGTCAAAGCTAAGATCAAGGTCAATACTGACGAGGACGAGAGCAAGAATGGAAAAGACCAACAGAAAGTTGCATTCCAGGTACAGTAGATTCAGCTTAAGGATCCCCGCACCACTGCCAGGAACTGTGACTACACATTTGAAACTGACTTTTCTGGAATAACCATACATATAAGCTTCTTGAAATCATTTCTAAAAAGAAAACTATACGTTGCAGGACTTTTATAAAAAAAAGTATAATATATAGATGAAATAAAACTAAAAAAAATATATAATCAAAAGAATTGTGTTATATCCGCAAGGAAAATTATGTAATAATAATAATAATAATTATATACAACATTTGGTATGGCGCTCTATATAGCTAAAATAAGCCACTTTAAAGTGCTTTACAGTACAAAGATATACAATTTAATATACGATCAATACAATTAGCTTATACATTAATCAATACAGTTTTGAGGAATTCGCAGAGGCTGCCTCATCAGGCGCTAACTACGTACTAGTCCTATGCCACCTGGCTGATATCTCCCTATGTGTGTGTGCTTGAGATGTATGTAGGAAATCAAAATTTATGGAATTCTCTAGTTATTGTCCGCTTAGGGACAGAGATCCTGAATCTGTAATTTATGCTGCAGGAGGTTCTCGAGTTGTCACAACGACAGTTCTTGCGCCATCTTGTGGGCTACGCCGATTCCATGTACAGTGGCCATTACCCACGACTCATCGTTCTGGACTTGGTGGAGGAAGAAATACAACCAGCGGAGGAGAAAAAGGTTGAAGTAGTGATGACTGATGAAGAGAGGAAGGCTGCTGAGGCTGAGAATAAGGCGAAACATGCCGAGACACTGAATGCCAAGATGAAGCAGGCTTTGAAGAACATCAAGGACAAAGATGGAAAGGAAAAGTCTGAAGCTGAGGTTTGTTTGATTGCTTCCCACTGTTACTGGGGAATATAGGTCTTCGCTCCGTCCTCAATTTGTCCGTCAATCAGTCAGTCATTCTGTCCGTCGTTTCTTTAGTTCATCACATTGTCTGGAACATATCAATGTTTTCCGACTCTCACCTACCATTGCCAAATTTTGTATCTAAATACCAGTTGGGGTGGCAGGGGGTTGCATACTTAAGTGAGGTATTGTGTCTATGTGTATACACAGAGTTACTTCCCTTTGTTCAACTTTCTTCACTTTGTTTGAGGCATATATCTTATATTATCATACCTCATCTTATAACAGCCTGTCTGATTGGATGATACTGGTGACGTGATGGGGTAATAAAACATCATGTCACCCTCACACGCTCAATTTTCCCTAATCAAATTACCTTTTTTTGGAGCATCTCTAGAAAAATCGGCAAGAGCCACCACAACCTAGTTTATCAACCTGATCATTTCTACTATTGTGTTATTGTTTTTTATTTATTCATTTATTTGATAAAATATTTATTTCCCTTGGGATGAAATCACGATTCTTTGTTACTCCTCGATTAATCATGTTTCACTTGGGCTTCGCTTTACTGTATTTATAACTGTCACCCACCCTTTGCTTGCAGATCGATATATCTGTCAAGTTGTATTGCCTACCATTCAGAAAGCTAATAGGATAGGGAGATACAAAAATTTAAATATTTTATCTTCCATTATTTGCCTAATTTCCAACGTTAGTATGGTCATAAACACGCCGGAAGGTCCGACTCTACAGGCCAAACTGCAGACGGTAGACAGGGAATTTTACTACTGAGTATTAGTGTAAAGGTCTTCGATTTTACATGCTTGTACTGTTTCATTTAGTGATCGATAATTTGAAATTTCAGTTAATTCATAATTTTTACCACTAGTTACTATTTTCATTACTCTATTAATTATTTGAATAAAATAAACAGTTTAGGAATTGTGTTTTACTATTTAATGAGACGAGACCAAATATCACCATTGTTTTGTCATAACAACAGCTATGCTATACTGCTCTTAAGTATTTGGCCTTGTGTCAATGTACATGTACACCATCATAGGACTCAAATGAAATACATGTAGTTTGTCTGTCTCAATTTTAGAAAAAAGAAGAAGAGGAAGAAGATGAAGAGGAGGAAGAAGAGGAGGAAAATACGAAGTGGAAATCCAAATATTGTTACCGGCTACTTTGCGAACATGAGGAGGTGGGTTGGAAGTTTGGATAGCTATACTTCACCTGTTATTTAAGTGGAAACAAGGCATACAATCTAGTTTCACTATGTATTACTGGCAGATTCTACTTTCTTCATATTATTTTCTAGTAAAACAAAATTTGTCAAAATTATTTTCTTTGTTTTATTTTACAATAATTATAACATATGCATGTGTAATAAAATGGTGAGCTCCATTTTTCTTAAATATGAATATTTTATACATAAAGTTATAATAATTTGGATTAATTACTTCATATTGCATCCTGGATTACAGTTAGGGAATTTTCCTCACAAAAGTGGAAATAAGTACTACTTCTGAGGGTAGTTCCCAATGTAGAGTTATATTTCCCTAAAACATGATTATTTTTTTTTTTGTTAAATTTCCCCAATTCACTTAATTAAATTTCCCCTTTTCTCTGTAACTTTCCCTATAACCTGTTAAATATACCCCCAGACACAACCCTATTCGTAGTCACCAACATTCATCCTTACTGACCACCTATTTATCTAAATTTAAAGCTATTGGTTCTTAGTAGTTCTTAGTAGTTCCAAGAAACTATTCCAGCAGATACGTTCCAGCAAAAATAGAGGAACTATAACTTATATCGTTAATAAGGGCTTGAAAATTAAATGACTGATGCGATCTGGTGTATTACAGGGCTGGCATACTGTAGACTTAACCATCCCTTCCCCAGAACATGAAGGCAAGGAGGAAGAGGAGCAATGGCTGGCCTCAATGGCCCCTTACATGGCACGGATGTTTGCCATCCTCAAATACTCGAGCCTAAACATGGCCAGTCTGAACACCCCGGAAGGTCAGACTCTACAGGCCAAACTGCAGACGGTAGGCAGAACATTTTACTACTGAGTATTAGTGTAAATGTCTTCAATTTTACATGTTTGTACTGTTTAACTCATTCACCCCTGAAATTTCATTATGAACTATTCCAACCTTTGAATTGGAAGAGTCAAAATGTATCTTCAGGGGTGAATGAGACCACTTTGCAGTGTGGAAATACACACTTTTCTCACTTTGAGTAAAATAGTTTGAGAATATCCACATGCAAAAGTTTATTTATAGATTAGTAAAACTATAGATATATAGAATATATATATACTTCAGAACCATTTCAACTTGTACATCGCAATCTGTTTACAGCGTCACAGCGCAAACATTTCAACTTACAAGACCTTGCAACTTTACAGTAGTTTTCACAATAAGTTTTAATCACAGTCAAGTTTAACAAATGTTTCTGCAAAAATATTATCCCATGGTTGGTTACTGAATTATGTGTGCATGCTTTGCAATTTTTAGACCTGATCGTTATTATAAACAAAAACCTTTCCATCATGCAGCTGTTTTATAGAACATATAAAGTAATCGGTAAAACATGTATAATTATTTTAAATACATATACTGTAAAATCACTCATTTTCATGGGGTTTTTAATTTCGTAAATTTCGTTGGTAATCTTCATCCACGATTTCATAGATTCACAAACTAATTGCAAGTTTGATACAAAGCTTTTTTTTCTTTTGAGTTGGTGCTCATAATCCAAATTCTCTGTTTGAGTGGGGACTCATGTACCCATGAAGTGGTGTTTTGTCGGGAAACCACAAACTTTGAGCCCTACAAAAACATCTAATTTCACAGTATTTGTTTCATATTGACAAAGAAAGTTTGAATTTGATTGCAGATTGCCACAGATTTGAACAAGAATGAGTTCCAGGATGAGTATGTGGAGGTGAGGGCTAGTGTGATGGACATTGACAAACAGAAGACAGCAGCAGGTCTGAAGAGGTTAGTATTGACATACTGTATATCTATTTGGTAGTTCTAGAAAATTTAACTCAATTTTGCGAATTTAAATCATCTGTTAATTTTAGTTCACTGGTAGGTAGTTATTATCAACAATTTAAGTATTCATCGGTAAAACTTGCAAGCATTGTTAAAAAATTTTATACATGCTCCCAAAGTTACGATGGTATTAATGTCCACCCTTATTTGGTCCCAAACTACACATATGTATTGTACAATTTCCCATAAATCCTCCAAATCCTACCAGATTGGTTTTGGTTTTATTGTGTTTAACTGTTCTCTGTTTTAGCAGGTTACATTTAGCATTTTTGTTTCTAGAAGCAAAAAGTTCAAGATGATTAAATTTCAATAACACATAAATTGCTTCTTACAAAACCAAAAAAAACTAGATTTGATCAAGATCAAAACACGGGATTTCCAACAGGAAAATGATCAAAGATATGTTCTCGGACTGACAATCGCTTCCCTTCGCTTCCCTTCTTTGACAAACCTTGCCATAGGGTCAAGTTATTTCCAACAGTCAGCATTCATAGAAAGCTGTTTAGTGTTTCTTTCTTCTGTCTGCCTTACCTTTGTGGGAACCTTATTACCTTTGTGGGGATGTTATTTACGTGAGGTAGTTGTGAATGTCAGCTCTGTTATTTGGACCCAGCGACACCAAACCCCAGTACACACAGTGATAGTCATTGGGCAATGGTGAATGACAGCTCTATTATTTGGACACAGTACACCAAACAACAGTAGGTATGATGCTAGTTACACAGGCAATGGTGATTGACAGCTCTGTTAATTGGACCGAGCAACACCTAAGTCCAGGACGGACAATGTCTCATGATATTGTAGACAATTTGGTAAAAGAGGTTGAGTTTTCTGTGAGAGTTATTTCCCTTTGTACAGTTTGACGAAAGTATTTTGACCATTCTTTAAGAAATAATATGTTCTTTTATCTATTTATGTGCACTATGATGCTTTGACATTGAAACTTTAAAAATATCCTCATAAGAATGCACTCTTAAAAATGTGGTGTAAAAAAATAAATGAAATAATTTGAAAATTTAAGTTTTTTGATAATTTGACCCCTGTGACCTTGAATGAAGGTCAAGGTCAATGGTCAATTAGCCCCGACCAAGATCTACTGAAGTATGCAAGCGCACATTCAGTACAATGAACGGTTTTAAAGTTATGGACGTTTTCAAAAAGGTGAAATGAGATTGTAACAGATTCATGTTGATACGGATGTTTACCAAAGCGGCCGAGGAAGTGGTAGTATGAGTTAGCATAGATTGTATCTTCACTGGACGAATGACACAATGTTTTCCGTAACTAGATGATTTTACATGAGTATCCATGTCAAATTGAATTTATTAAACGAGTTCAATATTTGGATATGGCCCGAGCCTGTAAGCGAGTGTCGTTACAAATTATTGAACAAGTTTAATCAACTAAATACGGCATGGACACGAATGTAAGATTCAATTTATCAGATTACATTCATAATTTGAAGAAAACCTCAAACACAATTATTTTGTTCTCGGCTGACTTTTTATAGTTAAAACCAAAGTAGTCCAATCATAGTAGTGTTGTTCCGCGCAGTGCAAAGAAGTTCCATATATTTTTTCTCTTATTAAAGTAAAAAGAAGTTTTAAATGCAACGAAAATAAAACTAACGAAATAGACATTTCAAATTCATTTAAAAAAGTGTGATATGGTATAGTTAATAAAAATAATACCTGTAGTGTCATAGGGATATGTTCCCACGGTTTTGACCCATTAAGGTTTTATTACACATGTGTATTACCATATTTATGACATGACCGTATGACATAGTAAAATGGGTCAGTTTTATGATAAATATGAATATGATAGTACGTTTTTGCCAACGCTTTAAGCATGCTAGTGATAGCATTTCAGAAATTATTCATGCATTCATTGCAATCTTTATTGTGCAGGTACTTAAAGTAAATGTTTTAAAAATAAACAAGGTTTTTGTGGTGAATTTACAGATGTAGACCTTTTGTCATTTGAAATATACCTTTTTCATAATAAATCTTGGTGAGAGTGGGTTGACAAGATACCAAATACGTCAATGATTGAATTAATAAACATGTGATGTGCTAATCTATTGGATTGCTATCTTTATAATGTCATTGACTGTATTTAAATGTTAACAATACTTATTGCCAAAGTATACAAAGTAAACATTAACTGCACTCAGTTCAAAGAGTCAATCATAATGGATTTCAAGTTAAAATAGGAATTTTTGGCACGAATGCTCAATTTTCAATTTCCGATAGCCCCTGGAGGCTTCAATTGATAATTGCCACGAGTTTGATAATATTATATCCAGGTTGACGTACGCCCGAACGAGACAAGTATTATATTGTTCGGATGTTAATTGATATGTAGTTCCATTAAATTACATATTTGGCTTGAGGATAATATTTCGAACAAAACATTTCTTGTTCGCTTACAATTCTCTCACCATAAGATGGAATATGGATTGGCGTATATGGGTAGCAGAATACAGTAGAAATGGCCCGACTCTGATAAACAAGGCACATGTCGAGGAAATGTAAACACAGCGGATTTACCCTACACAACACATGTATACATGTATATATATTTGTAAACTGCATTACATTTACAATACATATAAAGTACTGAGAAGTGTATAAACCTCTTTTTTCTATGTATGTCACTTGTGTGAAAACCATGGTTACCACATCAAAAATTACCAAAAAATGCCAAAAATTGCTATTTTTAACCCAAAATTTGACCCCCGCAACTAGTAATTTTTTTCCTAAGCTCTGTCTGAAATTAAAGATTACCTACCTGGTTGCAGAATTATCTGGGTCCCAGTAAAGTTGTAAAACTTGATTTTTTGCAATTTTGCGTCGTGTGCTGTTGTCAAAATTTTACCTCCTGTAAAGCTAGCTTTTCATGTGTACGCACCCTTTCGTATTATGGCCAAAATTTTATTCTCGAACCAAAGAAATCTTCTTTCTTTTTTACAAATGTGAAGCTCACATAGCCCACTTCATCATGCTTATACCAATTTTAGTACAGTTTTATTTTTATATTTTTTTTTACATATCATTATACAGGGGTTAGCCATTTAACAAAAATATCACCCATGGCCACAACCCTCTACTGTACACTGCTACCTTATACATCACTTTCTTTTTCCCAAAATTTAATTAAAACCTTTTAAATGTCTGGAAAATGCGACAATGAACACAATGATGTATCCGTTGCCTTTCTCACTTTAATAGTGACCGAGTAATATGAATTCTCCTGACAGGTGTATTTACCAATTCTGCTCTCAAACTACCAACAAAGGGAGGTAATCTGAAAAATGAAAACTTGAATAGGTTTATAGTTTTCATGAATGAAATTTCTTTTTGGGAGAAATATGATGCTTTGAGATCATGTGAATGTGAAAAACAAACAGTACAGTGATACTATGATGTAACTGTCTTGTTTGATGATGTTATAGTAACTGTGATGTCATCATAACTATGACGTCATCAATGGGCATCTATGACATCATCGAGGATCACTGATATAAAAAAATTGAACACTAGGAAACCCATCTCAACAACAAACTAGCAACTGACACACTTCCCGTACCCGATGAACAGCACAGAAATGTCAGATATTCTGAAAAATCAGACAAGTGCCACCATATATAGCAACCGTTATTTACTTTCCTTGCCTAGAATTGACAGTGACCCTCAGAAATTGTTCATTTAACATATTTCACTAGAAAAAAAAGATTTTCTTCAGCTGTAATTATGGAAATAAAATTAATTAACATTACTGACTTTGCTTATTTCATCTGTATGCTGAATCAAGTGGAAAAAAACATCTAAAATAGTGTAATTAGAATGAAAACAGATATTTTACCCATTTTCAATAAATACAACTTCATGTATTAGTAACCATGGCTACCGGGTGCTGGACTGAGTGAAACAGACTGAAATCTAGTATGAATGCATCAGGAGATAGCCTGTGAACTATTTGATGTTTGGTATCAACTTTACCAATAACATAATTGACACATATGTGATGAATTGCAGAATTTCACAAGTGCCTGTGAATGTGCGAGTTACCCCTCTTTATACATCCACAGGTAACAGGCTAACGACCTATATATTGACCAATCTATGTAATGTTTTTTTTGGCGTTTTTGAGTAGTTTTAAGTATTAATGAATGAAAGTGAAGCTGAATCAAGCATAAAAAGGCATTTTTTCAGAAAAAATCAAGTTCTATGTGTATATGGTAGCAGAATACAGTAGAAATGGCCCGACTCTGATAAACAAGGCACATGTCGAGGAAATGTAAACACAGCGGATTTACCCTACACAAAACATGTATACATGTATATATATTTGTAAACTGCATTACATTTACAATACATATAAAATACTGAGAAGTGTATAAACCTCTTTTTTCTATGTATGTCACTTGTGTGAAAACCATGGTTACCACATCAAAAATTACCAAAAAATGCCAAAAAATGCTATTTTCAACCCAAAATTTGACCCCCACAACTAGTATTTTTTTTCCTAATCTCTGTCTGAAATTAAAGATTACCTACCTGGTTGCAGAATTATCTGGGTCCCAGTAAAGTTGTAAAACTTGATTTTTCGCAATTTTGCGTCGTGTGCTGTTGTCAAACTTTTACCTCCTGTAAAGATAAAATATATTCTACACTGTGAAATACGTTGTCTTCTATGTGAGGACGGACTAGCTTATTGTCTTTTGCAAAATTTAATAGATTTCTTTTCTAACTAAAAGGTGCACGAAAAAAAGATACCTGTAACTGAGCAAGATCGGGTTATCGCAGTCCCAGGCTAAGAATATGTAACATTCCAACCTCGGCTTGCGTCTCAGTTGGGTTTATGTTACAGAGTCTTAGCCCTTGACTGCGATAACCCCATCTGGCTCAGTTACAAGTAAAATATTTTATCTCATTTTAGATATAATTGTAATAAGAGAGGCCTAAGGTGTAAGAGAAAGCCGCGCTTCTTAGTTTGATAGGATGTCAGGGGTTATAGCGACTGATGATAGAAAGTAGTTCAGGGGTCATAGTGACTGGTGCTTGGAGGTCAGCGGTTATAGCGACTGATGATAGGAAGTAGTTCAGGGGTCATAGTGACTGGTGCTTGGAGGTCAGCGGTTATAGCGACTGATGATAGGATGTAGTTCAGGGGTCATAGTGACTGGTGCTTGGAGGTCAGCGGTTATAGCGACTGATGATAGAAAGTAGTTCAGGGGTCATAGTGACTGCTGCTTGGAGGTCAGCGGGCTTTGAATTTGACATATTCTCTGATAACATGTTATGGAAAAAAGTAAGCCCCGACCAAGATCTACCAGAAGTATGGAGCGGTCAAGCAGTACACCGAAAGCTTTCGAAGTTATGGTCGTTCAAAAAACCTTTTAAAATACTCTATTTATAGATCTGTGACCTTGACCTTTGATATTATGATCATGAATTTGTTCGCATACCATGTGTTCCTTGTCCTCTAATACATACTGAAATATGAACGATATATCTTTAATCGTTCTTGAGATCATTTGACCCCTGCGACCTTGAATGAAGGTCAAGGTCAAAAGGCTGAACTCTGAGTGACGCCGAACATACATACTATAGATGTGCCAAATATCAACTCTGTATGTGTCTTAATGAAGGAGAAGAAGCGTTTTTAGTAAAATTTTGGCGGGAAAATGAAATTTTCAAAGTGGCATATTTTCGTCATTTTTGATGCTATGACCTTGAAACTTTGGAAATACTTTCATTAGAACATGATCTTTGCAATGTGATAAAAAAATGAACTTATTTAGATTTTTTCATTTTTGACCTATATTTTACCCCATAGCGAGGCTTTTAACTTGAGATATTCTCTGAAAACATGTAATGGGAAAAAGTTAGCCCCGACCAAGGTCTACATGAAGTATCAGGCGTTAATGCAGTACAACGAACGGTTTTGAAGTTATAGACGTTCGAAAAAAGGTTCAATAATTCTCTATTTATAGATCTGTGACCTTGACCTTTGGAGTTACGATCATGATTTTGTTCGGGTATCATGTGATCGTTGTCCATTAACATGTACTGAAATATGAACGTAATATCTTTGTTTGTTCTTGAGATAAAGTGTTTACAAGATATGTGGAAATAATTGTAAGAAAAAACAGAAATGGAAATCCCTAATTACAAGTTTTCTATATCTGAGTAATTGCAAAAATTTTCACCCGAGACTTTTCTTATTATTATATTCCAATATTGATTAAGGTAACATCTTTCAAATCTTAATGCTTTAACTTTTAAAAACTGTGTAATTTAAATCAATAAAGTTCATCATCAAGATGTAAAATTCACTATTTTGAAAATTATAACTAATGATCTTTTATCATGGTAAAACAATCGCAATGAAATGAACGTATATGTACCATATGTCTATTTATGTCTTTGTGTTGAGCTTACTTGAATTGGCATTCATAGATTGATGAATGCAGACTGGACAAAGACAAATTCACACTATGAAGAATGTTAGCTCTCTGACTCTCTGGATTGTCTAATTGTTTCAATGCAACGATATATTTATTTTCAAGATGTCACATGCTGAACGGAAAGACGCTATGGTTATGCGACAAACACAGAGGCCAAAGTGGCAGCAAGACGGAAAAACTGTACCAGCAGCTACTTATGCCCCACGAGGATCCAGGAAAAGGTACGTTGAATCTTCAATTTCATTTACACAAATTCCATCATATAATTAATAGTGAATTATTTACTTGTTCATTCAAATTCTCAAGTTCCAAAGTTGTTTGGTTTTATTAGTTCCCACATGTTGTTAGGGTTGAAAGCGTGTAGCAGTATCTCTCCTGCACTTAATTACAATGTGTTATGCCACCAAAAGATTTACCAAATAAACTGAAATATTTCAATAATTTGATAAAATGAAGATATAAATACACTTTTATTTCATAATACAGAACAAATAAGTATGAACTTGAAATGTTTTCTGTGCTAAATAACTTGAAATATTTTGATAAATGATTTATTAAAATTAAGATGTAAACATCCATTTATTTCATTATACAGAACAAATTAGTTCATTGACTTTGAAATGTTGTCTAAAAAGTATTAAACATTAATCTAAATCAAGAAAGGTTTGAGGCAAAATAAAATTAATTAATAGTTCCTCAGTGAGGCAAACAGTGTGTAAAGTAGGTATTAGGTATGATATACTTGAGAAGGGATAGGATTTGTTAGACTTCATAAAAACTCTGTGTTCGACAATAAATTTAACCTTTCAGGATACAATTTAATACTATCCTGACCTATATACTGACATATCAGTCACAAATTCAGTATCTTTTCCGATTCCTATATATTTTTTTCAATTTCCAGAGTTCTTTCGTGTTGTCACTAATAAAACCAGTGTTCTTTAGTTTTGATTGATATCTTATTTGCATATTTTCCTTGTATCTGATTTCAGCTAAACATTCTAAACCTGAAGAAATAGGTTTGTTAAGGAACGCTTAGTTGTTGAAATTGTCGAGGTGTTGTTTTTCTGACATGATCTTACTATACTACTAACGATGCTAGTTATAATTACCATAGTAGATAAATTATAAATAGTTTAACTTACTTAAATATTCACATTATTAAGGTGAAGAGTTCCAGCCCTCTTTGTATTTCCTCCATCAAAGATTTCCAATTTGCTAAAAAAAGAATGTCTAACTTGGAGTTCAAATTCCTCACCCAAAGTCCTAAAACTATAGACATTTTATCTTTCGCTGAAAACTTTTTCGAAGTTTTTATATTAAGAATGATATTTTAGATTTTTTTATTTTTTTTGCCAAATTAAAAACACAAAATAAAAAATTCCATCTCTTTTTTCATGCACACCCTGTTTCATTAAAAACCATTTGTTTTCAGTTTTATTCGTACAGTTTAATCCTCTCCATCTTAGTCAATGTCACATTTTAACATGATATTCAAGTTGGTTTTATATATATATATCAACACTCAGATTTTTAGGGGTGATATGTTATGATGATTATTGAAGCCCTGAATATGATCCAGATTTCACCGTCTTGTGAATTTATAATTTATTTTCAAAGTTGGATATCTTTTAGTTGAAAACTACAAAATATGAGTTTTCCATATCCATACCATTCGGTAATTAGAAACATCTTTAGAGATTATAAAACACTTAATTTATCTGAATCGAGATACTGTCTTAGATTATAAAATTCAGCATGCAGTGAGTGATAATATTTACTAATGCTGGAAATTTCCCATAGCTGTGTTTCATCTACAAAAGGAGGATACTGGTAAGTCTTGTTGATTCATAGTGGTTACAGAATCAGATGCACATTTAAGCTGACAATGCAAGTTAAAACACAATAAAAAGTTGAATTTCAGCTCACCTGCCCGAAGGGTGTCATGGTGGGGGTCCGTCATCCGTCGTCGTCCGTCAACTTTTCCCTTAAACAACTTCTTCTAAAGAACAAACAGGCATATAGCCATGCTATTTGACTGAAAGCTTCGTTGGTAGGAGCTCGTCAAAGTTTAAGAACGAAAATGACTTCAGCTATTTTCAAGGTCACAGGGGTCAAATGTGTCAAACACTTCAAACGACTTCTTCTGAAGAACTGAAAGGTATAGAATCTTCAAATTTGGCTGGTGGATTTCTGGGATAGAGCCCAACAAAGTTTGAGAATGAAAATGACCTTGAACTACTTTCAAGGTCACAGGAGTCAAATATGTCAATCTCTTCAAACGTCTTCTGAAGAACTGAAAGTATAGAATCTTTATATTTGGCTGGTGGCTTCCTGTGATAGATCCCGACAAAGTTTGAGAATGAAAATGACCTTGACCTACTTTCAAGGTTACATGGGTCAAATATGTCAAATGCTTCAAACGACATCTTCTGAAGAACAAAAAGGTATAGATTCTTCATATTTGGCTGGTTGCTTTCTGTGATGGAGCCCGACGAAGTTTGAAAATGAAAACGATCTTGACTTACTTTCAAGGTTACAGCAGTTAAATATGTCAAACAACTTCTTCTTAAGAACTAAAAGGTATAGAACCTTCATATTTGGCTGCTAACTTCCTGAGATTGAGAATGACAAAGTACAGAATGAAAATGACCTTGACCTACTTTCAGGGTCACAGCGATCAAATATGTCAAAAAAATCAAACGACATCTGATGAATAATCGAAAGGCATAGAATCATAATATTCGGCTGGTGGCTTCTCACCAAAGTTTGAAAAAAAAATGAAAAGAACCTCAACCTACTTTGACGGTCAAAGAGGTCAACAACGTTTTAAACGATTTGTTCTAAAGAACCACAAGGAATGGATTCATAATATTTGGCTGGTAGCTTCTTTGGATAGAGCCAACAAAGTTTGAGAAGGAAAATGACCTTGACCTACTTATAAGATTACAGGGCAAAATATGTCAAACACTTCAAACAACTTCTGAAGAACCAAAAAGCGTAAAATCATATAATAATATTTGACTGGTAGTTTCAACTGATTTAGTCGACAAAGTTTGCGAGTGAAATATTTGTAGTACAGTATGATATTTAATGAGAATATTTTGATATGACTGCTTTAATATTCAGGTGAGCGATATAGGCCCACTGGGCCTCTTGTTTTTCTGGTTTTGAGATGTTCCCCAGTGACCACCACTTCCAGTTGTCGTATCTTAGGAAGGGCTGACATTTTACACGTAGAATGTACTTGCTTGGTAACGAGTAGGGGTCTCCCTGGGTTCACACATATATAAATACATATATATTAAATGTACATATGTAGAATTAATTATCTGTATGTACTAGCAGGCAATGCTTTTTGTTGCCTATGAATAAGAATTAGCTTTAAATAACTGGCCCCATTTTCAAAAATGTTCCTCAACCTAAGGAATTTCCAGACCTGTTTTTTCCCAATTAGAAAGCAATGCTGTTTTTTAATTTTCAATTCAAGAAATTTTCATGAACTTCAGCAATCAAATTTCCATTGAAAAAAGAAAATAATTTCTTCAGCTTAATGAAACATTCGTGTTCAACTGGTCTTCTTATGAATATATATGACGTATATAATAAATCATGTGTATAGAGCACCCCATGGTATCTACCGTTACAGCGTAAGTGATATGTTCTCCTGGCTCAGCTTTTATAAACCTAGATGAAATCCCTCCATGCTATAGTTTCATTTAACAATAAGCTGCATGTCACATGTCAAAACGCGTTCCACGATTATAGTAGTTAAGTGGTCTGTTGGTAACATGTTATGACATGTTGACTGTAAATTATGATGATTTGCCTTCAAGTTTGACATTTTTGGAAGCCTGCGACAGATTTTAATTGCCTACTTGCAGTGTCATTGTTCATAATAATATGATTTTTCAGTTTTTTGAGACAATATAAAAAATAATTATAATTTAACAGGTGATTGAGGTTATCATGTTGTTGCTGCTAGTTTCAATGATAATTAACACAGTGTTCAAACATTATCTTGAATTTTCCATTACAATGTATGTTACAGATGTTTATACCAACTGTTTTGTGTGTGTGGCATCTAGCACCACATTTACGATTTATTTTATGTATGTTAATTTGCATAGCTACTTGATATTATAAAGTATTATCAAAAGATTAAGTATTGATGTTAGAGTTCATATGGAACCTAATTGGATGTAATTTTATATTATGCAGAAATAGTCAATAAAATGATAGATTGTAGTACAGAGCGATATTTGATACATTCACGAAACGTTTAAATGGGGTTCAATTAGTCATTACCATTAAATTATCAATGGGTCATGAAACAAAACAAAACATAATATATTTTGAAATTTTCGTACAAAGAAAACATTGTTTTAGCCATGATAAACATTGAAAACATTTAGATGTTCCTTTTTAAAGTTATATTTACCTGGTTGCAATATTTTCCTCTTATTCCTTGTCGTGTCGGAAAGAGGACTTCCTTTGTGGTGTTGACTCCGTCTTTTCTGAGTTTATGGCCTATCTACTTCCATTCTGTGGTTTTGTTTCTGCCATGAAATCGTCATTGCCAGTTTATCTCCTTGCACTGATGTTGGTAGTCTTTTCTGGCAATCGTGCTTAAAGATGCAACGTCAGCATCTGCGACTGTAGACTCTTCTGAAATTTCTGGTTATTCTGCCCTGTTATCTAACTCCCATTTTGGACCATATATCAGACTGAGTTTAAATTGTTGCTGTAATATAAATGGTGGTATTTCTAAAAGTCTGTTTCATGTTGGCAAACACCCTTTTTGCTTTTCCCATTTTCAGTTTGATGTCTTCGTGTGTCTTCACTTATCAGACCGCCGAAACAGGTACAATTGTTATCCTCCATCATGTTAAGGTTGATTGCTGCTGTTAGTCCTATTTCCTGATTAAATAAAGTTGTTTTCAGACCTACACATCAATAGTTTCACTTTTGTAAATCCTGTCTCATCCCTTTCAAATGTTTGAATATGTGTGGAAAAGTCCTGTGTCATCTGCATGATTGTCAAGCCCCGTTTTTCGCTTCTGTTCTTAAATTTACGTGTCCGTTTTCATCACCCTTGCTATACTTATATGGTAACCAGTTATTACAGTCAGTCCTGATTTCCTCCTTCAGCAACTTTACCACTTGGTCCCTTTCCCACTCATCCTGGGGAATCTCGTCCCTCCATGTTCGTTAAAACAGGAATGACACTATTGCGTTTGCAGTTTCTAGGTCCATTCTACTTTTCCTTCCAATATTTTCTTTCGCTTTTAAGGGCGGCCAGTAGGAGTAAATACTAATAGTCAGTACCATGTACCGGATACAGGGATAATGCTGCGTTACCTCTTGTAATATCTATTAAGCTCGTTTGATATGTTGGCATTGCTATTATTGCTTAATCCTGTAATGTCCCTACACTTATGTCCTGAATTATTTTGGTCTTCACAGCTGTTTTGGCTCAACAGGAGCCCGAGTCAACGCCAAGTCAAGCGACCAGTCGGAGGGAGCCAAAAGAACCATCGAAACCCAAACTTTTCCGCATGAGAGAGACTGGCGGTTCCAAGTCAGGCAAACTGAAGCGACAGACAAGTCAAGCGTGTAGTGTGATGTAAACCAAAATAATTGAGAAATGTGTTATGTAGAAAAATACCTATGTTTAAGACTTCTGTCTTTTCTTCTACTTTGTGTTTTGGATAAATTACGGTACAACTGTACCTGGACATCTAAACTTTGTAGTAGCAGCTACGATTGAAGAACTATCTACATCTTTTTGTTCACAACATGACAAAAATTTACGCAGTTTTATCAGAATTGGTCATTGGATAACCCCAAGGTTTATATGGAGCAGAGTATGCATACCTTGGTTACATTGGGAAATACTCCTTATCGTATATCTGGTTCTAGTCCAGTAGCCCTAATATTTGTAAGCAATCCCTTTTTTCGGCCGATTACATGCACGCTTAATTGCAAAAGCTGATGTTCTTCCTTCCTTTTGACAAGGAATCTTGTATGTGTACCGTAATTGTGAGCATAGTGCCTGCATTCGAAATGGATGCTAATCGCGAACATATCACACGAACTTACCTACTTGTAAGCAATCTGCGATATACTATATGACATGTACGGATAAAAAAATTACGGTAAATTTATTTGTATTGGAAGACAATCGCATGCTCAATTTGAAAAAGAAATATTAATTTATTTTGTAATATAATATTTAATATCTTGTGTAGTTTAAGCTGTGGTGACTTTTGATTCTATAACTGTATACCTGAAAATGTTTCATCGACAATTAAGCTTTTAAGCTATTTTTATAATAAGAACTTAAACGATTCCTATTGTATTTCAAATGTGAAGGGTAAAATGAATGGTTAATGAATATTTTAATGGAGAAACTATTTTCCGGTATACAGGTATTTGGACGGTGTTAAATATGTGATATCATGAAATTATGTTTTGTATACCTTAACACATGCATCTTCTATTTATTCACTTTATATAAGTTGTGGGAGAAAGTCAATTTCCTGAAATTGAACACTTTCTCATAATACCTTTGAACGTTATGAGTTAAGAGATTGAATTCCAAAATTTACATATACATACATTTAGTCTGTTGTATGTGGAAAAGGATATGGTGAACCTGTTGTTTTTTGTTTCGAGAAAATAAAAATGTATCAAGACGAGCATGTTCCAATTGCCCATATTTGATTATATTTTAGAGAAAGTATCAGATACGAGTAAATTTTACAGAAAACACTATTAAAAATGCCAATTTCTTTACATGCCTTTAATTAATGTGGAAGGCACGTTTTAGTAAGATTTTTGAATATTTTGCTTTGTACATATACATGGCTTCATGAAGTGTATTTATTTCAATTTATATTGTACATTTTAACCATATACGTATACATTTGTTTTTTACATGATGATGCAGAAAGTGTTATGTTTTTATACTTGTGATAATGAACGTCATTTGCTCTTTTTATTTTTAACTTTGTTATTCATATACATGATTACAATGTTGATTCAGGATATACATATATAAATTTGACAACGTGACACTCTTTATTAGTCACAACCATGATTAATCACTGATTGATTTAATATTTCAATATGTTGTATACTCACGACATCCTTTGTGACATTGTAAGCAAACACCGTTGATATTAACCTTCTAATAACCTTGTCTTGCCTTATGAACTCACCTTGTTGAAGGCCACGTGATTTAGGCTATGGTCGTGTATTCGATGCCGTCCGCTGTCGACTGTTCAATAAAATGCCATTTCAACTAGTCAAGAAAGACAACCAGAGATTTGAACAAAATTTTATATGATCCATTCCTCGTTCAATCAAATTAAATTTTGTATAAATGAAGGATGTTGCCCTCTTTGACACAGATGAATAGAATGAGACCAGTATTCTCTGTGATGACAGGCAAGTAGGGGAAAAGTGTATTTTAAAAGACTACTCCTAATGAAAGGTTGACTAATTCATATGTTAACCGTGAAAGTATATAAAAATGCGAAGTCGAATTATTTTATTATCTAATTTGTATGCTCTAAGGTATTGGCCGAAGGGTTGCGGGTTCGAGTCAGGGCACGGCACTGTGTTGTATCTTTGATCAAGATACTTTACTCCGCTTGTTGCAGTCTACTCAGCTGTAAATGAGTACGTAGTTGGGCAGTGCTGGAACTTTTGGATGCTAGCTGTGAGCGCCGAAATGGTAGCACCGGCTGTATGCTTCCCAGGGAGTTGAGAAAGATATGGGCTGGTTGCAAACGCCCTTAAACCACGGATGATAATTTGTGAACCGCTTTGAGACGACTTACGAACTAGGTTGTGATAAAGCGGTACATAAGAACCTCGAATTATTGTTATTATTATAAGTCGATTAACGTTTTGTTATAGTATATGAACACACTTTACTCACTCCACTATTTCTTATTTGTAACAATTCCACACGACAATCAGTAGTAGCACAAGGTGAATACGACCTGAAATGCAGGTATGCAAGAACTAAAGTTCTTTGTTAGATCACATTGGAAATTGATATAAGTTAAACCTTTTTCCTGCAATCGACGTCCTATTTCACAGTGTCGTTTGCATGAGATATATGGCACAAAACTAGAGCCTGTTAAGCTAAGTGGCATGATTTTTTTTTAGATGTTGTATACTCGATAATAGTCTGGTTTGTGTAACGACCCACAAACGTGACTAATTAGGTTCATGACAAATACCAGATTTAGAAACACCGTTCCATAAACATTTTACGATTTAATTAATGCAACTAAAGATCGTGAAGATTTGAAAGAGCGTTTCATTATCTGTGTGATTCTTAGTTCGAAAGAATCTTTACCCATGAACGAGCCTCAATTACATACGAATTAATGATACCGTCCTGTTAAATATATCGTTATATTGTTTGAATGTGAAGCAGTACTCCTGTCCAGGTTTTACTACAATATGTAAGAATAAATATTTTACTTCCAATGCGTTAAGTGTTTCAACCTTTATTCTCAATGTCATCATACAAATATATATCATTGCAAACCAAATCCGTCCAATCAAATATATACAACTTGATTCGTGATCCAATTTAGGTAGCACTTCTGTAGTCGTAGTTTTGTTATTGTAGTCTCTAATGCTCAGTCTACGCTGGATCAGATTCAACCTTTCCTTAAGGAAAAAAAACCCCTATGGGACACCCATTAAAACCCCATATTGCTATCAAGTTAAGAGGTCTGGTTTACGATGTTTTTTTTTAAAGTGAGAAATTATACTGTAACCTCAAAAGGGACAGTTTTCCCGTCTCATACATTTTTTAATAAAAAGACATTCTTATAATCATTTACAGGTATCATTTGTTTCCATTAGTGACAAGTTTCACAGTATGTTATACGATTTTATTAAATATCTGTATCTTCAATGTTCTTGTAGTCTTTGAGCGTTGCAATCAAACTTTTTTTATAATAAATGCAGGGAGATGTTGGTTTCCTAGACGCGAAAGCAGCTTTCAGGAACAGTACTGTTGAAACTCGAAATGACATTCCAGATTAATAAATAAACGCACAATCACGTGTGTTTTATTTTATATGTAGTTTAAAAATAGTTTAAAGTAAAAATGCTTAGGCTAAGGCAAAAAGAAAGAAAACCATGTAAAGCAATTTCTTTTCCTATATTATGATACCAATTTGTTTTCCATACTTTTAAACAAATGCATGTATCTGTTTTCCAACATTAATTCTTGGAATAAAGTTCTTGATTTCCTGACTGTTTTGTTTATATATTTGATCAATGCTGGGTAAGTTTAATCGTCTACAAGATACAAGTCATACATAAAGAATAATTCAGAATAGCTATTCTTGTAGTATACGAGTGTACCAAGATATAAGAATGCTAAATTATGATGATAAAACGCATAGACCTATGGCATAACTGGGAAAATATCAAAAGATCTGCCGCTTCACTATTTAAATCAGTATCATTATTGAATTGATATCAACATTTGGCAACATAAAAGATAAAAATGTAGCCATGTTTACAATAATACTGTAATAACAAAAATGTGACAACTCAATCCTGTTCCCTTATTATTTCGCTCATCCGGTCCAAAGTATTGCTATTTTTGGGCGATATAAAATTAAAAGATAGCGGCATGGCTCATGTTTCATTAAAGTTCGTAAGTCTACACGTAGACGCAAAAGTAATCGTAAAGCTTGCTTACGTTTAAATCCATGTTCTCTAAGACAATTAAATGTACACGTAAGTCACGTCTGCTTTTAAGTGCACGCAAGAGGTTATGGTAGCTTTAAACAACAGAATGGCTCTTGATTTGTTTGTTTTAAGAGAGAACGCATATTTTTGGGATAGAATTTGGTTTGACTCTGATTAGCTAAGTTATTTTTGACTTCATATCGAATCTCTCCAGAATAAATTTAATTTCAGTACTCGGTTTACGTAGCTAACACATAATCTCGATGTAGAAGAATTCGAAATAACTTTTCTTTTGTTAAAAAGACCTTATGGAATTTCACACGTGATACTGAATTAAAGGTTAGTGATAAAATCGGTTTTATGAGAATACAATTAACATGAATAAACACATAGACAAGAATTAAATGCGAAATGATTTAATTTAATTTTGATATAACATATACTGGAACTTTATGCTTCAGTTGAAAGTATACTATATCCGGTAAAAGGTTAAATCAGATATAGTGAAATCTGTAAAAAAAACATTTTTTTTTTTATTAAAACGAAAAGAACAGTAAGAAACACTTAACCTGTTATATATTCATCCTGTATAATTGTTCATGTATTTTATCCATCAATACAAATACCCTACTATATATTTCGCTATATATCAAATATATTATATTACTAAGTTGAAAGTGGGGGCCCCACACCAGACATCTGTCTCAGTTTGTTATCAGGGCCAGAGGAAACTCGGGCTAAGTCGGAAGAAGACTTCTGCTGGGGCCATATTGCTGTAATCGTTTACCAATGAGCTGTTTAAATGATTTTTGCAGTACTTCATGTTTTTGCGTGCAGCTTAATGTTGCAACCAGCTGGTTTCATTGTGTAAACTAATTTTGGATGTGCATCGATAGAATTTAATTATCAAATCAATACATATAAGTTGCTAGCTAAAAGATGGCTGTAATATTCCCTAGAAGAAAAAACAACATTCGATATATTTGAATATAGACTAAAAGGGCATTAAGAAAGTCGATATATGTTTATTTATCACGTACCTGGTGAATTCTACTTAAGTGATACAGTCATTTTAAATTGATTCGTCTGTTGCACATGTGTCATAGAAGGCAATTACATTACCCTAGTGGTCTGAACTTGTTTTCTCACTAGATTTATCAGTTTTCTATTGAACAAGTCGACAGTTTAAACAAAACAAATAATAAAAAAGATCACGAAAATTTTAGCGCAATTTTACCGTATGGTAACATGATATCTGTCTTCTTAAATTATTTCATCAAACATGAAAACAAAATGTATATAAAGAACAAGTTTAGTAATGTAATAAAAACAACATCTCATTTTTTTATCTGACGTCACAGCTGGCACGATTTGAGATTTTAAATACAACGAATGGTTTTATATTTGCTAAAAATAAATAAATCAACTAATGATCTTCACATTATACAGAAGGTTACGTTAGTTCAGGCGCTCGTACCGTAGTGCCACGTCGTAACAAATGTCAACAGTTTGGGTGCGTTTAGATAAATCTGCCTTACAGCTTAAGTGTGATGTCATATACATATACCGTAATGCAAACGTTGGATGCCGGAGGATTAAAACCTAATTATAACATGTGTCCTCATTTACGTAAATCTAAAACGTGATGTTATTTCAATAGACTCTTATGCTTACTTTGATATCGAATAAACAGGCGTTGGCTAACAGGAAGTAATCGATTATCATACTAAAACACCAAAGGGTAACAAATAAATAGTTATGATAATGTAGTGGGTATTTAAAGGCGCAATACAGACAATGGGGTATCATATGATATGATGAAATATGAAACAATATTTCATTTGAAAATGTAAGTAAGATTTTGAGAGGTCAATCTCCAGATACAGCAGCGTGGTCAGATTCGTCTTCAAAATATAAGACTGAATAGGTATAAACAAACGATCGCTTAAGATAATCGGTTCTTGCTAATGAAACATAAGCTTGAAATAGAAGTGCATGTCGTGAAATATGATTAATCGCAGGAAATAATAAGACACGTGTTTTCATACTATTGGCAGACTGGTCGAGTGGTTAACACTCATGATTTCCACGCAGGCGGCCGGGGTTCGATCCCCGAAATCGTCGTTTGCGTGTAATGTTCAGAGAAAGTGGTTAGTCCACAAAACCCAGGTGGAGTATAAATCGGTCTGGGGTGGATGTTGCGGTATCTGTACTGTAGCATTCAAGTGAGACCGTTAAATAAATGATACCGTTGGAAGCACAGTCTCATTAGAAACAGAACACAATAAATCTCCAGCACACACGCACGTAGGCATACACAAATAAGAATATATCTACCAGGTGGCATAGGACTAGTAGTTATTGCCTGACAAGGCAGCTGCTGCGAATTCCTCAATATTGATTAATGCATATGCTAATTGTATTTATTGTATCTTTGTAATGTAAAGCGCTTTAGAGTGGCTAATTATAACTAGCTATGGCGCTATATAAAATATTGTATATTATTATTAGTGTATATAACGTGCAGATATTCTATGTCATAAACCACATTGTATACACCATCAGGTGTCATGGAAGTGCATATACACTTTTACCAGAAACCATAATATACACACATCATCATATCCCAATGAAGAGCAAATATTCAAATCATACATGTATTTTGCACACACAAATATGTCTCGTTGAAGTGTATATACTACTTCTATCATAATAAACACACACTGTTTGACGATCTTTATCATAATATGTATGTTACTGCTGTCATAAGTAATAAAAAAATATGAATGTAAATATAATTAATGTAAGTATATGTACACGTCGCTACGCAACAAATACCCCTTCTGACACATAGGTAAACACTTATTCATCAGAGTCACTTATATGATAACCAACTAGATACGGATGCATACAACTTATGCTGTGCAG